TCAATTTTTGGGAATATGAAAGAAGAAAAAAACATCTGCCTTTCCCACTCACCAATCTTCAAGTAACTATTTTGAAAGTTGATGGCAAATCAAACTTAAGATATTTAGTGTTGTTGGTTTTATTGATGATAGAATGACTAATCCTATTTTTGTGTATAGTGACATTAAAAAAAAAAACATGCGTTTGCCTACAAAATAAGCTATATTTTGGTATTCAGGGATCAAGTTTCGATTATATGATCGGAATAACCATCCACCAGCATCAATGACGGAGTTAAGTTGAAACTAGAGTGGTACAGCGTCACTCAACGTTGAAATATTAATAACACTACATATAAAATTAGTAATAAATTCATGGAATAAAGCAATCGGTAGAGTTATGATCCAATCACCAATTATCACGGTACAAATCAGCTTTTGCATATCTACTAACACTTGGTAATTTTGTCATCCACTACAACCCACTAAAAAAAAAAAAGAAAACACCCTCCATTTGCCCTTCAAACTCTCCAATCATATCACACACCACCATTAGCACTCACTCTAGCTGTAAAAAAAAAGAAGAAAAGCAATATGTCATGCACCAAACTTTTCACCTCCTATGACACTTTTGAGCCTTTGACTTCACCACAAAAGCTGCACTATTTAGCCAAGGCATTGCCTTTTTTCTAAAACTGATGTTGCTGTTGTGGTTGTTTACATCATGAACAACAGTCCATCTGTACCACAAAACACATGCATGATTCCAAATGTAGTGATTGCAACCTTCATTGTTAATGGTTCAGGGAAAAGCCCTAAACTTTTTCATGGTTTCTAAGTTGCCATGAATACCCAGGAGAGAGGAGTCAAAAGTTCATGCACCTGTGGCTTTTACTCATAGCCAACCTCTGCTGTTAATGAGAATGATTAGTTTCTGGTTAACATCTGCTCCAGTTGATCTCACCTTGCAGAGGGAGAGGAATGATTTAAACCCTGCTTTTGATGGCAGTTACCAACCAATCACACAACTAATGACAGCTTCTTCCTCGATCTCAAAAGGAGACGGTTTAAAAGATTTTTGATAGTCTAGTTTGTGGGTGTGCAGTCCGACTCGATTCAGTTCAATTTTATGATAGTGATAGATATTTTAAGATCATTTGTTCTGACCAACATTGCATTTGATCAAATCGAAACATTAAATTGTTTCATTTTTCTTCGAATATTTATAAAATTTACGGCACCAAAAACCAGTCATCTTATGTACATTATAATCCAATCTAATCGTCGATATAGTCATTTACAAACCGATACGGACTAAGCCATTACACACACCTACTGACCTACATGTTTGCAATGATTTTGCCTATGACACAGACCAGTCCAGGTAGATAGTCTCATGCCATAAAAATGGCTGAATGCATAGCAAAAGATACTATGAGGAATTCATGAACAATGACAGTTGTGTTTAGTAGCTAGATTTGATCTTCATATATGTTTTGGTACACTGGTCGTTCCTTAAAAAGTACACAAGCTAATTCATCACACGATGCTGTTTCTACTTCAAAGGCATCCAAGTAATTTCACAGCAAGACAGCAGTTGACTGAACAGAAAAAGAGACATGGGAGAAGTCTTCGTTCGTTCGACTAGTGAAGAAAATCCTTCATTGGATCATCATGATGTACTTTCTTCATCCTATAAGCCTCCATGTCTTCCGCGGTAACCTCGTCGTTCCACTTCACATTGTACTTGCGCTTCCTCTCATCCTTCTCCTCTCTTTTCCTCTGGTCCTCCTGTAAGGGGTAAGAAAACATCAACCGGTCAATCATCCAAGCGATAAAAGCCATATAACCCATCAAGCTCTGGAGCGAGCCAAAAAAACTGGACTGCAGAAAGAGTGGATCGATCGGCTGGAAATCATCCTATTGTTACCTTTTTGAGTGCTGATGCTAGCAACTTCTCATCCAACACCAAATCATCTGGTACCTCGGTTCCCCAAGTGGCTAGCCTCTTCTCCTCCACTGGTGCTGGCAACTCTGTTGAAACAGATTCATCAAACCCACCAGGATTACGTCAAAGCACATAATAAAACTTCAGGTCCATTTGATGATCATATCTTAATTGGCTAGGAAAGAATGCAGAATGATACAAGTAGAGAAACGAACCATCATCAGCCTCTTTCCTAGCAATGTTGGCTTTCATCAAATCCGTTGCAGCCTCTGCAGCCTTGATGCCGGCAGCGCCAGTGCAGTAACTGTTTCGAACAGTCTGTCTACAGCATTTATAACCCCACTGATGATCTTTCCACCATGAGCCCCATACACTTGTATGGTTGTTGATGTAGATATCTTCTTCGTACTTGCTTTTGGGAAGCACAACCTCCTGTAAGCACCATTGAAGAAGAAGGATCATTGAACTGTTTTTTCAGCATACCATCTAATATTTGACCATCATTGACGAACTCAAAGTAGATACAACAGTTAAATTCCATCAATTCCAATGTGCATCTTAAGAAACTAGCAGACTGACAATAGGATTCCATATGCAGCAATAGCTCAAATGTATTGAACGTAAACATCGAGTCAAGAGGCCTGAGAGAAACCTACAGCTAAAAGGAAAAAAATTGTCGAAGTTACCTGTCCCTTGATAATTCTCCCAGCACGATCGTACTCAACTTGACTTTCACTCTGCCCGAGTAAAAGCTCTTTTGGAATCTCATCTTGGCTGGCAGCATTCCCATACTTCTCAAGCATTTGGTCCTTTGTATGAGTCTTCAGTTTCTCCTTGTTCACCTTGAAGTTCTTATACAACAACTCTGCCTGTGAAGGAGCAGCTTGCATGTGAATATCTTGTCCCTTGTCAAAAGCTTCCCATGAATGGATGTTGAGCTGCTTGAATTCCTCAGCTTGACCACTGTTTCTGTACTGGTTGTCTCCCTGTAGTTATAATCGGAAAAGTCAGGAACTTGATGAAACCAACAACTCATTCTGTACTCGGTGTCTTCCTGTAGATATTATAATCAGATTCACATTTCGAAACAAGAGAAATAATAATGTCAATTGCCACTCACCAAATAGAACTTCTCATTCGGATCTGCATCTGGAAGTGGGTCCTCACGCATTGAGCGGGTTTTGGGATCATAATAGGCAGAATTAACATCAAGATTCAAGAGATACTTTGCAGTATCTTCCCGAATACGCAGGTTCCTGCATTCAAGTAACAACAATATTTCAGTGAAACATGTTCTCTACCATCCAACTAGCAACTACAAGCAATTCTAGAACTACTGTCGTAATCTTACTGAGGAAAACCGAAAAAAATAATCCTAAATGATGAAAAGATGTCAATTGCTCCTACCTGACAGTTCCAGTGCTACCACCACCAGTTGTCCTTACACGCTTTTCAACCTTAGCAAAGTCCATTTGCTTGGACTCGTCAACTTTGGCTTCATCCACTCTTACATCATCGTCAATGTCCTCATCACTAACTTCCTCGGGATTCTCGCTGTTATTTTTCTCTTCCAGCTTCTTAAGCTGTTCCTCCTTCACATACCTGCTTCTAGCTGCATCACGGGCTTCATACCGTGCAACAACAAGCGCGTAATTGGACGGATCATACCCATTCCATCGATCACGCTTGCCATCATAATCAAGCTCAAAATTCTCTATTTTTTCGTCAGGGGCAATGTGCTTGTTACTATGCTTCGCCCCTATTTTCCTAGGTCTTTCCATGCAAGCTTTTGCATTGTGTGTCATGGCTCCACAGCTGCAACAACAATCACACAGTATTGAGTTGCAACTTCTCATTCAAATCATAACTAAACACGGAAATACATCCATTCAAACAAAGGAAAAATCGACGCAGGCAGTTATGCTGAAGTCTACTTACTTCTCGCACGCGCCTTTCCTGTATTTCTCTGCCTGAAACACTTTTGCACCCCTATCATACCATGATTTCGTGTAATTTGGATCCGACTTCCATTTCCTTTGATGTTTTAAACTCTAACAAAGATGAACAAGGAGCAAGGGGATATGCGAATCAGCAATCTTAACGTACTGAAAAGGCAGAAGCTTTGAATATAAAAAAAAAAAAAAAAAACCGAATCAGCAAGCAGGCTTACCGGTTTCTCAGCGTTAAGATACCAAGGTGCAGAAGACATATACTGAGGGATGTGAGGATTGATCTCTTTCCCATCTTCATCCACCTCAGCGGGAGCAAGCCCAGCTTTACGGGCTTCTTCCAATTCAATCTGCTTCCTATGATCCTCCCTCGATTTGAAGGCACCTGCAAGATTTCCCCCCAAAACGAAATTAAATTCAGCAACGACGAGAAATTCATAACCAGCAAGCTCCCAACCACCGCCGCGGAGCCCTAAAACAAGGCCTAAGATCCAAATTCACTTGCAGTCAAGAGAAACAACGCAGAGAAAGGGGCTACCTGATGCCGTCGCCATGGTACCGACGCCTAGGTTGATAAGAAATTGGTTATTAGGATCGCCGGACGAGCAAGTAGTCGCCTGAACTGCTGGAGTTGGCTGTCGGCGATAGTGAAAACCCTAAGGCTCACTGCGACAAATAAACCAGATGGCGAAAACCAAAAAAAGAACTGCCGGAGGTAGGCGAGAGGGGTTGCGCCGCGGCGGAGCTCGAGGGATTGGCCTGACGAAATCACTGAATTTCCTTTTTCCGGAAGGAAACCAATCTATGACATCGCGTTAATAGCCGACTTTGTTTTCCTAAATAATTATGATATATATATCAGGATTCAGAAATTAACGAGTAAATTTAATAACAGTTTACCAAGTCCCAGTACTTTTCAATATTTGCAAAGTAATCCCAAATTTGGAGGTTGCATCGTGGTCATGGACATAGTTAGTAAAATACGGTACGGGAAAGTTATGTATAAAATACGTACGTGTATTTTACGTCGTCTCGGTACTAATGTTACGTTTAATAGTAGGTTAATATCCATAATTATATAAAAATAATTATTTTAAAATAAATAATCATATAAATAATATCAAATTTAATAGTTTAATTCATTAAATACGAATATTAAACGTGTTATACGGGTTTTATACGTGTTTAATACGGGAGCCATCAAATGAACGGACAAAAATGAAACGGTTCGACAATAATACGGATACGAAAGTTTTAAACGGATAAAGTACGTGCAGGTACATATACGTGTATTAAACGTAGTATTTACTAATTATGTTCATGGATTACACCGAAAACTTTCGATTTCAGCATAAAAAACCCTTCATAAATATTATGATCGAACCTCCAGGACCAGAACTTCTTTTTTTAGAGGACCAATCCATCAAACTTGATCAACCATTAACGAGTCAGGGACAGTTTTGCCATTATTGAATTAAAGAAAAAACTAACCTGAGTATAAATCCATAACTTCCCATTCTCTTCAAATGAGTAGATCAACTTCCATCATTTCATTACGACAGAAAAATGTACATTGTTAAGAATCTAATTATGTACAATAAACTCCACAATCCAATGAAACAAATAAAAACAATCTGGGGCAAGGGGGAGTATTACTTCTAAAGTCTGCATTTTGTTCCAACAAACCCAGAATCAGAGAACCAAGCTATGGCCACTTAACTTGCCATAAACTATGTACAGAACCGAGCAGAAAGAGAAGCGGAGATTTGCGTTCTCCTTTCTTATTTTAATCACTTTCATAGTCATCATCGTCCCCAAAAGTGAACACAGATGCATCAGCAGCCATTGCTTTGAACTCGCTCTCCGTGCTGTTCGACGCAACGCCGCCCGAGGTGTCACTGCCTCCCTTTGGCTGATTAGTGTTGTGCACCGGCTTCTCGGATGTCGCATTCGCCACAGAAACCTGTTCCGTCGCTTTTGCTAAACTCGAAACTTGTTGCTCCGTTTTAGCAGTGGCCGCCGCTGCAATACATCCCCCATCTGCTGCAGCAGTTGCTTTGGGTTGTGTCGTAGCTTCAGCTCCTTTTCTCTTGGAAGACACCGATTCCTCTGCTTCATTGTCTGAAAATACATCATCCTTGTCGGGGCTTGGTGTGGAGTCTTTGCTTTGCATTGAGGTGGCAGGTGTGGTTGGCGCTGAAGCTGTCTCGACCGAGGTGGGGGGAACAGTGCTCGAGCCTCCTTCATCGGACTTTGCTGGGGGTGTGTTTAGAGATGCTGGAGCATCATTGCTATTGTTGGCATCTACCAGAACCACCTCAACTTGAAACCCTGGTGATGGAAGTTTTCTCTGCATGAAAACAAAGAATCAAGGTGCGGCATTATAAGAGCATCAGAAGGGTGAAGGGATATTATCATGTAAGTTCCTACCTTGTCAAAACCGTCCATGTCGCCAGTGTTCAAAATTGTTCTGTTTTCCATCATTGTTGTGTTTAACCAACTGATACAGTAATATGAAACAAGTTAGTAATTAGTAATGTGTATAATTTTACATGAAATATGGAATAAATTTAAAAGGATAAGATACAGACAAGTAGAAGTCTCCCTGGCGGTCATGAAACTGGACTTTGAAGTCTCCAGCCACCTCTGCCAGACCCGGCTCCCCTGGGAGAGCAAAGACCATAACTCCTTTCTTCGGCGCACTGAACCAATAGTCTTCTGGCTGCAAGTAGCATAAAGAACACATAATAAACTCGTCTGAAAGCATAGAAGAGCAATAAATGGAATATGCATAACAAGTTCCAAGAGCTAGTAAGGCCTACCGATAAGTCCTTGGTCCTCGAATGCTTTTTCGAAGAAAAGAGGATACCTGCAATAGGTCACAACAGCAGCAGCAGCAATAATCAATCGACATAACAATCTTGAACATTTGATTCAAGTAATCTGCTAATTCTAGGTCAGCTATCTATATTAAACTTCTACATTTACGTTCCATAGGAACTTTCATACTAATAATTGAACACTACAGGCAAGCATACACCCAAAAGAAATTAGCCCTTCTATAAACTTTGCCAGCTCATGAAGATCATTAGTAACGAAGACGAAGGTGAGAATCCATATAAGTAGATGATGGTATCAAGCAAGCTTATACCCTAATATGAAAAAGGAAGAATAATTTCAGTATCTATAACTCCACAAGTAAGGGAACATGAAAACCATGACAAAAATTAACAACAGACCATTATGATCAGAAACAGTTATAGCAGGCCGTATCCAGTAAGGACACCGGTGAAGCCGAAATCCCCGAAGCATGCACCTGTATGATAATAGAAAACTCAGCAACTCTACAAAGGAAGAAAAAACAACAATGATAATAGTGAAAATCCAAACCACGCTATTCTATACCTTCGCCCAGGCTGATTTTCACCATTGAAGTATGTTAAGGTACGCTCGAAATACTTCACAGATCTCTGCAAGAGAACAAAAGTTTAGTGTCAAATAACATGGAATCTGAAGGTATAACCGTGCAGACTGCAATCTTTAATAGCATAGCAATAATCACTTACAATTTGACTGGGCAGAACAAGTCCTTTCCCATCGAAACATCTCTTTTGATTGTAGTAATCAATGGACTCTTCCGCTGTAGGAAAGAACTGCAGAGAGTATCTTGTAGTTTGTAAGAATTGGTGTCTCTAAGAAATGTAATTTTTTCACGGGACACCTCGTCCAACCATTTCAGAAATGTGCAGTGTCTTACTTTCAAGTACAGAAGAAGGCTAGAAATCATGAGCCCTGTCCTTGCCATTCCAGCCTTACAGTGGACAACCACAACATTCTCAATATCTTCCTTCAACCATGAGTAAGCACTATGACAAAATGATATTATCAGTTGAATCGGGGGGCAGTTGTGGTCATCAAACGGAAAACTAGCCACCTGATCATAGAGGATAACACAACACCCGTATGAGAAGAAACGATTTTTCCCTAGAAGACCACCGAGGAAGAAACAACAACACGCACCTTTCCTTCGAACAGTGATGCGTCGTAAAGCCTCTCAGAGCAAAGGTTGTATACTTTGTACTTGTCCTGTATGAAAAGTAAACAAGCTCACCCCCAGAACCAAAACGAAAGAACTCAGATTAAACAGATGCAGTTCCCACTTCAAGCTGCATTGCTGTCATAGCGTAATCAATTACAACCAGGGATGTAGTGCATGCTGAGAGATGGTAATAATATTAGATCATGACAAACTTCGATAAAAGTACAAGTAAATGAATAAGCTTATAAGCAGAGGAAGATATAAATATTTTTTATAAATTGCCTGTAGTATGAGGTCAGGATTACTTCCTTCAGATTTATGGGCAGAATAACGTTCAACAGAGGGCATAAAGAGAATTAGAACTAGAGCACCCCGGGTCAGGTGAGACAAATTGAAAGTGAAAGCGTGCCCAGGAACAGTCTAAATACAGCTTCAGCGCAACTCAGCATAAGCAGCTATCAGGATTGTCACATATGAAGACATTTGAATATGTAATCCCACAGAATAACTAACTGTTGGCACAATCATTAGACAGGATTGAATTGCAAAAGTATCAAACATATGATTACCTTGTGATGCATTTCGAAAAACTTTATCACTTCTTCCATGTGGTTGCGGTAGAACCCCTGCATCATTCAGTTGAATAGCTCGTCCATATGGAGTAAAAACAAAAAGGTTTAAAGACTGTGAGAGGGTAGATAAGATGTCCTTACCTCAACATAGCCAAAAAACCCAGAACTCATATCACCAGCAGGAAATCCCATAGCTATTATATTTTCAGTGATGTAGGTCATGTCAAGATCAAATCCGCCATCCTGAAAAGAAGAATTAACAATAGAATGTTAATGGATAAAGTAGATGATGAATTCTTCTCATCAACATCAAGTGAGAAAGTAGGTCCAAACCCTGGAAAGTCAGATTTAGTGCAATATCCTTACATGCGGATTACGGGTGATATATAAAAAAATCAATGTTCTATTGACATATGACACTAATGAAAAATGAACAAAATTAAGCATACCATATGTTCTTTGCAATATATAGATAGACATACTGAATTCAACAGGTGAAGTACGATGACTATGGACTAGAGTATTGAATATACGGAAAGAAGTCTTCACATCTATTCCATACCTGGTACCTCCTCTTATTTTGAGAAACAGCATGCCGAGCCTTGACTTGTACCGCTTTCACTGCATTCTTTGATGTATCAACTAAACCTTTGGTAATTGTTCCAATGAAGCCAGGGGATGTCTCAGGTTCATGTGAACCCTCATTTGCTGGAGGTGATTTTGGAGATGAACGCAACCCGAAACCACTTGTGAAGCGTGAAAAAGTTGATTTTCCAGCACCCCCAGTAGGTGAATCATCCACTGTGGTAGTCAGTGGCTGGGGGATTTTGAAACTTCTAGCCCAAGAAGACAACTTTGATGGCACATCACGCACAGAAGTATCTGATCCAGAATCTACTGGCGCGGTTGGTTGTATCTCAGGAGATTTTGCTGATACAGCTGACGGATCAGCAGGTACTGAATCCATTTATTCTTATCGCAATTTCGTCAAGATTGTTCAAATGAGCAATTCAAGGACTTGCATGAGCACTCACTAAAGGACCAATGCAGTCCGACTGCAACACATCAAGTTAAGATAGGAACATTCATTAGTTTGCTAACGTGAATGGTAATTAAAGATAGTTATGCATGTGATAATGCCTACATGGTTTAGCTCAACTATGACCAACTCCGACAATGACAAAAGAAGAATCTTACGATAAGACCAAGACCACAAAGATTATATGAATTTTCCACGAGTCCTGTTGTTTCACTTCCGAGAAGTTAGATCTCTGAGAAATTCATATGCTGTGCAGTGCATGAACTGAAAAGCACCTTGTACCATCAGCACATTGTAGATACAGTCATGCAAGCAAAAGACTATTATTTCGCAACATCTTAAGCTAACAAGTAGACAGATTCACACAGATTCGATGTCGTGTTCAAAACCCCAATTCCACATCCTAACTCCCAAGGAAGCCTTATATACTTGCATATGCGTATTACTAACCAAATACACGGAGTCCTCAAAACCCCAATTCCATATCCTAGTTGATTTACTTAGTACTAGCAAACACCAAACCATTTGACCGACACTGGCAGCGATTGGCCATGTAAGTGCCAGATTAAACCAACGCAACCAACCAGTCAGCCATAAAACCTCCTGGGCAGTGATGTTACCTAAAAACAACTAGCGCCGTACAAACTTTCAGCTTGCACCAAACCGACTTTCCAAATTGGACCGACTCAAATCACCTCATACTTCGAAGTCAATCGACTAATTCGGTAACATAAATTCCTACTTTCAAAAACCATTTCATCGCGAAACTACAAAACGATCGACAGGGATATCGGAGTAGCCGCAAGTTACCGGGGGGGAAAAACAATCTGCCGAAATAGGAACACTTGAGAATTGCGAGAGCGGAGATCGGAAGCGATCAAATTTAGCTTACCTTGCAGAGATTCGATGCAGAAGGGAAGGACCACGAGCTCGCAAGTGAGTTTCCGGGATTAGGGTTTGAGAGGGCAGCAGAAGAAGAGGAGTGTGCTGGAGGAGAAGAAACTGGTGAGAGTAGTAGAGTATGGGATCTCTATCCAGGTTCGACGATCACGTGCTTGATCTGGTCAAGCGGGTTACGCTTTGAGTGATCCGACGGTGGGCATTGGCCCGATTTCAATATATTTGCCAGGGGAGTTGTTTATTTGATAAAAAAAAACAATAAATCTATTCATTAATTTCTCTATTTTTGATAATGAAGAAAATCCATTACAAATAGAAACATCAAAGAGTGTAAAATCATATCGGACATTATATTGAAAAACTCACATATCGATTTAGACTTTAGTAAAAAAAAAAATCTGGTCGAAAAACTCACATATCGATTTAGACTTTGGTAAAAAAAAATCTGGTCGAACTGCTGATGCAACTTCACAAACACTGTGAAATACAACCAGAAGTGTACACAAAGAAGAGGAAAATGAGATACAACATACTAAACTAAAAATGTTACACCTAAATTCATTCAATAAATCGTGAAATGTTTTGTTTCAAACGATGCAAAATGAGGTGGACCACCTCATTCTAATATGTTTAGTACATACAAATATTTAATTCCAATGTTAGTCACGCGAAGGAATCAAACAGTTCATGTTTGGTCGCTCGAATTAGTCAAACAATCCATTTACATGGACTATTTGACCAGTTCAAGTGACCAAACACGAACTATTTGACTAATTCGAGTGACCATTATGAGTTGTTTGACAAACTCAAGTGACCAAAATTAGAATTAAATATTTCTAGTGATTAAATATGTCACTTTTTTAGCAAACTCAATGACCAAATACGAAATTTACTACCCAAACAATCAGTGATCAGAAGAATTCCAGCAATTGATAATCGGAAAGGCAATAACTTGCAAGTTGCAATTGATTCAATTGGTGTCTGAATACATATATATACACCAAAGCACCACTATATCAGTCTCAGAAATTCGAAATTGCTCAACAATTAAAACCAAATAAAGGGGGATGATGATTGCGGCAATAATTTATCATAATGCAAACTCTCCTCAAACTTCCAGTTCTCCATTAGATCTCCATCTGCAGGCGAGGCCTGATGCTCTTAGCCAAGAACCGCTTCATCGTCGCCACTCCAAACGGATTACTCTCGCTCTGCACAAAACAAACAAACAAACCCAAGTTAAATCACATCAGCTTCAACAATGGATGCCAAAAACAACCGAATACAGAAATGGGAAATCAAGCTCAAGTTACCATTCTGCAAGTTCCAGCCTTGAGATCACAAACTGGATACTCTTTAGGGCAGCAGCTGTAGTGATCGTCGCAGCAAGTGGCCGACTCGAGAGGGCAGCATCCCCACCCGAAGCAGTAGCTGCCGTACTTATAAACGCAGCAGCAGGTGGTTCCTGCAGGGCAGGAGTAGTAGTCGTCGCAGACGGTTGAAGGAGGAGGCGGAGGAGGAGGAGGAGTGGCCGGAGTCGGAGGAGTCGGGCCCGGTTTAGGCGGGTTAGCACCCTTCTTGGTTGGATACGAAGCCTCGATTGCAATGCCGCACTTCCCAGTCTTCGTGCCAGCCACATTGCGCTCCATCTTGATGTATCCTTCCTCTCCCCAGCTCGGACCCCACGAGTTCCTCACGATCCAGTAGTCTACACCATTCTCGGTGCCGTACCCAACTGCAACGACGCCATGGTCGAGCTGAGTTCCACACTGGCCGGTGAAGACTCCCGACTGGTATAGCTGGAACGCCCTGCCGCCGGCTTCGATGGCCACGCTCACGGGCTGGTGTGCCACGGCCTTCTTCAGTGACTTCTCGTCGTTCGTTGGGACGTCCTCGAACCCGTCTATGGTGACAACCTTGGCATTTTTCTGATTTAAGAGTAAACCAACAAACATTAGACACAGTAACAAAGATTTTAAGTGAACAAAGTTCCTGAACTTTGGGTTAAAGAAGGGCATCATTACCCTGTTGGAATCACAGACGCTGTCGACAGCCTTGTAAGGGTAATCTTCTTCGGTGTCGATCCCGCCGTTGTTGATGATGAACTGGAAGCCGTAGTCCATGAGACCACCATTGCAGCCCTGGTTATAGGAAGTATCGCAATCAACAAGCTCCTGTTCTGACAGGGTGATCAGCTCGCCAGTGACAATCTGGTTGATCCCTTCTACAGCTCCAACAGTCGAGAATGCCCAGCAACTACCTGTGATTTTGCATCATATAGAAACAGATTTAAGGTTCCATAGCTCAAGTTCTATTCACTTTCCATTAAAACCTAATCCAATCCCAAAAAAAAGCTGTAAAACGACAACAGAAAGCAGATGAAGACAATTCTGGCAGCAAGCCTAATTCATGGTCCACCATATTAGAAGAACAGATCAATACCCTAATCCATTACCATCTATCGCAATCGCCGGACCCATATCCACAAACCAAATCAAAACAAGGAATTGAATACTTTCATCCACAGAATTCCAAACTTTCAGGAAAAAAGGAATCTGAAGGGAGGAAAAAAAGACTTACCACACTGGCCCTGATCTTTCACCGGAGCCACAGCTCCCTTCTGGCGCCAATCGACGGAGCCCGGCAAGTCATCGCCCTTTTTGAACAAATACCTACCCCCGACGACGGCGGCCGACGAGCCGTTGACCTTCCTCTCCATCGAAACCCCCAAATACCTCGACCGGTACTCCTCGTTGGTCAAATCGGCGAACCGATTCAAACCCACCTTGTAACTCCTGTCGACGGAGTTGTGCTCGTCGACGAACCTCAGATTGTCCTTGAAAATCTCGAACCTCCGTTCCCTCTCTCCTAGGGCATTGTAGTTCTTGCGGTGGGCCACCAGCCACTTCTCGTACATCGTCCGCAGCTCCGCCTCGCTCCTCTCCGGAGCCGGGAGGCCGTGCCGGGCGTCGTAATCGACGATCGACATGTCCATGGCGGCGGCGGAGGCGAAGAGGAGGGAGAAGAGGAGGAAGGAAGCTGATAACGACGCCATTGTCGCTAGCTTTGGAATTGCAGAAGGAGAATGTGGGTGTTGGATTGGTGGGGAAGAGTCGTTATATAGGAGAGCGAGCGGCGTTGAAATCGGGAAGTCTGTATCTGTAAATTCTTCGCACGCAAGCTCAATGGGTAGGGGGAGATTCCTTTTTCTTTTGGGTGGAAAACCCGGAAAACGAAAAGGAAAAAGAAAAACTGTTGTTTGTTCTTGTTGTTGCAGAATGCAGAGAGACGGGTTGTGCGGGCGGGGGGCGGGTCGGGTCGGTGTGAACACGGGGATCCATTTTTGTTCGTTTCTGATTCTGACCGTGAGGATTGATTGGTGGGTTTGCTTGGCAGGCCAATTTCACAATGGTCACAAAACTTTCTGTCACTTCCAAATTAGTCACTGAAGTTTTGTTCAGTAAGGAGATTGTCATCCACTAGTCTAGACTGCCATTTATTTATGTAGCAAAAACTGCCAAGATATCTTAGGCTCTGTTCATTTCCATTTTTCGTTTCCTAAATTTTGTTTTCATGTCATAAATTTGGTAATCGAAACGAGAAAATTTGTTTACTTTTCATTCTGTTTTCTATTAGTTTCCAACTATGAAAACAGAAAGTGGCACCTTTCTGCTGTTTTCGGAAACGACAAACTGTTGTTTTCACATGTTTTCAATATACTTTTCATTAGTATTTCAATTAGGTTTCGGAATTCCGAATGGCGATTTATTCTGGGATTCCTTGTTAGGTTATTAACCAAGGGTGGGTGAGGTGCTATAACTTGTGAGTCCAAGAACCAATTTTGATTGGAATGAACTCCAATTTTTTCATAAAGTTGTTTCACTTCACATGAAAAAAAAAATGATTAGACATGGCATGTTTGGGTTATATTCGAATTCCGGAGTGTCATTGATTCAATTGTATCAACGTATTAGGATTTAGGGTATATAGACAACTCACCGTAGTAAATTCGAAGAAACCAATAAGATAAGGTAGCTAACTAATACAAGTCCATACTCATGGTATACAATGTCCACGAATTAAAGATAGCGATCGATAATGTTTCCTTCTTATCGTGATTTTCTTACAACTTGCTTACTTCGTGAGCACTTCTACTATGCTATATAGTATTAATGCTTTAATGTACAACTCAAAGTTGTACCATAACATTAAATGTATAAGTTTAGGTTGTACCATAAAGCAATTTGTATCATTATGTTATGGTACAACTTTACAACTTGAAGTTGTACCATCACATAAAGGTACAAGTTCAAGTTGTACCGTAAAAGAATTTGCACAAAAAGTATAGGTACAATCTGAAGTTGTACCCTAACGTAAATGTACAATTTTAAGTTGTACCATAAAGGCAAAAACCTATAGCACCAATACTATATAGCATTGTAAAATTTCTCCTTACTTCGTATATATTTATCTGTCTATATGTATTGTAGTTTGGGATCTTTCTATATATTTATATATGTATATATCATATATGTCATCAAAACATTGCTTCATGTATTGAGAAAACGACCCTTGGTGATAGTCAAAATCTGTTGAGAAGAGATATAACAAATGGATGAGAGGAGGCGGGCACTTGAACCAATAATCCCATGAAAATAAATATTAATGGTCCATCATGGAGTAGGGTTTCCTGTAGTATTATTTATGTGCAAGTTTCCCAGATCTCTTTCCAACTTGTTAGCAAAGAGTGGCACGCAACAAACACCCAGTTGAATCGGCAATGGCCTTCAAGAACAAACCAACAAACAATAATATATGCAAGCCACTAGAGTCACATGGCAAAGACAGGGCTCAATATTTGGATATTATTCCGATGCAACTAGAGGTGGCAATTGGATCGGATTCGTGGATTGAATTGGTGGATCCATAAATCAAATGGATTGGTGGATTCATGAATTGGATCAAATGGATTGGTGGATTGATCCATGAATCCAAATGACATCCAAGGCTTGGATCAAAATGTAAATTTTGAAAAGTTTAGGTACTAAAATGTCATAATGAAAAATTTTAGGTACCAAAATGTAATTTTCCAATGATATTTTTCGTATAAAATAAAAATTTTAGGTACCAAAATGTAAAATATAAAAATATAGGTACCAAATTGTAATTTGTCATTTGGATCCATGGATTGATCCATGAATCCACCAATCCAATTGGATTTGGATCAAATTGATTGGATTTAAATGGATTGGATTAGATGGATGGTGGATGGATTAGATTGAATTCATGGATTTGGATCCTAATTGCCACCTCTAGATGCAACTTATTATGTGTCGAATTAGATTAAGTATTTGTATGCTTTTGGTAGATTCATGTTCAACTATTTAATTTGGGTCTAAATTCGACCTATATTATTTGGTGCACCATGGAATAAAATGTCTTAACCAAACCGTCCAAATTAACACGAAAACCAAATTAACCAAACTAAAGTTTCATTGATTGGTTAATTGGATAATCGGATTAACCAAAAATAACATTACATGAAAACAATTTTCCTGTTAATGAATAAAATATAACAATATGTTATTACTATAATAATACTACCATTATCTATAAGCAATCATAATAACACTAAACATCCATGATTATCATCATCATTCTAGTTAATACATCATTCATCGTCTCTGCACCTAATATAGTTAGCTTACAACAAACCCTTAACATAAATATTAAATACATACCAATACCACTCATAAGGAAGTTAAAGCTCTCCTACAAAACACTTAAACTATACATAGTTTGAGGGTGGCTGTCATGGTACTGTACGTAATCCTAAAGTCTAGTAGCTGTCCAAAGTGTTTTGGTTTAGTAAATAGGCAGACCCATTTAATTTTTGACTCATAATGCTTTGGTTTTTTGTGCACATGGAAATAAAATAGGGGATCACGAAAGTTTGGTTTGGTTGGTTGCATGGGAGTATAAATAATTTTGTATATTACGTGTATCATTAATTGGTTAATTGGTTTCATTGGTTAGCAGTGTTGAAACCAAACCACCTAAACCGAATAAGCTAAATTGTTTAACCAAACCAAACCAATTATCCAAATTAACCAAACCAAATTAACCGAATGCTATCGATTAATATGGTTACCACGGTAACCAATCCGTTTGAACACCCCTAGAAATACCGACATTAAAGGTGTGCCTGCATTGAAGGTAGTTAATCAGATGGTTGATATTGTATTGTTTTGGGTAATGTCTATTTTTTATTCAAACTTTTTTCGGATACTTTTTTATTAGCCAAACCGATCGAAATATTAAGAATTAGCCAAATGTTAACTTTCAGTTAGCAATTTTGTTAGTAATATTGACTTGGTAACATGATATTGACTTGGAAGAGACACATGAATGTCAATATTCCAAAATTTTAGTATTTCAACTAGGAAAAGAGTTACAAAATTATTAGCGATAACATAAAAAAATCCAAAAAAGATTTTGTTGGGGGTGTTGCTAAGAGACTCCCCGCAGAGACTAAGTAATACCGCGTCCAATCGACAACGTATGACGCTCTAAACCCGCTACGAGTATATAAAGGTATGAAACCTACCAATTAAGGGGACTTCCTCTCTCTCCTCACTTTCCACTTTCTACCATCTCTCTACACTTTATCTCTCTATCTATTCTCTCAACTCTCTCCACAAACAGACACTGACTTGATCGTCGGAGCTTAATCCGGGGGGCAACCCCGGCTCTTTCACAGGTTCTCTCCCTCCCGACGAGATCAGACTAAAGAATGACGAGTCGACCCACACAACAAATATCATTGTTCGTGTCCTGAGCTAGTTGGCACAAACAGATTTGATTAATCAAAATCATTTTAATAGGTTTGGATAATTTAAAAGAATCCGAAAAAAGATTTGAATAAAAAAATAGACATTACCCTATTGTTTTTTTTTTTATTTAGAATCCTTTGAACACAAATTGGCTTATGTGAGTCTAACCCAAATGAGTTGAACCCAGACAGTTCACTATTCAAACCCAACACAAACCCGAAATCATTAAAGGTGCATATACGGGTCCATTTGGATGGAACCTAGTAGCTACACTGTGTCACAACTCATAACAATTGAATCAAGTTACTCAATAAATCGACCCATTATCATGCCTAGTAACCCACCCCAAGATATTTTCAAATATATGTTGCAATGCAAGCATTGCTTGCCACCATAGATTTGGAAGTTGGAACTTGTGTTTACTATTTGCTGCAATTGCACAGACTGGTGAGGTAGGTAGCCAGCAAGCTGCACATGCCACCACCGTCTTTCTCACTGCACCCTTCCCCAATTTCCGATGCCTGCAACTTGTAACAACAGAACGTATAACCAATATTGGAAGCAAAATTGATTGGTTACTTGGAGGACAAAATTGACAGCAAAAGATGTATTCGATCAAGAGGTTTATTATAGCTCGATCGCTTGCATTGCATCTCACTTTCATCTCTACCACATGGTTTTGGTATTTTTTGATCGATCTGCGCCCCGTAATCCTGTATTTTCAGGGTGACTATAGACATTTAAGGTTTCTCTGATTCTCTCCATGCCCTTTAATTTGCTTTGACAGCAAGCGAAGAGAGCGATTAGTTATAAATGAATCAATATACATGACTTTTGTAAACCCTATTTTTATAAGTAAATTCTGAGTTCAGGCACAACTCACACCGGATCTTTATACGATTGTGTTGCTACACTCTCTTAAGGTTTACTATAAAATTTTCATGAAGTGAGTCATTTCCGCTCATAATTATGCAACTCTTAATTGAAAAGGAGTAAACAATCAAACCATCTATGGGGCCGAGCACTTCTACTATGCTATATAGTATTGGTGCTTTAATGTACAACTCAAAGTTGTACCATAACATTAAATGTATAGGTTTAGGTTGTACCATAAAGCAATTTCTACCATTATGTTATGGTACAACTTTACAACTTGAAGTTGTACCATCACATAAATGTACAAATTCAAGTTGTACCATAAAAGAATTTGTACAAAAAGTATAGGTACAATCTAAAGTTGTACCATAACATAAATGTACAATTTTAAGTTGTACCATCAAGGCAAAAACCTATAGCACCAATACTATATAGCATTGTAAAATTTCTCCTATGGGGCCACCTTACTACTACTTGCAAAGAAAAATTAATATATATATAAATGTAAAGCTTGGTTACTGTTGCCTAATTATTCACATTTTGATACTCCAAATTTATTTAAATCACAATTTAGTCACTATAATGTACATTTTACATTTTGACACACCAAAATTAATTTTAATGTAAAATTATCGAACAATTATGTTTTGGTACCTAGAACGGCTGCATACACGACTCACCAACAGTCTAGAGAATTAATAATTGAACCATGAACCACTAACTTTTCAGCTCAATGTCGAGTCTAATTAAAAATAAATATATATGGTTATTACTTATTAGAAATTCGTCATTTTCCACTATTGAATTTGAAGGCGTGAAATTTTAAGCGATTTTCAGTTTGTATTCATTTTGCTTCTCTCTAGAGTCTTTCTTTTTCTCCCGGGCTAGAATTTTCAACAATTATACATGGAATGTTTCGATAGGTATCTACACATATCAAATTAATATATATAAACCTGAAGTATTGTTACTGTTGCGTAACTATTCACATTTTGATACCCCAAATTTATTTAAATCACAATTTAGTCACTATAACGTACATTTTACATTTTGACACACCAAAATTAATTTTAATGTAAAATCATTGAACAATTATGTTTTGGTATCTAGAACGGGTCCATACACGACTCACCAACAGTCTAGAGAATTAATAATTGAACCATGAACCACTAACTTTTCAACTCAATGTCGAGTCTAATTAAAAATAAATATATATGGTTATTACTTATTAGAAATTCGTCATTTTCCACTATTGAATTTGAAGGCGTGAAATTTCAAGCGAGTTTCAGTTTGTATTCCTTTTGCTTCTCTCTAGAGTCTTTCTTTTTCTCCCGGGCTAAAATTTTCAACAATTATACATGAAATGTTTCTCTAGGTATCTACACATATCAAATAAATAGTTTTCATTTTTCTATCAAAAAATAAATAATTGTCATCTTAAATACATCACCATAAAAGGAATAAAGCTTTAAGTATGCAAATTACAGTTCGGTACCTAAACTTAACATATCTTTAGATTTATAACCTAATTTTATTTTTTGGCACCTAAAATTAATAGATATTTTGTGCATTACATTTTGGTACCTAATCTTTTTTAGTTCTATAAATAAGTCTAATTTTTGTATGTGTAATTAAAACACCCTCGAATAAATGGGTATCCATACCCAACTCATACAAATTTTGATTATGGAAGTAAATATCCAGATATGGCGGTCACCCATACCCTACCCATAATCAATGGGTCTACTTGGGTTTAGGTAAATATCATTTAGTAGCCAAAATTTTCAAAAAAAATTAAATTGGTTGTTGACCGCCATATATATATTCTCAGTCAATATTACTAACAAAACTGCTAACACAATTAATTTTAGACTAATAATACTAACAATACACGATAATGGACCACATAATACATGCTCATATGCTATTTTCGCTCCGCGACAAGGCGCGACATTGCCACCTAGTTTGTAAGTTTATATGTGCAATTCATTAGACGAATTTTAATTTTGCACTATGCACCCCATAAAATTTTAAATTTTTAAATTTTTTGGACCCCATTTAAAATAATCTTGCGTTAAGTTGATTTCTCAAATCATTGGGTTCAGTTAGTAGGTCCATTCCACCAAGAGGGTTGCCTAATCAGGCTGTATGCCTGATCAAGGCGGCGCATTGACAACAGTAGTATTCAAGACATTTTCTTGGGACTGCCAGACTTCGTATGGCTTTTGTGTTTGCCAGTTTCGCAGGTGTAGCTGTTGAACCGACTTTTGGGAGGCTGTCGTGGAGGTTATACAATGACGAAGTTGGCGTCATGCATATCTTCCGGGTTCGGATGTGGGTGCGAGTTCGATGGCAGTTTACATCATTTTATAGGTTTGTAGGGTTTTTTTATCACTCTATCTTAAAAACTAGCAGAGCTACCCATTTCGTGACATCAAAGACTCTTTCATCGATAAATCAACTCTACTTATAATACGCGGAAGGGGAAAACAGCTTCCCCATTTCAAATTTGCTGCCTCCGGAGCGTTTCTTGGACGGGTAATTTCGGAAACGGAAAAATTACATCGGATCATATTGTGGCGTTCAACAGGCCTGGTGATTTTTTTGTTCCGTCAATCCGATCAGCGCTCGCTCCGTTCATTGTCGTCATCGCCGAAAACAGTCAGTGCGCTGTCTCTGTCCAGTCTCCATATTTGCCGTGTAACCGGTTCTTTGTCTGGGATTTAATTACTTCCGATTCGCCTCTTGGAATCACAGTTCTGTCCAGGTCTGCGGTTCAAATTGTCGGGTTCGTCTGAGGTTCCTTTCTTTGAAGTCGCTCTTCTAATCAATAGGAAAATTTAGTTTGCGTTCTTTACCAAAAAAAACCTGACTCCTGTCCATCAATTCTCTATACCTGCAGGGCAACCGCTTCTAATTCGGGATTTCAATTCGTGCGCTTCATGGAATGCCAACTCTGTTGAGTTTAGTGCTTTTCATTGGGTTCCACTGCTCACTCGAGTGCTTTCAATTGGGTATCGTACAACTTGCCGGCAGTTGCTTTTCCAAATCGTCTAATATTTTGTCTGCTCTCCATATCTTTCTTTCTCTCTTCTCTCGACAAAGTGGGTAAAGAAACCTCCTGAGTCCTGATGGAGGCGAAGACCAAGAAACAGAAATCCTTCTTCCCCCATTCCGCCAGTTAGTCTATGTTGGACAGGCTTGAAAACTATTCATCCGAGGTGCAAGCCCTTATTCTCTCGATGATTTTTTTATTTTTAAAAATTTGATGCTCAATGCTTAGATATCAACTTCACTTTTCAAGAGGTCCAGCGCCAAATGGTTGTACTTTTAAGTTCCTTACGGGTGGAAGTCTGGAAGAGTAGTTGCTGCAAATTATCATCTTTTCTGTTTATTATGTTATCTCAGTAATCTATTGAATTGTGTTGTGTTTTATTTGGTCTTGAGTTCTTTATATTTTACATTTTTACATAGCTAGGGGTTGAGAAGATGGGAGTTGCCATGAAAAAAATCAGTCAATCCCCACTATGTATTAGTTCTGTTGTGCTCTCATTGAGAAGTTGGGAGCTGACATCTTCTAATTGAGGGTTAATGTAATGATCTGTCCTGAAAACACTTTTTATCTTCTAATAGTTAATTTATGATTATGTGGTTTGCTCATATAAGCTCTTTGTGCTTCTTTGATAGGCTGGTTGGTGTGCATGATGTGCTTATGGAATTGGACATTAAAGCTCTTTGTATGCCCAGTAAGACAGCAGGATAAGCATTAGTTTAGCACGATAATCTTGACCCCTCTTTATCATATATATCTTGTAAGTTGTTAGTGTTCTTCGTACTTAAGTCCTCTCTAGGTGGTTTTTGATTCGTAAACCATCATTTTCTTCCTCATTTAGAGATCTGATCCATTAGTTATCAAAACTACCTTGCATTTTTTTGTTTTGTTTCGCTTCAGACGTACGTTGAGTTGAGTTTCCACGAACAGGACCCCAGTGAAGGTTATCAAAATCATTTTCCCAAGTAACCCAAGATCTCTTTGGTAATCACATATGCAAGCATCGCTTCATAAATTCATTTTTGCCAGGCGAGTGTTGTCCATCTGACGAAGGTAATTTGCCTAAAATAACCAGAAGTTTCTTTGGCTGCATACATAATTTATATTTGAGGGAATCATGAATGTTTGGTTTAGAATCCATACTTTAGTGTCTTTTCAGCCTCTCATTAAGTTATGGGGAATTACTGGCATTTCTATCTTGATATGTACACTAGGCTTGCTCCGTTTTAATCTATTACAATTGCCATTTGACATTTTGCAAGTGTTCCTGAAGCATTACTGTATGCTTTTTGTATATAGGGAAGGAAAATATGACCATACCTGTGTTTTGTCTCTTCAAAGTAGTGCATTATCATTCACCATTTATACCTTCTCTCATAAGGATGCTCTATTGTTAATGATTCACCATTAAACCTATTAAGAATTTATCATTCATATAAAGCAACTAACATTAGAACATGGCTAACTTGATTAGATCAAGAAAGGAAGATGATCGTCCATTAGTGTCATACTTTTCATGGATGAACGTATGCTTGGAATAAACTATAAAGGCAACATCCATTTATATGCACGTTTTACATTCAGTTTTCTGTGCTCATGAGTCCCTAAGCTTTGTTTTCTATTTTAATTGGTAGTTTTACTCGCATCCTCCATCACATACTGTTAACACATATTAAGGTTATTGTTAAGCAATTTTAATCTTTGGATGTGACTTTACAGTTTACCTAAGATTGAGGGAAGTTGTCTATTTAAATGCTTATGTTGATTCCACTTCCATACCATTAGGTTTTGTGCCATAATTGTGAAAAGCAACATGGATTATATAGTATTTTGGTATGGTGTCAATGTTATATGTTCTTCAAAGCATTCGTATGTTGATTACAAGTCACATAGTGATTCTAATACATTTTCTATTCCCGGTTCTATTCCACCACATGGGGCCTTCGTGCCATTGACAGTTTCCAACTTCAGTCAGAGTTACGATTACCTAATTGGTATAATTTGGTGATCACTATCCTCCTGGATTTGTTGGATCTTTCTGGTCTGACAAAGAAACGAAAAGACAACAAAGATATTGAGAGTATGAATACCTAAAAAGATCGCCAAGGTTCTCTTTCTACCTTTTGTTTTTCAATATTGGATACATGTATTGGGGTCTTTTAATCCATGCATCTTTCCATGTTTAATTGGACTTGATGAATTATTTTTCATGGTCTTAATGTTGAATGTCTCAGCTGAACAACATCAACAGACTGGTGAAGCTGCCTGTATAAGAATTGACAATGGGATGCTTCAAATTCAGAACCAAGAGAAAGAAGAGCGTCATCAGGAAGCTACACACGAGAATAATGTATACAAGGAACTACTTTCATCCAGAGTGGATATCATACATTTGAGTGCAATCGGGAAAAATCTCTGGCCATTCGATGTGCACAACGCAACGCAGCCCCATACTCTCTCTCTTCTCTTACCATCTTGATAAGCTCGACTTCTCTTTGGTCAGCAAGGAAACCGAAACCGCAGCGGTTAAGCTGCTTGAGTTGTATTGGAGTTACAGGTTGGGAAAATAACTTGCTGACTCCAGTGTGGTCGCCCCAGAGGTGACTGACCATGGGTGAGATCAATAGCCAAGAGTGAATGAAGAGTAACAAGTTGTTATGTAGGTGACACTTGCTTTTGATGAACTGGAGTGTTGAGTGATGATGTTAGGCTGTTAGCGCTTGCTGATATGCTAGAGGGGATAAGATAATTTTTTCCTTTTGGATTAAAGAGAGTTTAGGGAAGAACTAAGACTTCATTCAACTTAGTTTCTAATTGAGGTAAATGATATATTTCTGATTTACATGTCTTTGTGCCTTTGTGTTCATGTGCATTCTCCTCATTTTTCTATGTCTCATTAGACATTATAACGCTAATATTTCTTCAGTCGAGAATGAACTAATGTTTGTCACTTTTTTTTCTGCTTTTGAACCTTTGCTCAAACTTCGGTCTGTTCAATTTACTTGACCCAAAAATTGCTCCATGCAGAATATACAATGATAGTGACTCTGATGAAGAGTTCATGTCTAGCTTAGGGTTTTACCTGAAGCACATTGTTGGTTGAAACCTGGCTGAGTAGTAGGGTGTAGCTTGGTGAACAAACATGCCTCATTTGTCTGCAGGGCACTCAAATATGAGAAGGACGCTGGCCGGGTGGCCATTCTTCATCTCCTGCAAGCAGCAAAACACACGTAATGTGTATAAATTGTTGTTTATTCACAAAAGTCAGCAACTTTTGGAAATGAATTGCAGAACTGTGAATGTTTCAAATGTCACAAGTGAACTGGTTTTTGCGAAGTCATACAAGAACAAGGATGGATTGAAGTAAGAAAGGGAGTTTGTGTCACTTTACTTCAAGAGATGGATCCAAATTTCACAAGCGTGGCTGTGAGTTTTTGCTGTTGATATCATGAAGTTAGATGCATCAAGAGGAAATAACTTATGGAGTCACTCTCAAAAGAGTTTCCTAATGACACTATTAGATTCTCTTCCAAGCTGGTTTCACTTCAAGAGTCAGGTTATTTCCATCTTGCTGATGGAATCAAAATCAAAGGCAAGGTCAAACCAAAAAGAATGTCATTTTTTTTTGTCAATGTTCTTTTGCTTAACTATGCAACCCAAATCCAAACCTCACATGTCCATTTCAATTGGACGATGTTGATCTTTGTGATAGACTGAACTCAGTGGTGGCAAAATGGTCGTGGTTTGGGAAGACAGCTTTTGTTAGGTCTTCCATTAGAGTTATTCACACTTCGTATCAAGCCATGATTTTGTACACAATGGTTTCCTTACCAATTGAACCAAATAGGTTTTTTATTGTCGTACTTCAATATAAGTTAAAAATTTCAAATAGTGTTCTTCAAATTAATAAAGCATAGGTCTTTATCATTACTTCAATCAATGATATGCATTGGTTATATATATGGACACCTCGCAACACATTCATTATGTTGATTGCAATTTATCAAATTCATACCATTTTCTTTCGGCCAACGGACCGTGCTATAAGCTAGTGAATTAATATTGACTACCACGATTTACTTTTCAAACCGTTGTAATCTCATGCCTATTATTATCCGCAAAAAGAAGAAGAAATCTTTGGGTTCAGCAGCTTTAAAAACAACCTTGGTTTCTACAAAAAAAAAAACAACCTTGGGCTCAGCATTGTGAACAAGCCCAATACTTCAACATGTTAACTGATTGTACTTCTATAGTCTAGTTAAGCCATTTGGGCCAGACATTGCTATCGCCCATCCACATAGAATGATAACCCCATGCAGCTTGGGCCATTCAATACCCATTTAATTTTGAAGGATCAGGCCCAGCCCAATTAAACCTCCCCTTCTTCATCTTTTCTGGACTATATAAATATACCGCGCAAAACCCTAATCCCACTCCCCTGAAACACAGAGAGAGAGAGAGAGAGAGAGAGAGAGCGAATTGCAAAGAGAGGCAACCATGGCTGACAGAGGTGGAGCCGACAGAGCCGGTGGCGAGAGAGGCCGCCGTGGATTCGGGGGACGGGGAGGCGACCGAGGAAGGGGTCGTCGCCGCGCCGGCCGCCGCGACGAGGAGGAGAAGTGGGTTCCCGTGACCAAGCTCGGCCGCCTGGTGAAAGAAGGCAAGATCCGCAGCTTGGAGCAAATCTACCTCCACTCGCTCCCCATCAAGGAGTACCAGATCATCGACACCCTCGTCGGCCCCGGCGTTCTGAAGGATGAAGTCATGAAGATCAGCCCCGTCCAGAAGCAGACCCGCGCCGGACAGCGCACCCGGTTCAAGGCCTTCGTCGTCGTCGGCGACGGGAACGGCCACGTCGGATTGGGCGTCAAGTGCAGCAAGGAAGTCGCCACTGCGATTCGCGGCGCCATCATTCTGGCGAAGCTGTCCGTGATTCCAGTCAGGAGAGGGTACTGGGGGAACAAGATCGGGCTGCCACACACGGTGCCGTGCAAGGTCACCGGGAAATGTGGCTCCGTCACCGTCCGGATGGTGCCCGCCCCGCGTGGCGCTGGGATCGTCGCGGCTCGCGTGCCCAAGAAGGTTCTGCAGTTTGCTGGGATTGAGGACGTTTTCACTTCCTCCCGTGGATCCACCAAAACCCTTGGAAATTTCGTAAAGGTCTGATTCGATTTCTCCCTTCATTTGGACCAATGTTTTGTTATTTTTCTCGTGGAATGGTATTTTATCTATACATGATGTAGGATGAGCTAGGTTCTAGTTTTACTTGTGATTGCTGAAATCAGCCAATCTGAAGTAATGGATTGCTAGCTCTCTTGCTCAATTGCTAATGAAGTTCATCTCATAGTTGGATTGCGAGGGAGTCCGATTCTCTTAGTTGGGTAGCAGCAATGGAAGTTTACCTTTGAAGAAATGCTTGTGAAGTTTTGCACTTTGTTTGTGATGGTTTGATTGCTTATGACATGGGAAGTGATGTCAATGTATGCAGTTGGAGGCAGAATGATTTGGTTCATAATGCTTTTATGTTTTTGTGGTAAATTCTGATTCTGGGGACTGCTCGTACTGATCAGAGGTCGGTCTGTTCTTTGTTTGATGCAACAGGCTACATTTGATTGCCTCCTGAAGACTTATGGTTTCTTGACCCCTGATTTCTGGAAAGACACCCGCTTCACCAAGTCGCCTTTCCAAGAGTACACCGATCTTCTGGGAAAGCCAACCAAGGCCCTTATCCTTGAAGACGTCGAGAGAACCGAGGCTTGATGGTGAAAATTTCTTGACGACGAGATGATGTAGGATCTCCGAAAAGGCAGTCAGTATGCAATACTTGGTTAGCTTGCAGTCAGTATCAAATACTTGGTTAGCTTCTTGAGAACGATAATCTTGTCAATGTTCCTGTGTTCTGTGTTGAGTTTGTTTAGGATACAGTTTCGAATTCCATCTTCGAGGTTGTAACTTGGTTTCTTTTCAATTCAATCGAAATTTTGATGGTCTGTGGCTTGGATATTGAATTGTAAACTATTGATGTGCTCTTCATCATATTTGTATTGTGCATCTCTTTGCATAAGCGTACAATAATTCTCTTCTTTTCAAAGTTCGCTACAGGTTCATATTAATGGAATCTGCTCGATTGTCATCCCTATCAACCATGACCATCACAATTTCTTGTCCAGTAGAGAAGTTAGTTCCTCCAACAATGATTTCAGATCAGAATTAGAAGATCCTCCTTCTTCATTTGCCATGACAGCCATTTTCTGAAGCTTCCTAGCTCTGCCCCTCAGTTCTTTCGCCTCCTGGCCGACCATCACCCGAGTCATCGCCCTCTCTATGTCTTCCCTCCCCACGACGATCTTCCTCTCACCTCTCGACCATTCTTGAGCTCCAACTCCAACACCGATCTTCAGAACATCGGTCACCAACTTCTCGTTGAGAAACTGCTCTGCCTGGAGCGGCCATGTCACCATCGGCACCCCTGCAGCCACAGCTTCGAGCGTCGAGTTCCATCCGCAGTGCGTCATGAACCCTCCGATCGCCGTGTGATCGAGAATCAGCACCTGAGGCGCCCATCCCTTGATCACAATCCCTTTCCCATTCATCCTCTCCTCGAACCCTTCCGGCAGCAATTCCCCCTTCTTCACAACCCAGATGAACCTCTGCTCCGATGAATCCAGAGCACCAGCGATCTCACACAGCTGAGCATTCGACATGTTGGATATGCTCCCAAAGCAGATATACAACACCGAATTGGGTTCCATACCATCCAGCCATCTCAAATGGTCATGTTCATCGATGCCGGCGGCGGAGGCAACATTTCCTCTCTCTGCTTTTTCCTTGGTACCGTCCTTGTTACCGAGCGACAATGGACCAATCAACCATGCCTTTCTCCCCATCACCTTCCTGTAGTACTCGGCGTACCCCGGCTCAAGCTCGTGGAAGCTATTCACTACAGCCCCAAAGCTGTTGACCTCCGATTCCTCCATTTTCTCTCGCAGTTCCTTAATCCCGCTATCCGATTCATCGCCTTTCAAAAAAGGCGGGAGCTGCAACTTGGTCAATTGAATCTCATGCGGCAATCCAGGGAGAAGAAAAGGTTCGGAATCAGATTCCACCTCTTTGTACGGCTCGTGGAATTTGAGGGCGTGAAGCAAAGACACGGCGAACGCCCCTGTTCCGTTGAAGAAGAGCCTCGGGATGCAGAGTCTCCCGGCGGTCTCTGTAGCCCAGGTGAAGACGACGTCGGCGACGATGCAATCCGGCCGCCAATTTCGGAGGAGATCCTCGACTGGGCGCTGGAAGACGGCCATGGACTTGAAGAACGGGATCATGAGCTCGGGAGACTTGATGGCGTTGACGTTCTCGCAACCTTCCGGCAGCCCTGCCTCTGCACAGGGGAATTCGATGATGTGGGTTTCGATTGGGAGACCAGATTGGGCGTCGCGGCGGATCTTGCCGGAGAAGAGAGGGGCGTTGAGGGGAGTGGTGATGATCGTTGACTTGACGCCGCGGCGGGCGAAGAGCCTCGCCATGTCTGTGATTGGGATCATGTGGCCTTGAGCCATGAAAGGGAGGAAGACGACGTGGAGCTGGTGGTGGTGGTGGTGTTGTGGATCCATTGATTTGGAGGGAAGTGAAGAACTTGAGTGCAGTGGGATTGATCTGTGGCAGTGATCTGGTTGTTCTTGAGATTTTTATAGATGCCGTTTTAGGACTCGCTCGGGTCACTAGATTTGGAAGAATAGCCGTGGAAATTAAGGCGAGTGGCGGTCTATCCCAGTAATGTGATCCATCCCTCTTTTTCTCTGTCTGCTTGTTGTTGAAAAGTATTAGCCTCCAACTTTGACCATATGGAAACTGGCGACATTCTAAAAATCGTATAGGGAAAAACGTCAGTAATTTGATATTTTATGATGAAATGTGATTTAACTGTAGTTCAACTGTTTCAAAACGTTAATAACCGCATATGAATTAAGATCCTTATAAAAGGTTTTTCATATCGAATTGTCGGTACAATACGATTTTACAAACACTGATTTTTTGTGATGCAATTCGTTTTGTCATATGGTCGTAACAATAACAACTACGGATATGAGAATAAGTTTGCAAAACTTCCTCAAAAGATATGGACTCTATGAATCTGAATATTTACAAACCAGAATGAAGATGGTTTAGAGAAATCCGTCGCTTTGTCATCTGGGATATCCTCAATCCCAGTATTGTCTAACCTAAACCATACATCTCTGCCATGGCTACGAAGCTCCTTCAGCTCATCAATCAAACCATACAAATCTTTCCAAGAAGACCCTCCTTCTTCCACAGCTCTCCTCGCCGTTTCACCGACCTTTCTCGCCCTCTCCCTCATCTCCCCTGCCTTCCAGCTGTCGCCGTCCATAAACTTCCTCACCGCTCTCTCTGAATCTTCCCCCCTCATCTTCCCGCCGCGCAGCCGCACCCAATCTGTCGCTCCCACCGCCACGCCGATCCCCAGCACCTCCATCACCAGCTTCTCGTTGTAGAATTGCTCCTCGAACATCGGCCATGTCACCATCGCCTTCCCCGCTGCCACCCCTTCCAGCGTCGAGTTCCACGCGCAATGCGTCACGAATCCTCCCACCGCACGGTGCTCCAAGATGGCAACCTGTCCAAAAGATAAAAAGAATAACAAATAATTTCCCAATAGTGGGTTTAGCCCAGTCGGCGCATCGGCCCATAACCTAGCAGCCCGATGTGTCATCCAGCAAGCCCAAGGTGGCTTATGCTTGTGCTGCGTATGATTGTCCATGTAGCACTAGTTGTACCCTCGTTGAGTATGTAGAAGGGTATAATAGCAAGTGTATGACCGTTGGCCATCATTAAGAACGTAATAACATATAAGCTTGAGAGAGTTGTTCTCTCCCGTTGACTAGTCCCGATCATCGGGGATACTATGATAGATCGTGTCTCGTTTATTCCGCATTATCGATTTCAGCATATTTTACATGGTATCAGAGCATTGATCCGTTTCAAAGTCAAGTATGTCTGGAGAAGAGTCATCCCTCGAGACTACTCCGTCGTCGAAGTCCGACGAATTTGGTTCTGGTGGAAAGGATGTTGAGTTGCTTAGTCCATTCTTTGTACACCACTCTGATAACACTGGGCATCAACATGTCAGCAGCCTTTTGACGCCATCAAACTATGCCGAGTGGGTCTTGGAGATGCGCAATGCTTTGGTAACAAAGAACAAGCTAGGGTTTGTCGATGGATCAATTCCTTTTCCGCATGATAACCCTTCCCTTTCCCATGCGTGGATGCGTTGTGATGCCCTAGTCAAAGGATGGTTGCGCACCGCGATGGATGGAGAGCTACGTAGTAGTGTCATGCATGCCAAGCAATGTTGTCAGTTCCGGACCGGGCAGCAACCTGGATTAACGAGAGATTTAAGGTTTATCGGACAACCGGTAATTAACCGGTATAAAACCGTTTATAAAACCGGTAACATATAAAATTTTCAAATTAAATAATTATGAATTTTTTGTACATATGAAAATTAGTACTAGTTATGAAATTGAGAATTCTATACTTGATATACATATTCAATAAAATAATTCAATATTAAAAATTTAATCACAGTACTTTTAATTTATAAATAAATGAGAGTATCTGAAGATATGGGAGATATGGGAGGATCTCCAGGATCGCTTTAGCAAAGGGAATCTTACTCGAGCCTACGAGCTGCGTCGGCACGTCAGTCTCCTGCAGCAGGAGAACCAGTCGGTCTCAAGTTTATATGAGCCTTCAAAAAGTTTGGGAGGAGACCCAATCGATCTTGCCGCCGCCACTTTGTCCTTGTGGGCGACGAAGTCGGGACCAAAACGAGAGCCTGAGGCTCCTAGATTTTTTTCTTGGGCTCGACGAGTCTTACGCGACCGTTCGAAGCCATATTCTTTCCATGCCCACGTCGCCGACCTTACCTGGTGCGTTCCGCATCATATATAACGATGAGCAGCAGTGCAGCATTACTCAGAGTCACAAACCAGTGCCAGAGGCAGTTGCTTTTGCTACGCGTTGAGATGCTAAGAAGCCAGTTGGTGCAAGTCGCAACCCTCGTGATCAAGAGCGCGGTTCTAGTGAGAGAGAAAGGATGCAATGCAGCCATTGCAGCAAACCGAGGCACCTGCGACAAACATGTTACGAAATAATTGGTTGGCCTTCTCGTGAATCTCGTGGCAAGCAAGCTAACCGGCCAAATAGAAGGAGGAACCGAGAGGCTGGGCGAGATTCTGGGCATTCACGTGGTGAGAGTAGAGAGCCCCGAGCTTCACAGGCCGAAGTGGAAGCAAGCCCCGTGCGTGGTTTCTCTGTACAACAACTAGAACAATTAAAGTAGTATTTCGGTGGGCAGTTTCTTATCCTTTGTCTAATCATTTGCTTATGACAAGTTTTCACCTAATTACTGTGCGTTTCTTGCTGCAGTAGCACACCATCCGAAGCCAAGGAGTTTCTTTGAAGCATTGCACCATGAGTGCTGGTGACGTGCTATGGGTGTTGAAGTCGCCTCCCTCGAGCAGAATAGGACATGGAGTCTCGTTGTTTTACTCCGGGAAAGCATGTAATTGGTTGTAAATGGGTCTTTAAAGTGAAATTTCGACCTGATGGCACCATAGAGCGCTACAAAGCGCGTTTAGTGGCAAAGGGGTACACGCAGGTGGAGGGCGTTGATTTTCATGATACTTATACACCGATTGCTAAGCTTGTTACGGTTCGGTGTCTTCTTGCAGTTGCTGTCAACAAGGGGTGGTTCATTCATCAATTAAACGTCAACAACACATTTCTTCACGGTGATCTGGATGAAGAATTTTATATGTGTATTCCTTAGGGATTTGCTGCACCGGGTGAGACTCGCATCTATTGTCTTCACAAGTTGATCTACGGCCTACGTTAGGCTTCACGGAACTAGTATCACAAATTTACTGCAACACTTTGTGAATTACAGTTTCGTCCATCACCGGCAGACCATTCACTTTTTAGCTTTCGACGGGGGAGTATCCACGTCGTCGCTCTTATCTACGTGGACGATGTCATTCTGGCTGGTAATTGTCTTGACTTTATTACTCGAGTGAAGTAGTTTTCTCCATTCCCGGTTCACTATAAAGGATCTTGGTAGCTTGAGTTATTTTTTGGGGATTGAAGTTGCCTGGTCGCCTGAAGGAGTTGTTCTTAGCCAGAGGAAATACCTCCTCGACATCCTTAGTGATTCGGCAGTCTTGGGGAGTCGACCGAGTGCTTTCCCGATTGAACAGAATCACCATCTCACTCAGTCTGCCGCATCTGATCACCCAGATCCTTCTGTTTATCGCCGTCTGGTAGGAAGGTTACTCTACTTGACAGTCACGCGACCGGATATCACCTACGGCATCAATATTTTCAGTCAGTTTGTCCATGCTCCTACGAGAGCACACATGGAAGTAGGTCAGCGGATACTCGGATATCTCAAGTAGTCACCAGGTCAGGGACTCTTCTTTCCTTCATCGACCACCCTGGATCTTGTTGCCTAATACGATGCCGATTGGGGTGGTTGTCAGTCTACCCGACGTTCTACCGCTAGGTATGTTATCATGTTTGGAGGGGTTCCTGTGTCATGGCGCACCACGAAGCAGCATGTTGTCGCCAGGTCTTTAGTAGAGGCTAAATATAGAGCCATGGCTAGTACAGTCAGTGAAGTTCTTTGGTTGCGTTGGCTGTTACAGGAATTGGGAGCTCCACAGAGTGGTTCTACTCCACTGTGTTGCGATAATCAAGTTGCCCTTCACATAGCAGCTAATCCCGTCTTTCACGAGCATACTAAACATGTGGAGATGGATTGTTATTTTGTTCGCGAGCGTGTTCAATCCGGAGATATCAAGCCCTTGAAGGTCAGCTCACACCTCCACGTTGCATACATGTAACATGTTCACCAAAGGTCTTGGGGCTGAACGCTTTCATTTCCTCTTGTCCAAGCTGCATGTTCGTGATCTACACGCTGCATCTTTGTGGGGGAGTAATGGGTTTAGCCCGGTCGGCGCATCGACCCGTAACCCAGGAGCCCGATGTGTCATCCAACAAGTCCAAGGCGGCTTATGCTTGTGCTGCGTATGATTGTCCATGTATCGCTAGTTGTACCCTAGTTGAGTATGTAGAAGGGTATAAAAGCAAGTGTATGGCTGTTGGCCACCATTAAGAACGTAATAACATATCAGCTTGAGAGAGTTGTTCTCTCTCGTGGACTAGTCCCGATCATCAGGGATACCACGTTAAATTGTGTCTCGTCTATTCCGTATTATCGATTTCAACATATTTTAAACCCAACAACTCGAGTTATTGGTACCAAGTGATTAGTACGCTAACAACCTGCGGCGCCCATCCTCTTACGTATCAATCCTCTCCCTCCTAATCTTGCCTCGAATCCTTGAGGCAGCCATTCGCTCTCGTCGTTGTCGTTGTCTCCCTCGTCCCTCCACTACCCATACGAATTGCTCCGCTGAAGCTTCCAATCCGATAGCGATCTCCCTCAATTGCTCCTTCCCGAACATCGACATGCTCCCGAAGCAAGCGTAGATCTGTAGTATTAGGCAGAATCTCATCTCCAGCTCGTGAGAATTTCTGTATAGTGATTTGTGAAAGTGAAGCTCAAGCTTTCTACTGACTTCTCTGTTCTTTTTATAGTTAGCAACGAAATTAAATCAAACTTCAACTCCACGTGTCTTGTTTCTACTGGCCATTAGCAACTAAAACAGTGTTTGCTTAACGACTAATAACTGGAAAGCGAAACGTCGTCGCAGCGGCTAATAATGGAACCTGCTCGATTGTCATCCCTATAAGCCATCACAATTTCTTGTCCTTAAGAGACTTTAGTTCCTCCAATAACGATTTCAGATCAGAATTAGACGATCCTCCTTCTTCGTTCGCCTTGACAGCCATTTTCTGAAGCTTCCTAGTTCTGCCCCTTAGTTCTTCTGCCTCCTCGCCGACCATCACCCGAGTCATCGCCCTCTCTATGTCTTCCCTCCCCACGACGATCTTCCTCTCACCTCTCGACCATTCTTGAGCTCCAACTCCAACACCGATCTTCAGAACATCGGTCACCAACTTCTCATTCAGAAACTGCTCCGCCTGGAGCGGCCATGTCACCATCGGCACCCCTGCAGCCACAGCTTCGAGCGTCGAGTTCCACCCGCAGTGTGTCATGAACCCTCCGATCGCCCCGTGGTCGAGAATCAGCACCTGAGGGGCCCATCCCCTGATCACCAACCCTTTCGTCCTCTCCTCGAACCCTTCCGGTAGCGATTCCCCCTTCTTCACGACCCAGATGAAGCTCAGCTCCTCGAACGACTCCAGAGCACCAGCGATCTCACACGGCTGAGAATCTGAAATGTACGATGTGCTCCCAAAGCAGATATACAACACTGAATTGGGTTCCCTAGCATCCAGCCATCTCAAACATTCCCGTTCATCGATGGAGGTAACCACATCTCCCCTCTCTGCTTTTTCCTCTGTACCATCCTTGTTACCGAGCGACAATGGACCAATCAGCCATGCCTTCCTCCCCATTACCTTCCTGTAATACTCGGCGTACCCCGGCTCGAGCTCGTGGAAGCTATTCAACACGGTACCAAAGCAGTTGACCTCCGATTCCTCCATTGCCTCTCGCAGCTCTCGAATCCCGCTATCCGATTGATCCCCTCTCACGAAAGGCGGGAGCTGCGTCTTGATCAATCGAATCTCATGCGGCAGGCCGGGGACAAGAAAGGGTTCGGAATCAGATTCCAATCCGTTGCAAGTCTCGTGGACTTTGAGGGCGTGAAGCACAGACACGACGAACGACCCTGTTCCGTTGAAGAAGAGCCTCGGGATGCAGAGTGTCCCGGCGGTCTCTGTAGCCCAGGTGAAGACGACGTCGGCGACTATGCAATCCGCCCGCCAATTTCGGAGCAGATCCTCGACGGGGCGCTGGAAGACGGCCATGGCCTTGAAGAACGGGATCAAGAGGTCGGGGGACTTGATGGCGCTGACATTCTCGCAACCTTCCGGCAGCCCTGCCTCGACGCAGGGGAATTCGATGACGTGGGTTTCGATTGGAAGGCCCAATTGGGCGTCGCGGCGGATCTTGCCGGAGAAGAGAGGGGCGTTGAGGGGAGTGGTGATGATCGTTGACTTGACGCCGCGGCGGGCGAAGAGCCTGGCCATGTCTGTGATTGGGATCATGTGGCCTTGAGCCATGAAAGGGAGGAAGACGACGTGGAGCGGAGGTGGATCCATTGAATTTGGAGCTGGAGAGGGAAGTGAAGAACTTTGAGTGAAGTGGGATTGATCTATGGCAGTGGCTCTGGTTTTTTCTTGAGATCCTTACAGATCTTTAAGGCGAGGGGCGGTCTATCCAAGAAAAATAATGTGATCATCTATTCATCTTTTTCCTCTGTCTGCTTGTTGTTGAAAAGTTTTAGCCTGCAACTTTGACAATAAGGAAACTGATCGTTTAGCTGAGTATTGTCATATTTTTGGAAAGATTCTAAATTCATATCGGACTGCTTTCATTCTCACTTCTGGGACTGCTTTCATCGACCAAGAGACTAGAAACTTTAGTTAACCAAACAATCCGCGATCTTTGTCCATAAAATCCGCGCTCTACCGTTAAATAAAATTCGCGAATAATTTGTGAATCCATGAGAAATCGCGTTAATACGCTCCAAAGCGGGAGCGGCAAGGGTAAAGTGACGAATTATGTAACCTAACAAAAACCTATGATGAATTACACATAAAGGGGTTTCTACTTAATTTCTATATTACAGAATTTTTACGCAATATTGTGTTATAAAAGTCGCGTATATTATATAATATCAAACTTATAGAGGAACTATTTATGATTCTTATCTTTGTTCGGAGAGATCACGGTTCAAATCTTATTATTAATGTATTTTTTCCTGTAAATAAGAAAATAATAAATGACTGTGAAGACGAATCTACCCCTCCTAATTTCACTCTGGATGCAGGAAATTTAAAATGTGGTTTCAAGTTTTCTCATTTGGTTTTATTTATTGTGTAGATAGTTATTTTCAATGTATCAACTTATACAAAAACATAATGGGGTATAACTTCCATAATGATTAAGACATTATGTAAAACATATGGAGAGGTTAGTTATTGTTCATATAATAGTATATAGTAGTTTAATCAAATGTGATACTTTTCATAACTCAATTACTTTATTATTATCTCATCAATTGCATTATGCAAATGATTAGTAAGGTAAGTTAATTTCTACATAATAGTTTAGTCAAATATGATGATTTTATAATTTGATTTTATTATTAGACCACACATTTCAGAGTATTTATGTAACACCATGCTATAAAAGTTATGTAAATTATAATAGATCAAACTTATGAATAGATAGTTATTTCTTATGTATCAATTAAAAAACACAATATAGTATGACTTTCATAATGATTAAGTCATTACGTAAAACTTATGGAGGGATAGTCGTTTCTTATGTATCAATTAAAAAAGTATTATGTAAGTCTTTTGTAGTATAAATTTTAATGATATTTTCAGGTTTTCTCATTAATTTACATTACACAAAAGTTTTATAAGGTTAGTTATTTTTCACATGATAGTTTAATCAAATATTCAAATGTGATGCTCTTCTTAATTTAATTCTTTAATTATTGATTAAAATTTCTTTATTATTAACTATGATATTCACTACCTCATCAATTCGGATTACAAAAAGGTTTCATAAGGTAAGTTAACTTTTACATAATATTTTACTCGACTATGATACTTTTCCTAATTTGATTTTATTATTAAACCACACATTACAAAAAAAATTATGTATACCATTATATAACATTACGTAAATAATAACATTATGTAACACCATTATATAATAGTTATTTCTTAAATATAAAACAAGTGTATTGCATTAGTCGAACCGCTGCGAAGGGCCAAAAATTATTAGTATTGTTATAATGAAGCGTGGTTTAACGGTAGTTCAACTGTTTTATAACGTTAATGACCGTCTATCGATTTAGATTCTAGTGTGAGGTTTTTTCCGTCGGTTCGTCAGTACGGTATGATTTCACAAACATTTATTTTTGGTGATACAACTCGTTTTTTCGTGGGCGTATTAATAACTTCAAGCACGAGAAATAACAAAAGATGTGCTCCAAGATTGAAGTTGCAGCGGATGAACACTAATTTCTTTTACTGAATTCGCCACTCACTTTTTCACTTATTTTCCCTTTTGTTAACAAGATGATGTTAGTTATTTATCGTTTAATAGATGCATTGGAGTCGGAGATAAATGATCTGTGTAATATTGTACATTGTCTTATAAATCAATGAATATATTCAAAACTAGATGCTTTAAATTTGAGTTGAGAATCATTGAATCTTTGTTATTTTATACTTCATTAGATTCTTTTAGTTTTGTAATTGAAGAACTACGTGTTGAATTCTAAGCAATAAGCATAGTATAATATTTGAATATACAGACCGGAACTACTCACAAACCCTATAAACTCGATATGAATTTAAATATTTGAAATCGAGACTGAAAATGGTTAAAGAGATCGGTCATAACATTGTCATCCTCAATCCAGCAGACAAGTAATTAGCAATGGCAACGATAAAAAACAGTTTCGCTGCAAAGAGGATATAAGAACGGTGAAGTATTAACCTAATCATACATTTCCACCATGGCTGCGAAGCCGCCTCAACTCATCAATCAACCCATTCAAATCCTTCCAAGAAGACCCTCCTTCTCCCACAGCTCTCCTCGCCATCTCACCGACCTTCCTCGACCTCTCCCTCATCTCCCCTGCCTCCTCGTCGCCGCGATCCATAACCTTCCTCACCGCCCTCTTCAAATCCTCCCCTCTCAACCTCCCGCCTCGCAGCCGCACCCACTCCGTCGCCCCCACCGCCACACCGATCCTTAACACCTCTGTCACCAGCTTCTCGTTGTAGAACTGCTCTGCGAACATAGGCCATGTCACCATAGCCTTTCCCGCTGCCACCCCTTCTAGCGTCGAGTTCCACCCGCAGTGCGTCACGAACCCTCCCACCGCCTGGTGCTCCAAGATCGCAACCTGTCCAAGAAATAAATAAAAATTAGCAAACCATTTCTCAACAACTCGAGTTATTGGATGACTAAGTGATTAGTTCGCTACCAACCTGCGGCGCCCATCCCCTTACAATCAACCCTCTCCCTCTCAATCTCGCCTCGAATCCTTGAGGCAGCCATTCACTCTCGTCCTCGCTCTCGTCCTTCCTCACCGCCCATACGAATTGCTCCCCTGAAGCTTCCAATCCGATCGCAATCTCCCTCAATTGATCTGCCGCGAACATCGACATGCTCCCGAAGCAAACGTAGATCACCGAGCCGGTTCGTTTCCCGTCGAGCCACTTCAGGCAATTTGAATCTCGTTTCCCCCTTTCCGATTCCTTACCATTGTCGTTGTTGCAGAGAGACAGGGGACCGATGTGCCAAGCTTTTCTCTCGAGAGCAGATCTGTAGTAATCGGCGTAATCCGTCTCCAGCTCGTAGAAGCTGTTGACGATCACGCCGTAGCTTTTCAATTCCGACTCCCTGACCGATTTCATCAAATTCCCGAACCCAGAATCCCCACTCTGCCTCGCGTACTCCGGCAGCTGCTTCCTGGTCATGGAAATTTGACCGGGGAGATTCGGGATGAGGAACGGCTCCGAATCGGAGGATACCCTTTTGTGCGGCTCGTGGATCCCGACCGTCTCGGCGGCGGAGAGGGAGAAGAAGCCGGTGCCGTGGAAGACCAGCCTGGGGATTCCGAATCTGGCGGCGGCGGCGGTGGACCAGGGGAAGAACATGTCGGCGACGAGGCAGTCCGGTTTGGAGGTTTCGAGCAGGCTTTCGAGGGGCCGGCGGAGGGAGGCGGTGGCGAGGAAGAATTTCGGGGCTAGTTCGACGGCGTCCGGGCGGGAAGTGATGGAATCCATGCTCTCGCAGTTTGGAGGGAGGCCGGCATCTTCCGCCGCCGGGAAGGGGATGGTGGTTGTCTCGAGGTTCGGGATTGCGGCGGCGGCTGCGGCGAAGAATGGGTGGTTGAGTTTGGTGGTGATGATGGTGGATTTGATGCCCTTGGAGGCGAAGAACTTGGCCATGTGGAGGAATGGGATCATGTGGCCGCGCGCCATGAATGGGACGAAGAAGATGTGCAGCTGCTGGAAATGACTGGTAGTGTCATCCTGCGCCATTTTCGCTTTTCTCCCCCTTTGTGGGAGTTAATTGGGAGAGAAGGAAATTGGGGAAGAAGAATGGTGGTGAAATTCTATGGATGATGATGCCGCCATGGAAAATTAACTATTGAGCTGCCGGCCATGGGAATTGAAAAGAATAAGAAAAGAAAGAAAGGTAATTTGTTTTCTAATGGTGGAGCTTCCTTGGGTAATTTAGCGGGCCTGCCTAAGCTATTTCTTCAGCAGTCCACACGACGCCGCTTTGTGGAGTTTCTACTTTCTAGTTCTACCCTCCAAAATTCCAAGCTCCAAGCTAATTGAGACAAACTCCGGTGGATACGGAACCTTGGTCAACAGCTTCTACGAGCTGGAGCCGGCCTACGTGGACCACTACGGGACCGTTTTAGGCAGGAAGGCCTGGCACGTGGGGCCCGTTTCGCTAGCAAATGCTGACGTGGACGATAAAGCGAGCCGAGGACGAGGAGGAAGGCAAGCCGTCGTTGGCCAGGACCACCAGATCTTGAAATGGCTCGACACCAAGGAGCAAAACGCCGTCGTTTACATCTGCTTCGGCAGCGTGGCCAATTTCGGGGCGGAGCAGATGAGGGAAATCGCGATCGGGATCGAGGCGTCCGGTCGGGATTTCGTCTGGGTGGTCAGGTGCGGGCGGGACGGCGGCGAGCTGCCGGAGGGATTCGAGGAGAGGACGGAAGGGAGGGGGATGGTGATCCGCGGGTGGGCCCCGCAGGTTCTGATCCTGGAGCACGAGGCGGTGGGGGCGTTCGTGACGCACTGCGGGTGGAACTCGACGCTGGAAGGGATCGCGGCGGGGCTGCCGATGGTGATGTGGCCGGTGTCGGCGGAGCAGTTCTACAACGAGAAGCTGGTGACGGAGGTGGTGGGGATCGGAGTAGGGGTTGGGGCGGAGCAGGCGGCGGTTTACGGGGTGACGGTGGAGAGCGGGAAGGTGGAGAGAGCTGTGAGGAGGATTATGTCGACGGGGGATGAAGAGGTGGCGGAGATGCGGCGGAGGGCGAAGGATTTGGGAGAGATGGCGAGGAAAGCGGTGGAGGAAGGAGGGTCTTCGCACGCTGATTTGGGGGATCTGATCGAGGAATTGAAGTCGCGGCGTGGTTTTTTTCCCCCCAATCGATCACTCATAAGCATGGTCCATGAAACCATACCGGAGACCATACCGGAAAAGTAAGTGGTAGGGTATTTTATGGCAAAACCGTGGTTTAACCGTAGTTCAACCGTTAGTACCGTTAAATACCGCCTATCGGCTTAGCCTCCGATACTGGTATTTTGTGGTTGAACCGCCGGTACGGTTTAATGGACCATGCTCATAAGAAGAGGATACAGAATCGATCCAAGTTTACAACCAAACTATCTACTATTGTACCAGGCTACATAATCAAACCCCCTTTGAAAGGGAGGTGACAAACTCAGAGCACGACGGGCCACGGAATGAGCCACTCTGTTGAAGTTACGACCTATGAAAAGTACTTGCGAGTCTCCAAGATCACCAAGTAGGGAGAGAATCTCCTGCAGTATAGCACCGATCTTGCCATCTGAAGTGTCAAAGTGACGACATTTATCAATAACGACCTTAGCATCACCTCCAACAACCACATTACGGAGCCGGCGGCGCACACATTCCTGCAGCCGTAAAGCCAAAGATTCCAAAATATAAGGATCCTCAATCCCAGCATAATGTTGAGCCTTTGCCACCTGCAGATCTCCAGAATCGTCGAACAAAACAAAAGCAGCCACCCCTGCGGAACCCGTTTTCACAGCAGCATCAAACATAGCATGACACCGTGTACGAGGACCTGCAGAAGAAGGAGAAAATGGAATTGCAGAAGCAGCTCTACGTGGTTGAAGAATAGCCATGTCCACCTCTTTAAATTGCTGTTGCCACTGTGCTGCAAGAGTAGGAAGAAGAAGTTGCTTATGCTCAAAATGAGTGGAACAACGATTCTTCCATAACCGCCAAAGGAGGCAAACAATCTGCAACGTAAAATAATCAGAATCCTCCCCTGTTGCTGGCTGTAAAGAATGGCGAACAAACCCAACAAATGAACGCTTCTCCCAAACGCGAAGATGATGTCGCAAACCAATCAGTGACCAAAGTCTTCTAGCCACAACAAATTGGAAGAACAAATGTTCAATGGTTTCCTCTTTCCGACCACACACAGGGCAAATAGGAATTAAATCAACCCCACGAGCTGCAAGCGCTTCCCTAGTTGGTAAAATGCGAAGAAAACACTGCCAAAGGAAGAACAGTAACTTCGGCGGGAGAGACCTTGTCCATACCCACTTCCAGAGCCCTTGATCAAGAACGAAACACCATGTTTCTTCTGCACAGGTTGCTGTAAGGAAAAAGCCAAATGATACGCTGATTTTACTAAAAATTCTCCCGAAGATTCATAATGCCAGACTACCCGATCCGGAATTCTGCGAATCAGAAGAGGGATGGAGAGGATAGCAGCAGCCGCTTCCGGATGAAAGAAGTGACGCACAGCTCTATGATTCCATGAATGAGACCCTGGATCAATAAAGGTGGAAACAAGAATATTGGGATTAGCAGAACCTTGCCTTGGACTTGGAATAGAAGGAGGCGTAGTAGGAAGCCAAGCTTCTGTAAAAGCATGAATATCTTCTCCCGACCCAACTTGACAACGGAGACCACGACGAAGCAGATCCCGACCAAAAAGAACACTGCGCCATCCCCACGAACAATTACCCCGAACCTCAGCCTAGAGCAAATCAGAATCTTGAAAATAACGCGCTCGATAAACCCGAGCAAGTAACGTAGTCGGTTCTCGAAACACTCGCCACGCCACCTTCGCAAGAAGGGCTTGATTAAAGCAACCAAAATCGCGAAAGCCAAGGCCGCCAGAAAACTTACTCTCACAAAGATGCTTCCAAGCACGCCAACGAATACGCCGATGATTCTGAGTAGCACCCCACCAAAATCTTGCCATATGAGCATTAAGATGCTTAATCAGTTCAGCGGGGAGACGGAAGCAAGACATGACATAAATCGGTAATGCCGAGGCAACAGTTTTCAACAGAACTTCCTTCCCAGCCGCGGAAAGAGTCCGCTGTTTCCACCCTTGAAGCACTGTCAATAACTTTTCTTCGACATACCTGAAAGTATCTAATTTAGAAGCACCCATGAGCGAAGGGAGACCAAGGTAATGATCTTGAAGACCAAAAGAACCTACGCCCAGCGCAGAACTAATGTCCTCTTGATCAGGCTGCAGCAAATTGGGACTGTAAAAAGCTGAAGACTTAAGAAGATTAACTCGTTGCCCACTCAAACATTCATAATCCTGAAGCAGACGTAAAAGGTTGTCGCAGTCCCGACGTGAAGCACGTAAGAAAAGATACGAGTCGTCTGCAAAAAGAAGATGGGAAATGACATGACAAGAATGGTGTATCCGGACTCCATGAATTTCATGACGGTGAATAGCATGCTTGATCAAAGCAGTGAATCCCTCGGTACAAAGAGCAAATAACAAAGGGGATAAATGATAGCCCTGTCGAAGACCCCTGGAAGCCGAGAAATACCCCGATGGCTGGCCATTCATCTTAACAGAAAATGTAGCCGTGGTGACACATTCCTTGATCCAATCAATCCACTGAGAAGCAAAACCTAAGCGCCGTAAAAGAGCAAAAAGATAAGGCCATTCAACCCTGTCATAAGCTTTTTCCATGTCCAATTTCAAAGACATCACCTTTTCACGCCCCTGACGTTTATTCTTCACAAAATGCATCACCTCATGAGCAATAAGAACATTGTCCACAATTTGCCTGTCACGGACAAACCCATTCTGTTCTTCCGAAACGAGGGAAGGAAGAACAGCTCCTAACCGATTGGCAATGATTTTAGTAATAGCCTTGTAGAGGAATTGACAAAGACTTATCGGTCGCAATTGAGAAACCCTTTCAACAACTTCAACTTTGGGAATTAAAGTAAGCCAAGTATGGTTCATATTTCGAAGAAGGCGTCCTCGAACAAAAAAAGATGAGATAGCTTGAATCACACTTTCGCCTACAATATGCCAAAAAGACTTGAAGAAACAACCTGTGAAGCCATCAGAACCAGGAGTTTGAAACTCACCCATGTGAAAAATAGTCTCTTTGGTCTCGTGAGGAGTTACTGAAGATAACAGGATTGAGTTCATATGAGGAGAAACCAGCCGAGAAAAAGGAAGAGAATGTTCGGATTGGGCCGGCGGGCCATGTTTATGGATATGGGCCCACTGGATGATCTTCCTGGGTAAGAGGCCCGGTCATTACGAATTGGGTTTTGGAAACGAACTTTTTTGAGACATGGCTTGAAGTGGGCATTTATACATGTAAATGCATGGATGGTCATGGCCTCATGGGATCGCGATGTAATCCTGGCAAATAAATATGATTTACCAAATCGGTGAATTCAAAATTTTTTGAAAAGTTACTAAAATATTATTATAAAAATTTTGAGGTACCAAAATGCAACGTGTTGATCATATTTTCATTACCAGATGAAAATTTAGGTATCAAATTAAGGAATATGAGAAAATAAGCACTATTATACTTTTCAGAAAATACATGAATCCAACCAAAACCAACTAAAATAAAAACTCTTCTATAATTATAAACGAATCCCTTAAACAAATAAATAAATTTTAATGAGAATGTGACCTCTAAGATTGCAATTGAACAAGCTAATCAAGGCAATACAAAAATAATTTTCAATAGAAAGAGCTATAAATTAGTGAAACAAATCTCAGGAATAATTCTTTTAGATCTCTTTCCCTTTCTTGCTATAATTTCTCAATATTAAAATTTTAAATTTTTTATTACTTTAACATTTCTCTAGATCAGACAAAGACTTTTATTCACTTGATGTCTATATATTTATATTCACTAATCTTGATCAAAGCAGGAAATAAAAAGAAATTTTTGTTCGTATATAACAAATAGTGTTTGTGTCACTAGTTAGCCTTGAATTTGCACGTTACAAGTTCGAAACTTTTAAGTAGTACCTAACGAGAAAAGTAAATCTATATCATCCTTGAAAAAAGCTATGTTTGTATTAATACCGATCTCGTAGCGTGTTCACTAATTATGCTTTCCAACTTAATCTTCATCAAATTCTGCATTTATTTTTATGCATAGTTAGCAAGGTTAAAGAATCCGCTTTGCGTAAGGCGGGCGTTGGGGGTCTTGCCTTATCATGCATAGCCGCTGGAGGTAGAAATAGTAATTCGTACTAAATGAAATAGATGTTCTACTGCACTTCTACTTTAGTTCAAATTATTATGAACTTACTCAACACTTAAAAAATACAAAAAAAAACATATTACAAACTCGTAGAACCGTAGCTTATTATCTCACAAAGTTCTATGATTATTGAAAAGATTAATTTCATTTTGTTATTGATTACCGAAGACGAGGTGTCGTCGTCCATCATCGCCCCATTTTGGATTGCAAACTCGCCAAAAAAAATTTCCCAAACATAACATTTTGATGTTGCCTACACCTAGACCTGGCTTAACCACATCTTTTTTGTAGCATGATAATAAATAGGGAAAATATAAAAAGAAAATTATGAACAATTTCACCTATTGCCACTATATATAATTCCACTTCCTTAGTAGGGAAAGAAACAAGCCAGGAAATGGCCAATTCCACCGACCGGCAGCTTCACGTCTACTTCTTCCCGTTCCTCGCCCACGGCCACCTAATCCCGACCGTCGACATGGCCAAGCTCTTCGCCGGCCGAGGCGTCAAGACCACCATCGTCACCACCCCTCCCCACTTCTCCGCCGCCACCACCACCGGCCCAGACATCCAGACCCGGCTCCTCGACTTCCCGGCGGCCGAGTTCGGGCTGCCGGCGGAGTGCCAGAACCTCGAGTTCATCTCCGCCCACAACAAAGGTTGGGAAGGCGTCTCCCAATTCACACGCGCCACCGTCGCGCTCCGTGAGCCCTTCGAGAAGCTCCTGGAGCAGGACCGGCCGGACTGCCTCGTCGCCGACATGCTCTTCCCGTGGGCCACCGAATCCGCCTCCAGGTTCGGAATCCCGAGGCTGATCTTCCACGGCACCAGCTTCTTCGCCCTGGCCGCCGGTGAGGCCGTGGCGACCCACGAGCCGCAGAACGGCGTCTCCTCGGACGACGAGCCGTTCGTCATCCCCGGACTTACCGACGAAGTCCGGTTTACCAGGCGGCAGCTGCCGTCACGACAGACCACTGGTAACAAACACTAATATGGAAAATACCCAACTTCTAACCGACTTTTGATAAAAAAAAATATTATAACTTTGGTACCATATTACATAAGCAAATACCGGTAGCCAGGGGCGGACCCACGGGTGTTTACGGGTGTCCCCGGACACCCCTAAATTTTTGGAAAACGATTATCCAACCCCTGGTAGTAATTTACGTATTGATAAAAAAAATTATAATTGATAGTCGGGGACACCCCTAAATTTAAAAAAAGTGATTATCCTACTCTCATCTTTTAATTTGAGTATGAGAATATAGGTCGTAGTTTGGGTAATTCAAACTTAGGATACTTTTATTATTAATAAACATAATTTTCATTAGGCTACAACTCATATGTTATTCGATTTTAAACACTGTGTAATAGTATAATGTAATTCTCTATCTCTAATTATTTTCAAAATATAACAATTAAACAAATTTCAAGCTACCCTTAATTTGTATTGATTTATGGTTGTACAACAAGTATTGAAAGAGTCTTTTCAACTTTGGATTACATCAAGAACAAGTTTAGAAATTGAATATGTGATCAGTTCGTGAATGATTGTCTAATATGATATACAGAGACGATTTTTTTTGAACAGTGTAGACCCCAAGTGTGTTCTACAATCATTTTTTAATATGAAAACACATTGTGAATTTTTTTCAAACTGTATGAGTAAATTATTTCTTATTTAAATATTATTTATTAGTTATTTTAGAATTATTTTTATTTAATTTATTTTTTAAAAGAGGACACCCCTATGTAAAATTTCTGGGTCCGCCACTGCCGGTAGCACAACTTAATACTACTCGTACTGTGTATCCATATACAGGAAGCAACGAGAAGGAGGAGGACTTCATGTTTGAGTTTTTCAAGAGGGTAGGGGAGTCAAGCTCGGAATGTTTCGGGACGGTGGTCAACAGCTTCTACGAGCTCGAGCCTGCCTACGCCGACCATTACCGGAGGGTTCTAGGTAGTGTTAGTCATGTGGTATAAGATCAATTACTGAACATCTCTCCTATGAGTTCGAGTTATTTCGAGTTTTTGGGATCAACTGGTTTTTTCGACATGCAGGTAGGAGATCGTGGCACGTGGGCCCGGTCTCCCTTTGCAACGCGAACGACAGAGCAGTCCGCGGAAAGGAAGCCACAATCGACCGCGACGAGTGTCTAAAGTGGCTCGACTCCAAGGAACCGAACACCGTCGTCTACATAAGCTTCGGGAGCCTCGTGAAGTTCAGCGTCGAGCAAATGAGGGAGATCGCGATCGGGATCGAGGCGTCCGACTGCCAGTTCATATGGGTGGTCAGAGAGTGTCAACAAGATGATGGCAACAACTGGCTGCCAAAAGGATTCGAAGACCGGACGTCAGGGAGAGGGATGATAATCCGAGGGTGGGCGCCACAGGTCCTGATCCTGGACCATGCGGCCATCGGCGCACTGGTGACGCACTGCGGATGGAACTCGACGCTCGAGGGGGTCGCGGCGGGCTTGCCGATGGTGACATGGCCCGTAATGGCGGACCAGTTTTACAACGAGAAGCTGGTGACGGAGGTGGTGAAGATTGGGGTTTCGGTGGGCTCTCGGGAGTGGTCGGTTGACGGAGGAGGGACGGTGGGGCACGCGGCGGTAGAGAGCGCTTTGAGGCGCGTCATGTCGAGGGAAGTTGAAGAGGTGATGGAAATGCATCGGAGAGCTAAAGCTCTCGGGGAGATGGCGAGGAAAGCTGTGGAAGAAGGTGGATCGTCTTACTCAGATCTGGGTGCTTTGATCGAGGAGTTGAGATCGCAACGTGATGAACATTAACGTGGAATGTTAAGAGTTAAAATCAATACATCTTTTCAGTAGGATGTAATGAATGAATAATTTTTCAATTAGCTACACGTGTCGAATAACATGTTGCTTAACAAACGTGGTTCGTTTGGGATTCAAACGCACAAGTCTCGGTTTTCAAAGACTTGGATAATAATATCAAGAACCGGTTGATTTCAATAACTCGAGTTATTGAGAGACGTTAATTTATGAATCTTATACCCTTGACTAATACGGCATCCCTCTCGCGAACGAAAGCCTTCTCATACGTGCTTGAAGTTCGCACGGATTCGAATGCCCTATACTTAATAAACATGGGTTGTCGGCATCCCAACACAAGACCTTCTCTCGATCGTCAAAAGTTCTGGATATACAGTCTAGAACCAGTTGGTAATATCGGTTCTACTTTCCCATGTACATCTTATTTATTTAATATTTACTATGTCTTCTCGGCATCGTCTTATTTTCCTGCACTCGTGGCCCTCTCCCTACTCGGCTTTTCTTTATTGCTGTCTCGTGGCTCTCCACTCTTGCTATGAGAGGAACGAAGTAGCTCGAACAAAGTGAGAGGAACGAAAGCACTTAGAACCAAAGAGCAGGTGTCTTGAGTCTCGAAAACTGTTGTGGAATGAAGAGGACGACAAAGGTAATAATGCAGAGATGACATATCCCTATCCCTTTCCCTTTCCCTTTCGTCGTAGAAGACTAGAAGTGAGTGGAAAATTAGGACTCCAATTCCCCCTCTTAGCTATCATCATTTTTAACCAAAGGAAATGGAAAGGATGTAGTACCAGCTGCCAAGGACTGATTGTCAAAAATAATAACAAGGATGGGAGATGTCGTCGCGAAAAGTAGTGGTGGTGATAGTTGCGGTCCTAAATATGGAGTGGAGCAGTAAAGGGGACCAATCTAATCACTATGTATATATGGTTGTCAGAAAGAAAATTTGTATTTCGCTAGGTTGTGACGCCTATCCAATACATATCAAGTTATCAACATGTACTTTTTTGAAACAAATGGTTTCCATAGATTTTTGCGTGGAATTTGGCTTGAAAGTAAAACTGAATTTTGGTGTGGCCTTTCTCAAGCTTTTGGTAAATCTGATTTTTCTGATGGGAAGAAGATGAGTGTATTTCGATCTTGGTATATTGAGGATCACAAGCTCTATTTTTTTTTTTTTTTACATACTAGTCTCATTTAGAGCTCGCATAAAATCCTAGGTAGGTAAGTTTCCAGGTTCCAACCATACTGGTACATTGTACATATCAATGCACAGGGAGGGGGCGGGTTAAAGGGAGGTGTGCCGCTGTCCGGGATTACGTTGAAAAATTCAATGTTTCGGCACTATAAAATTTCGTATTGAAATTGAATGGATTGCACATTGACTTCTTGAAAAACGATTAAACAAACACAGTTCACACCTCCTTGAGCAAAGTTCAAACAGGGGTGTTCGATTTCACATAGGAATGGCAATGGGGCAGGTCCGGGGCGGGTATCTCGATACCCATACCCGCCCCGTGCCGGGCTGGGTCGGGTAATTTATCATGGGGCGCGGGTCGGGGCAGGTCGAACCATTGGGTATATAATTTATGGGAAAAACATTAAAATTATTCGTTATTTTAATTAAAAGATCGAGAAAGATAGCATAATTTGATAAAATGTAGTTAAATTATTGAAGAAATTGAGTTTTTCACTTATTTACAACTTTATTATACATAAAGTTTGATGTAATAAGAGGAAAATCCTAAGTCATTTGACTAAGATTACATGTAATTTAGGCAAGAACGGGTCGAGAATGGGGCGGGTCAGGGCAGGTCGGGTCGATGAGAGGTACCCATTCCCGCCCCGCCCCGCCTATGGGGCGGGTCGGACCCGCTCCAAAACAGGTCAAACAGGTCGGGTAAATCGGGTCAGGTCGAAATTGCCATCCCTAATTTCACATGTGGTTAGGTGTTTGGATCACAAGTGGTCAGAGTGGCCCCCTATTTTGCCTTGACTCCTTCCACTTAGTAGTTCCTCCTTAACTTTGTTTTGCTTGTCACATGTGGTTAGGTGTTTGGATCACATGAGTCAAACCGACAAAAACAAATTCACTGCTTATGATTGTGAGAGTGGGAGTGACCCCCTTACCACTTAATGTCCTCCCTTTTCGATAACCTAGGGGTATCTCAATTGTCACATTCTCCTTACATCACATCAAGGGGGTGTTTAACACTTAGCCAAATTACAAGAACTCGGATGAGTGTGACAATACTACGTGGGTGATGGTGTGGTTGGAAACTCCTTCCCCCATCATGCTAGAGTACATGACGCGTGATGATCCATTACATACGTAGCCAATTTTTTCCTCCTCGTCACACCAGCAGGCATGCGAATGAACTCGCATTGTCACACCAGGGGTAGGTTTATGACCCCCCTCACTCCATCAAGGGGTCTCAAAACTTACCCCGCCTCGTAGGACTGGGGGGAGTATGGCGATCTCTCCCCCATCACATCGGGAGGGGTATGGTGATCACTCTTTGTCGTCACACTGTGATGACCTCTATCATATTAAGGTGGTATTCCATATGTAGAAGGGTATGTTTTTGCTTCATAGGGTACATTACCCCATCTCGCCACATTAGGTGGGATACTCCAATTAGCCCATTTTAATTATTTTTTTTAATTGTTGTAATTAGCTTGATCTTGTGTATTTAATCAATTGTGATACAAAATTGGTATCGCAATGAATATGACCAGTCTAAGAAGGTAAAACAATCCATTAATAAATCTTTGTGACAATAATGTAGTTTTGTTTCAATAAACAAAACAATGCCCAAAAATAAATAAAATAAAAATCTACATATCCGATTCACTTTCCCCTCCGGCGAAGGTCCCGTTTCAGCTCTCCGATCAAAGCACTGACATTACCATACGAAGATCCGCCTTCCTCCACCGCTCTCCTCGCTATCCTCCCCAGCTCGCCGGCCTTCCTCCTCATCTCCGCCGCTTCCTCACCCTCCTCCGCCATCATCCGCCCCACCGCATCCGCCACCGCTCCGCTCCCCACCTTCACCCCGACCACCGCGATCCCAATCCCCAGGATCTCCGTCAGCAGCTTCTCGTTGTAGAACTGCTCCGCCGTCACCGGCCACGTCACCATCGGCAGCCCCGCCGTGATCCCTTCCAGCGTCGAGTTCCACCCGCAGTGCGTCACGAACCCGCCCACCGCCACGTGGTCCAGAATCAGCGCCTGAGGGGCCCACCCCCGAATAATCAGCCCCTTCCCTTCCATCCTCTCCTCGAATCCCGCCGGCAGCCAGCTGTCGTCTCCGCCGCCGCCGCCTCCTCCCCTGTTTGTCTCCCTTCTCACCACCCACACGAATTCCCGCCCGGAGGATTCCAGCCCGGCCGCGATTTCCTTCAATTGGGGATCTGAGAAGTTCGCTAACGTCCCGAAGCAGACGTACACCACAGATCTGGGTTTTTTCGAGTTCAGGAATCGGAGGCAGGAGTGTTCGTCGATGGAGGATTCTTTCCCTCTGCTTGCTCTGTCTTCGATCCCCACATTGCAGAGTGAAACAGGGCCGATGCTCCAAGCCCTCCTCCCCAATTCCTTCATGTACAGATCTGCATACCTCGGCTCGAACTCGTAGATCGTGTTGTGAATCGTCCCGTAGCTCTTCGATTCGGCCTCCGCGACTCGTTCGAAAACCTTCCCGACGAAAGTTTCCCCGCCGAGCAGCCTGTCGATGACCGGCATCTGGTCAATCGACAGAAAAACAGGTGGGCCGGGGAGGCCGGGTACGGGGAAGGGGTCGGACTCCGACCCGACCCGCTTGTGGGGCTGGTGGATCCGGGTCAGTTCGGAGAGGCACGACGCAAAGAAATTGGTCCCGCGGAAGACCAGCCTCGGGATCCCGAACTTCGCCGCCGAATCGGTGGTCCAGGGGAAGAACCAGTCGGCGAGGACGCAGTCGGGTCGGGTCTCCGCCAGGAGGTTCTCGAAGGGGGATTGGAGCATTTCCGCGGCGACGAAGAATTTGGTGACGGCGTCGAAGCCCATGCTGACGTCGAAATTCTCGCAGTCCGGCGGCAGGCCGGCGGCTGCGGCGGGGAACTCGAGGGTCTCGACGGCGATCGAGGGGAAGCTGCGGCGGAGGTTCTTGGAGAAGAGAGGGGCGTTGAGCGGGGTGGTGACGACGGTTACTTTGAGCCCCCGGGAGGCGAAGATTTTGGCGGTGTCGATCATGGGGATGACGTGGCCCTGCGCCATGAAAGGGAAGACCAGGATGTGGAGCTTTTCTTCTTCTTCGTCCATGGCGGAAGGAAGATTTTGATTCAAAGTTTCTGTAGTGTATAACTTGTTCAATTGATTTTCAATTTTTTACTGTGTTCCCCCAGGGTTAATATTCATAACCTGTTACTCTCGTGAAAGTAACTTATTTAATTTTTGATTGAAGGTAGGTTACGAGTTGTGTGAAAATAATTTAGGAACTCAATTAAATCGCGTTTCTATTTTTGTTTACTGAAACCCTATTTTGTTTCAAATTTTACATTTGGTAGGGAGAGTTTTCCTTTTCGGCGGGTAAATTTGGTGGTAGGTAAGTTATATTTCCTACACTATACATCAAATTAATTTTAGATAGTGTGATTTGGTGCTTTGCTATTGGTTAACGATTTCGAATTCGGAGTTTCTAGATGGAATTTACTTTTTATATAGTAACATAAAATGGGGTAGGTATAATTTGGTTGAGAAAGTATAGATGACGACAATCGATTCACAAAGAAGGAGTCGAACCGAAAAATTTAGCTGCAGAAATAGAGAGAGACGTTTTTATTTTTTTTACATTTTTGGTAAGATACCTAATTTTCTAAAATGTCTTCCATAGGTTATATACGTCAACATTCACCATTCGATCGAATCGTGGAAGTTACTTTTTTGTAAGGTATAATGTAAATTGAGCTCGTTAAACTTGGACGGTCTTTTATTCAAATTAGAATATCTTTTGGATGATGAAATTGAATGAGACAATTTGATCTAATTTTCTGAAAATGTTATGGTTGGGACTTGGGACCAATGAGGATGTAAAGTAGCAACTCCATCGTGACAGTTTGAATTGTCTAATTATACATCGATTTAAATGGTTAATGAATAAGTATGTATTGTGAAACAATGCAACAATGTATGAGAAAAATACTGATTAAAAGTCAATTGAATCAAATTTACACAATTTGTAAAGCAATTATTCAAACCACCACTAGTTAAATGTCTTATAAAATTTAAATTACAATAAAATACAGCGACTAAATTACCATTACATCCCAAAGACTGTACTTCGTTCATCTGAATAATATAGAGAAACAAACAACCTAGAAAAAAATCCCAATCAACGGCAGCAAGATTCCGACTGAATCTCCCCAATCAGATCATCAAAATCGCTGTAAGAAGACCCTCCTTCCTCCACCGCCTGAGCAGCCATCGCCGCCAGCTCCTTCACCCGCCGCCGCATCTCCTCCCCTTCTTCCCCAACCATCACTCGCCTCACCGCCTTCTCAATCTGCTCCCTCCCCACAATTCCTCCGTAAACCGCACCCTCCTTCACTCCGACGCTCGCCCCAATCTTCGCAACCTCCGTCACCAGCTTCTCGTTCAGGAATTGCTCCGCCTGCACCGGCCACGCCACCAGCGGCACCCCGGCGCTCACCGCTTCGAGCGTCGAGTTCCACCCGCAGTGCGTCAGGAACCCTCCGATCGCCTCGTGTTCAAGAATCCGAACCTGTGGGGCCCACCCACGGATGATCAGCCCTCGCCCCGCCGTCCTCTCCTCGAATCCTTCCGGCAGCCAGTCCTCATTTGGGTCGCCAGGGTTTTTCCTGACAACCCAGATGAAATGCTGGCCGGAAGATTCGAGCCCTTCAGCGATCTCCTTCAGTTGGGCTGCGCCGAAATTCACCATGCTTCCGAAGCAAATGTAGATTACCGAATCGGGATCTTTCGTGTCGAGCCATTTCAAACACTCCTGATCGTCGTTTCCCCTGTTTTTACTTCCCCTGTTTGACGATCCGAGAGAAACAGGGCCGATGTGCCACGCTCTCCTCCCCAATTGATTCCTGTAGTAGTCGGCGTAAGTCGGTTCGAGTTCGTAAAAGCAGTTGAAAATCACCCCGAAGCTCTTCGATTCCGACTCCTTCATTTCTCCGAACAGACCGACGAGGAATTCGTCCTCTTCCCTCTCGGCCTCCGGCAACTGCCTCCTTGTCAGGAAAATCCTGTCAGGAATTCCCTGCACCAGAAACTCCTCACCGTCCGAACAAACCTTCTCGCTCGCCGAGAGGCTGGCCAGGACCGACATCGCGAAGAAGCCCATCCCGTTGAAAATCAGCCTGGGAATCCCGAATTTCTCCGCGGCAGCAGCGGTAGACCAGGGGAAGAACGAGTCGGCGACGAGGCAATCCGGCTTGCACTCTTCCATGAGGGACTCCAATTGGGGACGGAGCAATGTGGTGGCTCTGAAGAAATTCGGGACCAGTTCGTCGCACAGGTTTCTCGAGGTGATGAAGTCCATGTTTTCGCAACCTTCTGGGAGACCTGCTTCTTCCAGAGTTGGGAAATTGATGACTCTGGTGGCGATTTCCGAGGAAACTCTGTCGTTGAACTTCTCGACGGACCGGCGGATCGAAGGCTCGTTCAGAGGGGTGGTGACGATGGTGGCCCTGTGGCCTCGGGAAGCGAAGAGGTTTGCGATGTCGAGCATTGGGATTGTGTGGCCCTGGGCCATGAACGGGAAGAACAAGATGTGGAGTTGCTTGCCGTTGTTCTTCATCATTGATCAGTTGAGAAGATTGCAGAGTGTAAAGGTTAGAAATTTCTCGGGAGTTTAATGGATTCTGGTGTGCGAGAAATTTTTATAGGGATTTTAGTTCGGGAATCTGGAGGGGATGAATCAGCGAGCAGTCGTGTCGTGTGGAAGTTTGTTTCCCTATCTGCTCCGTCGCGACTGTTGGCGGAATTTGGATTTTGGAGGGAACGCGTCGCGTTTGAATGTCGTCGCTAATTCGTTTTTTTGCCACCAGTGGTTTCTTTGTCAAGTTATTTTTAGTTAATTTCGTCTAACTTAAGTCTTTTCTTATGCTTTTTTTTAAAAAAATTTGACAAGTTGGTTTGTGAAAGTTATAAAAGAAAAGAAATGACGAGAGAGCACCAGCTCCATAGATTTGTTAAGCTTGATTTTAGTATGAGTCCCGAGTTGTTGGTTATAATAGAAAGAAACACTATAAATCTTTTATATTGTAGTGCATGAACAAACTCCTGATTTAAAAAATATATGCAAACTTCAAATCCCATAAAACTCACCATCGACACTATAAACAATAATGGGGGAGAAAATTTGGGGATACAAAATTTGGCTGATTGCGAACTTGACAGCGTAAGTGCTACGAAAGTAGATAATGAAACATCACCTGTAGCATACGAAGCAAGGTGAAAAATGCCGTTAACATTGTCAATCTAAAACATGTGTGAGAGCGAGAGACGAAAGAAGGATGTATGTGACATCAATCATCTAGGATGGGAGGGGCAGATGAAGGAAGAGTATAGTTAGTAGTGAGAGGGAGTGTACAGTGGGTACTGCGCGCAATAAGGGATGGCAATCAAATCACCAGTCGGGGGTATCCGATTGTCAACGCGAGAAATACCTGCATTGAATGTGTAAGTGGCGAGTATGGTTAATACTCGCAAACAGTTTGATGAGGACGCGGTGTATTTGGTTTTTAGCCTTATCCGCTCCATACCTAATTACCTATATCCGTCCCACCAAAATAGTTTTTTCATAAATTTAAAATACATGAATCCTATTGTGACCTCTTCAATTCTCCCTTGATCCTTTCACTAATTTCTCATTTGTTAACAAATTATGCTAGTTGTTTATTGCTTAGTAGTAGATATAATGAAAAGATTTTAGGGTTGGATTTGAGAAAGATTTGATGTGATTTGTGGGATATGCAGGGCAGGTGCATATTAGTCAACTTCCCGCCATTTCTTTATTCACGACTCATAATTTCCAAACCGGCGTCTCCTTCCTACAAAACAAAATCCGTATCATTCTCCACACTCCCAACTCCCAAAGTCATCTTCTCCAATCTTCTCTCAAAATGGCTACCGCCGACGACCCGACCCGAAACCTCCACGTCGCCATCCTCCCGTTCATGGCCCACGGCCACATGATCCCGATCATCGACATCGCCAAGCTGTTCGCCTCCCGCCGGGGAGTCAAAACCACCATCATCACTACCCGCCTCAACGCCCCTTTGGTCTCCAAACAAATCCCGACCACCGCGGAAATCCACATCGAGCTCATCAGGTTCCCGGCGGCGGAGGCCGGCGTGCCGGAGGAATCAGAGACCGCCGATTTCTTCTCCTCCACCGCCCAGAAAATGGGTCCGAACTTCCTCTTAAAGTTCTTCCACGCTGCAGCGTTACTCCGGCGACCGCTGGACGCCGCCCTGGCGAAGATCCGGCCGGACTGCCTCGTCTCCGACGCGTTCTTCCCCTGGAGCGCGGAATCCGCGGGGAAATTCGGCATCCCGAGGTTGGTCTTCCATGGCACCGGGTACTTCGCCCTCTGTACCGCCGTTTGCATCCGGGTTCACAAGCCGCACAAGAATTTGGATTCGGAGTCCTTCGTTGTTCCTTGTCTGCCGGGGAAAATCGAGCTCACCCCGAGCCAGTTGCCGGAGAGTGTGAGGAAGGAGGAGGAAGGGAATCCGTTTACGAAGCTGGTCAGGGAAATGGCTGAATCGGAGGGGAAGAGCTACGGGGTGATCGTGAATAGCTTCCGCGAGCTTGAACCCGACTACGCCGATTTCTACCGCGACGAATTGGGGAGAAGAAATTGGGCAATCGGCCCTGTTTCGCTCTCCAATCGGAGATCCGAGGAGAAAGCGGGCAGAGGAGGCAGGGGAACAGGGGAATCGAGCTCCGATTGCTTGAAATGGCTGGAATCCAAGGAGCCCGATTCCGTGATCTACATTTGTTTCGGGAGTTTGGCCGATTTCGCCGATTCCCAGCTGAAAGAGATTGCAGCAGCGCTGGAGAGCTGGGGCGGGAGCTTCATCTGGGTCGTGAGGAAAGATCCAAGAACAGAGTCTGAATCTGAATCTGAAGAAGAATGGCTGCCGGTGGGATTCGAGGCTAGAACGGCGGAGAAAGGGCTGATAATTAGAGGGTGGGCACCTCAAATTTTGATTCTGGACCACGAGGCGGTGGGCGGATTCGTGACGCACTGCGGGTGGAATTCGACGCTGGAAGGGATAACAGTGGGGAAGGCGATGGTGACCTGGCCGGTGGCGGCGGAGCAATTCTACAACGAGAAGCTGATAACGGCGGTGTTGGGGATCGGTCTACCGGTCGAGGCGGAGAAGTGGGTGAGAGGGACTGGTGATGATGAAGTGATCATGGCGGAAGGGATTGAGATTGCTGTGACGAGGTTGATGGATGGAGATGAAGGGAAAGAGATGAGGAGGAAGGCTAAGGAGCTTAGGGAAATGGCGAGAATAGCGATTGAAGAAGGTGGATCTTCGCATTCTAGTTTGAGTGATCTAATCGATGAATTGAAACAACGATCTCACGTGTAAAAATGTTTGGTTTTAGTTCATCATATGAATACATATTCGTAGAGAGCAATGTTGTCAGAATCGAATTAGAGTACGAACTGTAACAGCGAGCAGGTCGGGTTGTATCCACCCCTTACTGGGCAATGCAAAAATTGACGGGTTAGGACTTAGGTAGACAAGTATTAACGCAACAAAGATAACGAAAGAATTGAGTATTTACAGGGTACCTGCGTCTGATCTTCTTGGTACATTAAAGAGCTAACAAATCATCTTCTCCCCAGCCATCAGAGCACAAACTTAAAACACCACCCACGAAACCAGTTCCGAGATCATACAACAAACCACTAAATGTACAGACCACCATTACAGTACTCTTAAATCTTCCCAGGAGTAGTACACTTGTCTTTCACAAATGCAGCTGTCGACACTTGGTCGAATCAATCTCAGTAGGACAGTACGGGCACTTGAAGCTCTTGGCGTTGTTCTTCGACATCTTATTCACCGACTGCTTGCACAGCACGTGTCCACACGACATCAACATTGGCGGGTTCTCATCACTCGACTGCTCCTTCGACACTGGACACACAAACACCGAGTGGAACTGAAATGCTCCATCCAGCTCCACAGGGACTGGCAGCTGCTTCATGGTCTGCCACTCCTGCTGCTTCTTCCCTGCAATCACCGTCATGAACTTCAGCAGCGGTGGCAGACTCTGGAACCCTGCTGATACTGTCACGCCCAAGGGGCTCTCGGCTGATGAGGATTGGCCCATGAGACTGCAGAACTGACGCGTCACTTCCTCGGCGACTGAGCTCCAGTTCTCTGGGGATAGTAGCTCTGCATAAGGAGATCGGTCTAGCTTTCCTGACCAGAGAAGACATGCCATAATCTTCTGGAGCTCCGCAAAGTGATTGCCAGCAAATGGAGCGATGTTGGTCCTTGCATAATTGAGAGCTTCCTTTCTGCTGCCAGTTTGAAGTATCTCCACAAACTGTAGTCGGTGGAGCTTGAGTTGAAGGTCCGACCCGTTTTCTCTGAGCTTCACCGAGTTGGCAGCAACCCAGGATAATGCGGGCCCCAGGTTCCGGTTTTTGACAGCCTCGAGAATTGTGTACATTTCTGAGAAGAGTTTTCTTGCTGCAAGAGCACAGTCGGGCTCCTTGCTGGCCTCGGATATGAAGCAATCGCCAATTTCAAACATACCTTGCCGGTAGAAATGGCTGGCGATGATCTGGTTAAGGGAATGGATGTCAAACTCGATGTTTCGGTAAGCTTTGGAAATGTCTGGGTTGAAAGCTTTCTCGAGTTGCTTTGGGTACTTGCTCAAGGCTATGTTCAGTTCCTTCTGTGTGGATTCGAGCTGGCTGAGGGGAGCAACTTCCTTCAGCTTTTTCTTCAGTTCAATCAGGAGAGTATTGCAGTCTGATGGAGCGCTGATGGTTTCTGATTTCATGTTTGCTAATGTCGTTTCGATTTCTTGCATGATCAGGTCGATCACTTCTTGAGCTTTGGAACTGGACAGCTTCTGTTTCTTTGTGACACGGTCGAATGCATCCTTGATAGGGTTCAGATCCATTTTCTTTTACTTATCTACCACTGTAAGTTGAGCTCAATGGCAAATCCTGCACCAAAGGCAAGGTATATAGTTAATGATGCCTGAATAAGTCTTATCTGGATCTATGCAGGAAGCATCAATTCATTCTTGCTATCTATATGATCAGAGTCCTGGGATGATATGGACTTCATTTCCACACAGCACAGAACCAAACAGATACGAGGCATCTCTATCACAGAATTGATAATAATAGAAACTGACAACTTGAAATTAGAGACGAACTATCTAGCACATATAGTCTGAGGTTTGAGTTTTTAACTGCAAACGACCTCATTCACAATTGCAAGGAAGAAGATAGAATAAACATAACAAATCATGCATGAAAGGCGTGACAGTAAGGAAAGCATTTGACATGCCACGAGAAGCCACAAAATGACTGAATATTGCTGACGAGAAACAATTAGCTAGAAAGAAAACAACTTGTGATTAGGGTAAAGAAAACCATAGTTAGAACTTGTTTTGCAAAAAGAGCCACATACAAGTCAAGGTAAAATTTCACTCCTATGAGATCCTTTCCACAACAGTTTGCAAAGAACTTCAAACACTATGACTTTTGTCACATGACATGATTAAAGGCAGCTTGCTTCAGTAATGGTAATCAATCAAAAAGAGGGAAGTATGCGAATGAAATAAGCAACAACTTCGCAGAACAATTAAATGAAAGCAGTAGGCAAAATCCAGCACTGTCGCACAAATTATCCCAGAATAAGAAAATCTTAACAAACTTCAATACTTAAAATTTTGAAGAACTTGATTTCGGTTGTGTGCAAAAAAAATGTTCTTCTACAACTTGCAAATCAGAAATACAACATAAGGGAGCTTTCATGTTGTTGTTCGTTTCACTGAATAAAAGAAAAAGTGAGCACATTTCGTTGAGCCGTTATCTTCTAAAATCAACAGTAGGACTTCAAACTCGGATTATGGGAAAGTTTCTGAATTTCCATTTCCAAATACCACTAGCCAAAGCAAGCAAGTTGCAGCATTCATGACGACATAGAAACATCCAAACAATTTCAAGTTGGCTTGCAACGAGCACATCCAATTCTACCCAAAGACTTGACAAATCCAAATGCAGACACTCTCAACTGTTCAGTAACAATGACATATTGCCTTAGCACAGTTGAATCCGCAATTAAAATACCCATGGCTCTACAACTAAAGGTAAAATAACAAACTACACATCCCTCTCGAGAGCTTCTGCGCTGGCCATACTAGTGCTTATCAGTTGCTCACCGTCAAAAACCAATCAAGCAGAAATTATGAATAAAATAGTGTACATATATCATAGCATCATCCATTGTTGTCGGGAGTATTGAAGTCAACATGCAAAACCCAAACAAATTTCCAGTATCAAGAGATCAAACTCCAACCCCCCGCACCTCAAAGTCAAGCATCAGCAGAAGTTACAGTTCCAAGTTCCATGTCAGCGCTAAACAGGAAATGAAAGAAAACCAAGAACAGAAAAGTAAACGAACCCAACTTGAAGATGGGCGAAGAGAAAAGAACAAAGAAAACACTTGAAAGAAAACCTCAACGAGTCCTTCGAATTGATGAATCATCCGTCGAATTAATAAACCCTCCTGCTCAATTGATCTAACCAATCGAGCAAAGCCAAACTCATAAATCAATAAAAGAGCTCCAATCCAAAAAAACCGATGAATACAGCGCAAGATTCACGAGCTTCCCAACCGATCTAGATTCAAAGGAGGATCCGACGAAAAAGAAGAGGAAAAGAGGAAATGAATAGCCTCGCGATACCATCGCTGTAGAAGAACGAAGAAAATTACCAGATGAAAAGCTTCGGGAGATGGACCGATGCGGCAGAAGCTTCGAGAAGGAATCACAGGCAGCTCTGTATTTGTTGGCGGCGGCGGCGAAAGGGGGACGGTGGAGGAGAATGGAAGGAGACGGGGGAGTAGAGGAAGAAGAAGAGATTTGGTGGTGAATTCTTCTTTCTTCTATCTTTTCCTAAAACCATTTCCGGGAATTTTATATTATTATTTTTTTTTAAAGTTTTTAATCTTTTTTTTTCTGTTCTAATCCGATTTCGTGTTTCTTTACACAGAAGGACGGCACGAATCACGTGCGGATGGTTTTACCGCGTTGGGCCGAAATTGGATCTTTGTGCTCGGCCGACATTAACGGGCCTGGGCCGAAGCCCAACCAGGAGAGGGGAACAAAATGTAGGAAAGAAACAGAAAACCGGGAAGCAAACGTTGGGTTCGACCGAGGAAGGGAAGACGCCGCCGCCAATCCACCATTACCGCCGCGCCACCGCGGGATCGGGCTCAGAGTAAGGATAGCCGGGAAAGAGAGAGATTCGACCAGCACTGTTTCCTTTGTTTCTACTGAGGAGGTTCCTTTTGATTTTGCAGGGAGAAGGGTGAGTTCGATTGCCTATCAGGTGTTCGGAGAAATTACTCTGTGAGAAATTTCCGATGGCAATGGTATCTGCAGCCGCGGCAAATGAAAACGGGAACGAATCAAGAGGTGGATTGAAGGAGAAACCTCAGCAGATATTCGAGGACTTCTTGACGAGGTTAATTATATCGACTTCCACCATTTTTTCCCCTTTTTCGTGGTTGGAGTGTAGTTTCTGAATTGGCTGGTGGCGTTTGATTTCAGGGTCGCAAAGCTTGAGGAGCTTGGTGCCGTTGCAAATAGATATCTCAGTGGGTTTCAGCAATCCCTTGGTGGGTTCCCTTTTTTTTGGGCGCCGCTTTTCTTACCTTCTCTGATTTGGCTATGCTAGTGTCTAAAGCTGGTTGCTTTGTTGATTTTTCCCCTTGTTTGTTAAGCACAGAATTTCTTCGGCGGCCTCCCATAGACATGGAATCGAAATTGATGAGCAAGCTCATAAGTGCTAATGACACGAAGAGGATGAAATCATACATCCAAGCCGGCTGCTGCAACACTCTTGACAGAGTGCAGAATACGAGCAAGTGTAAGCAAAGGCAGTTCACCTATAGGTTCCTTGTTCCGTCAATATTCTTATGATTCGTTTCCTTATTGAGACGGATTGTTATTTTGTTCTCGTTTCCAACTATTTTGGCGCAGAAGTAAGAACTTGTCATCTGGGATTGCTTGAGCATCTAAGCAAAGGTAGTTTGCTCTTTCCACATTGCTTGCTTTGAGTGTATTCCACGCTTTGGTACCTCAGTTTTGCACGTTTTTTGCTCTTGACTTGACTTTTTCGCACTGGTTTTAAGTTTGATCCCCCTTGTAAATATCCAAAGAGTTGTATGCTTTAGCTTCTACATTGATAAATTATAAGTATACCAATCTTGGTTATTGGAAGCTGCAGTCCTTTTGCTAAAAACATATGTTGAAAGAGTTGGTGACTGAATGTCTTTTAGCTATTACTGCATGCTTTCGTCTATAGCAACCATGGTGTCAATTCATGTCTCAATTCGTTAGAATCGTGTCGCACTGATTAGCATTATCTGTTTCACTTTACTTCCCTGTTTTATGTAATAAATCTCTTATCTAAACCATGTAAGATGGTTGTGACAGCCAAAACCATACTGAATGAGGTTGAGGATCTCATGGAGGATCTGACGCTTGCAATTCAAAGTTATAATCGCTCATTACCACCTCTGCAAATTGAAGATCTTTGTGACCAACTGGACGAACAGCATTTACACCAGGTGGGAAGAAATTTTGCTTCATTAAGTAAAAACCCCACTTTTTTCAATGTTTCACGTACGTTAGATGCATTCAGGCACTTGTTTCTTCATTTAACATCACATTGCATCTGTTCAAGTCCTGTTGATTCGTGGCTCAAAGATATCTTCATTCTTCCCTAACAGGAGGAGCCATCACTGAGTGGCCTGCAACAGCGTGAAGTAATGTTCATTGCTTCGTCGGTTGGGGTCATATACACCATGCTGAAGCAGGATTATGTGATGCAGGTTTTAAGCTCACTCCGGCAGCCTTGTGACGATTTCCTTACTCCGACCATAGAGTTGTTGTCATTTTGTCATTTCCAAACTGAACTTAATGGATGATTCTTGTGCAGGAAAAGATTGTCGCATCGTTAAATCTCAACTCAACCCCAGGGGAATTAGAGAGCTACTGCCTGATGTGGTCACTCCGACCTTACGTAAACGACGAAATCATGCTTCAAGCCTGGAGACTGATCCGCTAGACTTGTTGCCCGAGTATGCTGAAGTCCTCAGAACTGTTTGAAACTCGTCATGACTCTACAAGTAGCGTGTTCTCTTTGTTAGCTCGCCTATGTTGACTCGTCCATCATCAAGCACTTAACTTTATGTGTACGGAAATAGACATTTCTGGTTTGTTTCTTCGTGGCTGTCAAGTTTTTAGTCAATTATTGAATGGAAAGCGGTATGGCGTTGAAAATGCACCAATTATTGAAGGGCATCGAAATTTTACCACAGGGTAATTTTCATGCCAAAAGATGGATGGAGAGGGAGGAAGGGTGGAAATGCAGGGAAAGGTGATTTGAAGGTTTACATATATTAACCACCAAAATTTTGGTTGCGAAAAGTGGCGCGTCCGTATAAACTCGTACCAAATGGTTCCTCAAGTTTCCAACACAATCTAATCACGCCCTCTGATTCGAAGTAAAAACAAAAAGGTTATTAGACGTTGCTAAAGATGATGGCAAGGAATAGCGTCGGTTATAAGTTCGTCATTGTTGTCGTGCTTTTGGCAACCGTGATGCATATTCTGCTTTTTGGAGCTCAGAATGCATTCGCTAGTAGAATAATTTCGAGCAATTCCCATTTCTGGGGCAATGGTATGTTGTTAATAAATGTTATTTGAAAATACCAAAATTCCATTGTCGAATTGGATTGAATCGGATTTTAATAATATGTACTTTTATATCTGTGGACAGATGAAGAAATGAATGCTAAGGGAAACCCTTCTCGCAGAGAAGGACATGGCTAAAATGAAAGAGGATGCAATGTATTCTTCTCCTCACCAAGCCTGTAAATGATGTTCGGAGGAAATGACTTCGAGAGTCATGATGATGTTGCAGAGGAACGTAATGCTGGTGTGGGTTTTCTTCATCAGTTTGATTGTATAGATTGTTTTTTCTGTAAATATTGTTGTTAGAATTTTCAAGTTGTAGAAAGCATTCCTCAATTTTGGATACCGATTATCAATCCCATCTCTGCTTCTCCGGAGAGCTTCTAACCTGCACTCAACTCGTTGGTGAATGAAGAACCCTTTCTGTCTAAAAACAAAATCTAGAATGCCATATGATAAATGAAGCTTAATAGGGCAAATTTCATACAACTCGAGTCTGAAAATCGTGACAGACGATATGGTTACAAGCATGGATTCATACATAACCTGTTACACTTCCAGATTCTCATATGAAGAATAATATATACTCTCTATAATACAAAACCATGGCATATGCTTGAACTGACTACCAAGGCAAATCCTATGCTACTCATATCCCATTTCTTTCACCCCTATTCATTATAACTACAGCTTGAATTCTCACAACATTCTCCATGATTGTTGCTTGTCGTCATAGATTCAAAGTCGACCTTGGACTTTCGCGTTTCATCTGCAGGGCGGCTCTGACCACAGTTCCCCGCGTAAGGAGCCCAACCTTTCGATATTGAAACAGAGACGTGTCATGAGACTCACGACAAAAGAATCGAATGAACGAAAAGGAAAAACCGTGTAAGAAAAAGCCATGAATGCAAGTTACAAGTCTTACCAGCTTTCCGTCGCCATCAACCACTGGCAGCCGACGGTACTTGGTTTCTAGTAGCAGTCTGAGAGTTTTGGGGGAAAGTAGAATACAGTGTTTCAAAAGATGCTTCTGGTATGTACTCGTATCCAATGAACAATACAACATAAAGCCAAATTTTCATGGCAGCAAGACAGAGTCGCGCTGAGTAAAAAGCAGTGAAAGCTATACCTGACCGCGTCCTCCAGATTGGTGTTTTCACGGACGGTCAGGGGATTAGGTGTCATGAGATCTCCAACAACTTTACCGTTTGTCTTCCCTAGTAGTTTCTGAATCTCATTAAATGCCTGCATTTGTCATTGGGGATTAGACTGGCAATGGCAATGCTAAAAAGGAGGAGGGAAATCAATTCTGCAAAAGGAAGCTTTGGAGTTCTTAAAAGATCAAGCAACGTGCGTGGATTCCGCAATGCATCCCAGTGAAATCTTCAGAATACAATGCCAAGTGTGCAGGAAACCAATTCTAGACATTCGATTCACAAAACTTAGCATACTGGCATTTAGCGAGGAAGTCAAACTAATGGGCACACAAAGTATTGAATGTCCATTCTACCAGCTCATGAACTTCAAAAGTAAGAACTCCCAGCATACCAAACATCATATAGGAATGATCATACATACTTTCCAAGTACTGTCGACGTCAGGAAATAAGTTGTTGTCACTTTGATTGCAACCTACCAGTAAAATAGGCAAAATTAGCACCTGCTTAGACAATAAATTCTGCAGAGAAACAGTAATAAAAGGACTAGTTTGTCAATGGAGATCAACAATGCATAATTGACAAGCACAGCATGTTAGTATTCTTTTGCAGAGAGAATGATTGCAAATTCTATTTCAAATGTATCATTACAGGAATACTCGAACGTTTACAGTTTTACCAGGTTCAGAAAGGAAAATTTGCATTGCCAGAAGGTACAGCAAAGCAATACCATGTTTTGATACACAAACTACCTACATAAAGGTAAGAAGGTAAGAAAACTACGAAAAATAACATAAGGATAGCAAGAATATGCGCAAAGCTTTAGAGTTTCGAATCACTTCCACGTGCGTAAATCTCAACCCTGGTCCATCTTGCTAATGTGATCTATAATGCTGGTAAACATCAACAGGATTTAAAACCTCGAAAAGGGAACTTTAACTTCAAGATTAGTAGTACCTGATATAGAGTCGAGTGCTAACAAGTCATAATCTGAAACAACACCAACCTGCAACAAGGAATAACATGAAATCAGCCATTGAAGAAACAAATATTAGCGAATACACATACGGTATGAACAGCTAAAACCAGCAAGTTAGCTGTAACAACAATAAATTGCACACTCTTGGAAACGTTAGAGTTATTAGCCTCTTGTATCTACAAGGAACCACAAGCGTAAAGGGTTAATGGAAACATCCAATATACCCTACCAGCAAAAAGAAAAAAATTCTGAAACTGAAAGAATCAGTTTCACCATTATAACTTTGTTTGGCGATCTGACTGTCAACTAGTTGCCTCAAGCCTCAGCAACAGACAACAATTGATTACTTTCTTTCAAACCCTCCCCAATGATGAAATCTGGTACCATGAATCTTAAGACTGCAACTGTTTGGTTAACTAGCTCAGCATAGCTGCCGTAGCCTTTCAACTAGCAAAGTCCTTGAAGGAATGATGCCATAATCGATCAATGGAAACACTCAGGACTCTTCAGATTACATAATCTTAAACACAAACTGGAGTAATGAGCTCATCTAAATGCAGGAATGCTAGCCTTTCTAAGCTAAATTAACAAAACATTTCAAAACAAATGAACACAGACATTTAAACAGCATGAGTTAGTAAACAAAGTAGTACCAAATTCCAGTGATCGTCAATCACAGGGAACCCTGTAATCCTCTTCTCCACGATAACCTCCAATGCTGCAAACAATCATCAGAAGTGAGAAAAAGTCGACAAAACAAGCAAAAAAAAAAAAAAAAAAAGGAAATCTAGTAATCCACTTGGTTCTTACCTTGATCAACACCTGTAGAAGGCTTCACAACAAGCAGATCCTCCTTCCTCGTCATGAAATCTCCTACTTTATACGTCCCATTTCTCGCCTACAAACCCACGAAATCCATTATAAAAAAAAACATACCCAAATAGCTTCTAACAAAACTACGACATGGCCAGGGACCAGAAAGGCAAAATTGCATAAGAGAAGAGAGTAAAGTTAGTTAATGAATCGCTGAACAGAAACCCACCGGGGCAGAGTTGGTAAGAGAAGCCACGGCGAGGCCAGAGTGCTGCTGCCGACGGGAGAAGGTCAGACGGCGGCGCCCTGCCACCTGAGAAGCAAGGGCAGGCGGAGGCCGGAGACATGAGGAATGGAGAGTAAAGAGAGTCGGAGGCTTCGCTAACGAAGTGTATGAAGAAGGAGAAGCCATGCAGTCCGGGTCTCAGAAGAATTTGATCCAAAAGCCAGATGGGAAATTATTAAGAAACCCCAAATTGAGCTCTGCGAAAGATAACAAAAAAAGGGATTTCTTTAATGGCTTAAATCCTACTGGGCATATAAAGATAGAAGGAATCTGGGGAAGGAGTGAGATACGCAGCAGAGGATGGCAGAAGAACCCTCCTGAGATGAAAAAAGAAAGGGTTTTTTAAACGATTAAATCAATGGGAAGAGAAAATGGGCGGCGTGGAAGGAAGGAGAAGGAAAGTCAAGAGGGAATACGTGAAGGAAAAGGCGAGGAAAGTTATAGCAATGAAGAAAATGTCCAGTTGGTCGGTAGAGGAGCAATTTCAAGACAGCGTTCAACGTGTGCGTAGTTGGCCATTTCACCCATTTTTAGGTGGCGCGATGCCGACGGAAATGGCTTTAACTTGGAGCTTGGTTGGACCCATGCCATGGCGGCCGCAGCAGCTAGACAGCATCTGGATCTCGCTGCTGGCTACTTTTGGTTCATTGGTTGTGTGGCTGTCAACACTCAACCATGATTCTTGAGGTGTTTTTTTTTTTTTTTTTTACGATAAACTATGTGTGAACCTATTATTGAACATGTAATGAATTTACATCATCCAATCGAAATTGGTCAATCACAATCAAAGGCGGTTTATCAATATTGAAATCCCAATAGGCTTCCCCTTCTTTTTCTATGATCTAAATGGATTCATGTTCTTGAATCTTGATAAAACATAGTGTATAAGGAGGCTTTGATTATGCTAGTAACGACTCGCAACATTTCAATGAGGGCTTTGAATTCGACGAAATAGATTGTTTTTCAAGTGATCATGGCGCTAGTATTGAAAAATTCAAAGACAAGGATCTTGTTTAAGTTAACAAGACATTGAATTTTATAAAATTATCAAGTACCCATCACGTTGCGATTAGAAGAAGAAGAAGAAGAAAGATTATTTCTTTTGAAACTCGACCGGTCCATCGATCGGTCACCTTATCTAGGATGTTGACCTCCATTCCCAGCAATGAGTCAATGACACAACTTGGCTTGTGATTCGTTTTAGTTTCATCGTGTGTTACAAGCTACAACAATTGATTGTCATTTTCTGAATCTTTGATTGAGAAAAGGGTCCAGATTTTGCCTTGATGCCAGGTGTGTTGGGCGGAACCTGAAACGATGGACCACCTCTTTTGGGAGTGTCCAATCGCTACGACCATTTGTACTCATTCGAGATTGGAGCATCTGGGGCACGGGTTGCCGCGCCATACATTTCTATTTTCCTTAAAAAGTGTTTGAATAGGATGACCCAGCCGACGCAGATTATGGCTCTAATGGCGCTCCTATGGCGTAATTGGAATTCTAGAAATTGGGTTGCCTTTAAGGGCAAGGAGTTTTTGATTCCTTAGCTAATGCGCCAGTATCATCAGCAACTCCATGAATGGGTGTCCTTACCGGAGGATAGGGTGATATGGGATTAGTTTCCTTTGCAGCGGAATCTGGAGGTGGTAGATTCGACCTCTGTCATCTGTAGGTGGCATGGTGCAATACGTGTTGACTCACATTTAGCGGAGGGTTAATCTTAAAGGATGGTGGAGGGTTAGTGGTCTTAGCAAGAGGAATGGTACTTGAAAACAGTGTTGACCCTCTTGTGGTGGAGACTATTGTCCTCCGTGAAGCTATTTGGTGGTGTCAGAATCTGGCATTGCTCAAGTTCGGTTTAAAGGTGGTGCGAAGATGCTCATTAATAAGATTAATGCCAATGATGCTCAAGACAGTCGTGTTGGGGCTATTGTCCTGGAGATTTTGCGCATGATGGCTCTGAATAGTGGTTTTCAGGTTCGATTTGTGGGTCGCATTAGCAATAGGATAGCCCATTCAGTGGCTAGAGAGGCCCGTTCATTGCCTTTGACTTCATGTAAATTGTATGATTTTCTTGTATGAGTTGGGTCCATCATGTAATTAACGACCTTTTTATCAATCAATATGATTATCTTTTGTTAAAAAAATATAACGAATCCACAATATTTGGTTCCCAATAGTAAGCAAAAGCTCGCTTTCCTTTTATCATTAGGTGAAAAATTAATCCAAAAGTGTAGGCACTTGAAACTTGCATTTGAGAGCACACTACCATTACAGAATCATAGCTTTGGCTTTGCCTCGTAAGGATTTTCCCTAGATTAAGGTACATATGTCATATGTTGCACACAGACAAGGCAAATGTTTGAGATCATGTCACATCTGTTGATGTTCGTTCCTTTCATTTTCCATTATTTGTGCCATATTGGCCAGACCTCTATGGTTGCCTACTTCGGTGCATCTGTGTGAATATCTTCAATCCCAAATTGCTTATCATTTCGGAAAGTTATTGTAAATTCAAAACTTGATAATAACAACATACCAACAAGCGTAACTCAAGATAAACTATTTTTAGAATGGTAAACAAAACAACTTACCAAATGTTATATTTAATCAAATCACGGTTACGACTTCTACAAAGGTGAGTAATTCATTTAACACTTCAACTTAGTTTTTTGATGAAATAGATTTCACTACCAATAACAAAAATAAAGTAAATTAATTACCTGTTCGTGGGTGTAAGCATACAAAATAACAAATAAGAAAATAACCAAAAAAATAGTAACTAATAAAATTCTAACAATACATTAGAAGAAAAGATGATCATGGATTCAGCGAAAAAAATGTCACGATAACTAGATAATACTTTTTCAACCAGCAATGAACACACCTCGATTATTTCTCACCAGATGCGTCGTTGTCCCAAACGCAAAGATTTAACAATTTAAAACTACACTAGTAATTCATAAGCGAAAAGCATATGGAAACCTATTTTTAGTACCATTACAACGAAATCTTTGATTAAAACAATATATTTAACGATAACATTTTGTACATTAATCGGTGATTACATCGGTTTATAATAATTTTATTATCATCATAAGCTAAAAAAAATTCCAATACATGGAAAGATATCCTCTAGCTTAATTTGCAATCACAAAACTTGGCAATTTATTGAACAAACCATTTTTTATTCCCTAAACTCCCCACACAAAAAATATACCAACAAAATCTAGCAAGCTCATTACACAATTGAAAGCTAATCTTTTTATTACATTCTTCAAAAAGGCAGCGGTTTAAATATTCATATCCTACTTTCCATTTTTCTATCATCAACAAAAAACAAAACACAAAAAAAAACCTCCACAACCGCCCGACCTGAAACGACGCGGTTTCAGCCCACGTGGCAGAACACCCCTTATCTCAGCGGGCCCCGCACTTCCCTGTCCCGTAAATCCGACGGCGGAGATCTCTCATCTGCCGTCATCTTAGGGTTTTCTTTAGTCACTCCTTCAGAACGCAATCCTTCTCTTTCGAGTACGTTTTCCTCATTTCCTCTCGCGCGTCTCTCCGTTTTGCTCGTTTCTGCGTGTCGCCGCCGCACCTCCTCGGCGGCTCTACCCACCATCTCCGTTCCCTCCACCGCCTTCCCTCTCCTCCTCCCCCTATCCTAAACTAAAAAAAAAAAGAGTTCATTCAGAAACTGAATTGTTGTTTTTTTTTTGTTTCGGTTGTCTTCTGGGTCCTTTTGTCGAACAGTTGGTGTGCGTATCTATCGGGTTAGAAAGAGTTTTAGGGTTTCAGTTGCAGTCGTCGTAAATAAAGAGAGGAGAGGGAAGATTTGGTTGAAAAAATCCCAAAAAAAAGGAGCCGAGAAAGAAGGGGTGGTAAATTTGTACTGGGTTGTTTATTTTTGGACTGCAAGAGTTTGGTTCGTTTTTTTTTTTTTTTTTTCTTGGAGGAAGTTCGAAGAGAGTAATGGCTCAGGTACCGGTTCAAGCGCAAGGTGTGAACGGCGGGGCGAACAACAACCCGCATTTCACCACCACTTCGCTCTACGTCGGCGATCTGGACTTCAACGTCACCGAGGCGCAGCTTTTCGATCTGTTTAACCAGGTCGGCCAGGTGGTGTCGATTCGTGTTTGCAGGGACTTGACCACTCGGAAGTCGCTGGGATATGGCTACATCAACTTCACCAACGCCCCCGATGGTTAGTAATAGCTCTGTGTCTTTACCGATTTTTTTATTGGAGTATTGAGTTCTGAAAGAGTGTTGTTGGATGAATGGTAAATGAAGTCAGTCCTCTGTTCATTTTGTTGTCATGTCTATTTTATTTGACAAGTCTTTACTCAGTTGGGGAAATGATTGTTCTCTTTCTGGTTGCTATGCAAGAACCAATCGCAATTGGGGTTTCGATTAGTTATATTAGGGTTTTGGATAAGCCGCTTGAATAATCATGTTTATCGTTGTGATTGTTTACCTGATGTTGTGGTGTCAATTATGGTGTTTCCTTCATTTCTCTATGAACGAGATGCTACTGAATCCGTTGTTTAGGTTTACTATGAAGCTGCTGTTTGGGGTCTTTATGGTTTGAATGAATTGTTATTTCCAACAGAACTTGATTCTCAATAGCGAGTAGATGATGAATCCATTATTAGTTATCTTGTAATTACAGTTCCTGCTTGTTGGTGATTTTTTCTTCAACGAGAGTAGTTTTTCGAATGGCCTTGTCGAGGACGTTACTGGCCGACAACAGCATATAGGTTTTAGTGCTTCCGCTCATGGTGGTTTTGTGTCCTTTTAATGATATATATATAATTTTAGTATTAGGAGCCATTATTGATTCAATGGTCTTTTATGGTATGAATTTTTATTGCGAACAAACTTGTTTTTCGATGTTGTTTCTAACTTGCCTAATGTTTAACAAATAGCTGATGAATCAGCTTATAAACCCCTTGTTTAGGTTTCCTTTAAGTACATGGCCTATTTACCTGCCTTGTAGGATGATCCGTGGCTCTGCTTGGTAGTGAATTTTTCTTTTTGATTGAAACTAGTTTTCAATTGCCCTTGTTCTTAAAGCCATTCTGTGATAGCAGCACATAGGTTTTTTTCCTCTGGCAATCATGGTTTTACATTGCATTGTGCCCTTTTCAAATGGCCTTGTTGTGGATGTCACTCCTTGAGTCCTTGATAGCATCATGTAGGGTTTATGTTAGCATTCACGCTTAGAAAGGGTATTGCGGCCTTTAAATTAGAGCCATTATAAATGCGCTGGTCTTTTATGGTATTAAATTGTATTCCCAACAAAAAAATTCTGTGGTATCATCAAACATTCCAAATGTTTAAGCAAGGTTGGTGTTTCCAATGGAAGGTTTGATCAAAATATAAGCACTATGGTTAGATACTATGTTTCACATGCCTCTTTGTGCTTCCATCCGACTGCTACAACTTTTGAAACCTGATTTGCCAATAGTGACATGAAGTTTTTCATGTGTGGTGTGATTCGTAGATAGAAAATTGGATCTCCGTTATGCATGATGCATCATCCAGATTGTATTTCATGTGGTACATTGGATTTAGCAATTTGGTATCATGTTTATTCATTGTTGTACTTGAAGTATAACATACATTTTGTTTTCTCACTCTACACTTCTTGAATACAGCTGCCAGGGCATTGGATATCCTCAATTTCACTCCAATTAACGGGAAACCTGTTAGAATCATGTATTCTCACCGTGACCCTAGCATTCGCAAAAGTGGTGCTGGAAACATATTTATCAAGGTAGATATAATCAGAAAGGAGGCTTCGTATTGTTTCTTGGCCCCATGAACATCGTTTTTATTGCGTTATTTCTTTAATGTGACGCTACAACACTTGCACTTGACAGAATTTGGACAAGGGCATCGACCACAAAGCACTGCATGATACCTTCTCTTCCTTTGGGAACATTCTCTCCTGCAAGGTAGCCACTGACTCTTCTGGACAGTCAAAAGGTTATGGGTTCGTCCAGTTTGATAGTGAGGAAGCTGCACAGAAGGCCATAGAGAAATTGAATGGAATGCTGCTAAATGACAAGCAAGTTTATGTAGGTCCTTTCCTACGCAAGCAGGAAAGAGACTCCTCAAATGACAGGAGCAAATTCAATAATGTGTATGTGAAGAATCTTGGTGACAACACCACTGATGATGATTTGAAGAATGCCTTTGCTGAATATGGACCAATCACCAGTGCTGTGATTATGAGAGATGCAGAAGGAAAATCCAAATGCTTTGGTTTCGTCAACTTTGAGAGTTGTGAAGATGCAGCTAGAGCTGTTGATGCTCTTAATGGAAAGAAATTTGATGACAAAGAGTGGTATGTTGGCAAAGCCCAAAAGAAATCTGAGAGGGAAGTTGAACTGAAACAAAAGTTTGAGCAGACAATGAAAGAGGCTGCTGACAAGTTCCAAGGAGCTAACTTGTATATTAAAAACCTAGATGATAGCATAGCTGATGAAAAGCTGAAGGAATTATTCGCCCCATTTGGTACAATCACATCATGCAAGGTAAAAGTTTGGGATCCTGCTTATTTTTATGACTTCCTTTTCGATTTTCAACAATTACCCTTTTTTTTTTGCAATCTTCTGAACAGGTCATGCGAGATCCTAGTGGCGTTAGTAGAGGCTCAGGGTTCGTCGCGTTCTCTACTCCCGAGGAAGCTAATAGAGCTGTAAGTCTGATGCTGGTTCTTCTGCATTTAAACTCTTGACGCAAATCTAATTCTTTTATTCCTGTTGATAGCTTTCGGAGATGAACGGAAAGATCATTGTCAGCAAACCATTGTATGTTGCACTTGCACAAAGGAAGGAAGATAGAAGAGCCAGACTGCAGGTGCAGTGATGTTTTGATATTTTTGGAGCGAAGTTTGCTACTTTTGTGTGTTTTTTTTTCCATCTGTGTCTTTCAAGTTTCTGCTGAGAGTAGATCGCTTTCTGTATTTTTCTGCACAGGCTCAATTTTCTCAAATGCGACCTATGGCAATGCCACCTTCTGTTGCACCTCGCATGCCAATGTATCCTCCTGGGGCACCTGGAATGGGACAGCAGATATTCTATGGCCAAGCTCCTCCTGCTATTATACCTTCTCAGGTAACATGCTTGTACATCTCCCCTTTCTTGATATGAATTCAGTTAGTGTTATGTTTTTTTTTTGTAACTACCTCCTCTTACTTTTGAATTTTGTTTCGGTCCTCGTGTCAGCCTGGATTTGGGTATCAGCAGCAGCTTGTGCCTGGTATGCGTCCTGGAGGGGCACCTATGCAAAACTACTTTGTCCCAATGGGTCCACCCGGTCAGCAGGGTCAGCGACCTGGCGGTAGAAGGGGAGGTGCTGGTCAGCAATCCCAGCAACCGGTTCAACTCATGCAGCAGCAGGTTTGCGTTTGCCGTGTGTTTCAATTTAATGGAATAGCGTGGACTTTCTTTTGCCCTCACTGAATTGATTTCATTCGTGATAGATGCTTCCAAGGGGCGGCCGTGTCTACCGCTATCCTCCAGGGCGTGGCATGCCCGATGGCCCCATGACTGGTGTTGCTGGGCCTGGAGGCATGCTCTCTGTTCCATACGACATGGCTGGTTCCATGCCTATGCGTGGCGACGCAGGACTGTCTCAGCCAATCCCCATAGGGGCTCTGGCCACTGCACTTGCTAATGCGACTCCAGATCAGCAGAGGACGGTAAGCACATTCCATTGCCCAACCTTAATTTCATTCGGTTTACCTCACAAGAACTCGGGTGTTAAATGTTGATCCGACTACCCTACTTGCAGATGCTTGGTGAGAACCTGTACCCCCTGGTGGAACAACTGGAGCCGGATGCTGCTGCTAAGGTGACAGGGATGCTTCTCGAGATGGACCAGACCGAGGTTCTGCACTTGCTGGAGTCACCAGAGGCATTGAAGGCAAAGGTTGCCGAGGCCATGGACGTGCTGAGGAGCGTTCAGCAGCATCAGGCAGCTGGTGGTACAGCTGATCAGCTGTCGTCGCTGTCTTTGAACGAGAGCCTCGTCTCTTGAAGCTACTGTGCGGTTGGTCGGAGTGTGGTTGATGTAGTGTGCATGGGCTAGACAGAGTTGTGTTCTGATACATTGGTAGACTGGGTTTTTGTTTCTGGAGTTTAGGGGTTCTAGGAGACTGATGTTCCTTTCGGTTCTTAGCTTTTAATTTTTTCTCGAGTTTTCTTTTGCTGGAGCTGTGAACTGCAGGCTTGATTGATGACTTGTCTTTCAATCGTTGATGCTTTCGCGTTCTGGCTTGCTCTGTGTGTGTTATGCATTTGCTTGAAAAAATCTTGTTTTATGGCATCTCTTTTAGGTTTTTTTTTTTTATAATATTTAAGATGTATTAGTTAAAAGTACGTACATGAAGCAAATTAATATCTACTGAGCTGCCAATCGCAAGCTGCCACGTGGTTCCCTTTCTGAAAAATAGCCGACAAAACAAGCCGGCCCACATCATTTCTCTTTCTTGGAAAAAGCAGGCCCACCCAGCCCAATTTAAAGCTCCGCTGGATCGGAGTGGTGCAGCTGATGCCACGGCCGTCACTTCCCCGTCATCTTCCTTCCGCCTTCCGTCCCCTATCCGTCATCTTTTCCTTCTTCTCCGAAGCCACCGAAAAAAAGAATCCAGAAACGAGGAAAACACTTTAAAATCGAAATATTAATCGCTATTTTGTTTTCCATTCAGAAACTCGGGATCTCCGTTGAACTCGCCGAGTCAATCCGCGTCGAGGGCTCGCCTGTGCTTTCGCCGAGAGAAACCCCTTCTCTCCCCCCTTCCTTCCATGGAGATCGCCTCCGCGGCGGTTCCGTCGGACGGCCGCGATGTCAAGAACGAGGCGGGACCGTCCGATTCGTCTTCTACCACGGCCTCATCTTCATCCGGAAATCCTGATTTGATTGAGAAGGACGGTGCGTCCTCGTCGCCGCCATCTATGTCGGTGGTGGCGGCGGCTGCCGCGAGGTACGATGACGACGAGGACGAGGAGGATGTGTGTAGGATCTGCCGGAACCCCGGCGACGCGGAGAATCCGTTGAGGTACCCGTGTGCTTGTAGTGGGAGTATCAAGTTCGTTCATCAGGATTGCCTGCTCCAGTGGCTTAATCACAGCAACGCTCGTCAATGCGAGGTATGTATGGATTTGCTCGGTCTTGAGGAAAAAAAAGGGGTAGAGAAAGAATGCGACTGGAATATCGCCTCATCTTCTAATTGAACTGTCAAAAGTAGGCTGAAGCTGATGCAATCCAAGGATATTCATCCTGATTCGCTGACTAAGGTTATATGTTTGGATAAACTAGTTAAACCGGGGGGGAAGTTAGGTTTGGGATGTTTACTGAGATATTATTGGCTTTGAGCTAGTTTGAGCTTTTGATGTTGATTGTTTGGATATTGGCATACTGAAGGGAACTGGAAAAAAAGATGTACTTTTATTGTCTAGGGCTACATGTTGTAAGGAAGCATATGTAGCGTGATTTGCCGTGAACTGGTTGAAATGCATGATTACTCATGAAACTCAAACTTGCAACCCTTACTGTTAGGAATGTTGGGTTAGCAACTATGGGTTTTGAAGAGGAGGTGATGTGCCTAGGCTTCTTCGGGAAACGAGGTCGTGGGAGGGATAGTGTTCTTCTGAGAGAAGCTTGCTCGTAGTTCTAGATAACAATAGAAACAGTAGTGTTGAGGGGCTGCTTCTCCAGTCAGGAAACAGGTGACTTTGCTTGAGAATCTACTCAAAGAAACTAGTTGGAATACTCAATAAGTCTCTCTTTTCATGTCTGTGAATTCTAACCTCCTTAGATATGAGTTACAAACTTGATGTGCAAGAAAATTCTTTTTATCTTAATAATAATTTCTAATGAAGCTAATTTTCATTAAAAAAAAAAAACGTAACTTCTATTAAGGAATCTTTTGATGACCTTTTTTCGTTTAACAATCGGCATGTCAGATGGGCAGTCATGAGTTATTCGTTTAGTTTATAAGCTTTGGCCTCTGTCTTTTCGGTCATTCTGTCTTGTTTTCCATAAACTTACTGGCTAGTCATTTAGTGATATTTCATAACCATATCTTGCCCACATCTTTTTCTGAATAATTCACATTCTATGACATGCAGGTCTGTAAACATCCATTTTCTTTCTCTCCCGTGTATGCTGAAAATGCTCCTGCAAGACTTCCTTTTCGGGAATTCATAATGGGAATGGCGATGAAGGCTTGCCACGTGATGCAATTCTTTTTGCGCCTTAGTTTTGTCCTCTCTGTCTGGCTTCTGATCATACCTTTCATAACATTTTGGATATGGCGCTTGGCCTTCTTGAGAAGTTTTGGTGAAGCCCAGAGGCTCTTCTTGAGTCATATCTCAACTACAGTTATTCTTACTGATTGCCTGCATGGGTTCCTTCTCTCTGCCAGCATCGTTTTCATTTTTCTTGGAGCCACCTCTCTAAGAGATTACTTTCGCCATTTAAGAGAGATCGGTGGACAAGAAGTTGACAGAGAAGAAGAGGCAGATAGAAATGGCGCCCGTGTACCAAGGAGGCCTCTGGTGCAGGGAAATAGAAATTTTGCTGGTGAGCCTAATGTTGAGGATGTTGGAGGAGCGCAAGGAATTGCTGGTGCTGGTCAAATCATCAGAAGGAATGCAGAAAATGTTGCTGCCCGGTGGGAAATGCAGGCAGCTCGTCTTGAAGCTCATGTTGAACAAATGTTTGATGGTTTAGAAGATGCTGATGGTGCTGAGGATGTGCCTTTTGATGAACTAGTGGGCATGCAGGGTCCTGTTTTCCATTTGGTTGAAAATGCATTCACTGTAAGTCTTGTAATTTCTTCTCGTCTCACTATCAGATTGTCCTATATGAGTTGTTCCCTTTCGCCTTGGCATCTGATTAGGTTTTATTTGCATTATATTTAGATAGAGCTCTTAAGTTATGATTCATTTGTCTCCTCCTTAGTTTCCGTTTACTGAATTTACCTCAGAGTTCAGAATTGAGTTCATTGTCATGAAGTGTTTGTTTTCCCCGCCTGCAGGTTCTTGCGAGCAACATGATATTCCTTGGAGTTGTAATCTTTGTGCCTTTTTCATTAGGACGGGTTATTCTCCACTACATATCTTGGCTATTCTCTTCTGCAAGTGGTCCTGTTCTGTCATTCATTTTGCCGCTAACAGAGTCTGACCTCTCCTTAGCAAATATCACTCTGAAAAATGCATTGACAGCTGTGACAAATTTGACATCTGAGGCCCAAGATGGTGGCATTTTGGACCCTGTGGTTCACGCATTGGAAGTAAATGCTAGTGCAGCAAATGAGGCTGCAAGCAACATTAGTTCTTCAGTCTCTGCTGATCTATTGAAAGGGGCCGGTATCAGCACATCAAGGCTTTCAGATGTGACAACTCTTGCAGTTGGCTATATGCTAATTTTCTTCTTAGTTTTTCTTTACCTCGGTGTTGTTGCTTTGATTCGGTACACTAAGGGTGAGCCCTTGACCTTGGGAAGGTTCTATGGTATTGCATCTATAGCAGAAACAATCCCGTCACTCTTCAGGCAGTTCTTGGCAGCAATGAAACATTTGATGACTATGATTAAAGTTGCCTTCCTTTTAGTAATTGAGCTCGGGGTGTTCCCTCTGATGTGTGGATGGTGGCTCGATATATGTACTCTAAGGATGTTTGGCAAGTCAATGTCTGACAGAATCCAATTCTTCTCAGCCTCTCCTCTGGCTAGCTCTTTGGTTCACTGGGTTGTGGGAATTGTATACATGCTCCAAATAAGCATCTTTGTCAGCCTTCTTCGAGGGGTAATGGGCCAACCATCATTTCTTCACATATCTGCTTGATGAAGTTGATATGCATATTATTGAAACCAAAACAAAACATAAATCTGCAGAAGTGCTAGGCATGATGCCTGCAGTTTGTCAACTTGCATCTCAGCACTGGCTGAGAGCTTTCACATATTTAGATGAGAATATTTGAGACATACTAACTTGGAGTACTTTTCATCTTGTCTTTTCAGGTTTTACGCCATGGAGTACTCTATTTCCTCAGAGATCCTGCTGATCCAAACTACAATCCGTTTCGTGATTTAATTGATGATCCTGTGCACAAGCATGGACGCAGGGTACTCTTGTCTGTTGCTGTGTATGGAAGTTTGATTGTGATGCTGGTATTTTTGCCTGTCAAACTTGCCATGCGAATGGCACCATCCATCTTTCCTCTAGACATCTCGTAAGATTACTCCAGTGCAAGCATAGTTAATTTCTTCATTTCTTCCTTTTACTCGTCATCTTGATTGCTAATATATGATTGCTCTGCATTTCCCCCCAGGGTTTCTGATCCGTTCACAGAAATTCCAGCTGACATGCTTCTGTTCCAAATCTGCATTCCTTTTGCCGTTGAGCATTTCAAGCTGCGGACGACAATCAAGTCTCTGCTTTGCTATTGGTTTACAGCAGTTGGTTGGGCGCTTGGCTTAACTGATTATTTATTGCCTAGACCTGATGAGAATGGTGGGCAAGGAAATGCAGAACCTGGAAGGCAGGATCAATTACAGGCTGGTGCTCAGGATCGTGCTCTGGCAGTTCCTGGTGTTGATGATCATCCCAACAGAGGGATTCCTGGAGCAGGGAATTTAAATACTGTTGATGAAGATGATAGTGAAGACCATTCTGATTCTGGGTACGCATGTTGTTTTAGTTTGTCTTACCTAACTGCCTTTTGCTGTTCATGAGTTCATATTTGTTGACATCACAATTAATCTTCAAGGTCCTAATTGATATGAGAGTTTTATGTTTTCTTGTTTCCCCAACTGGTGAAAGGAACCCTTTTCTTTCTCCTTTGTTTCCTCGATGGCTTCTTACTTACATAATAACTAGTCTCTTAATTTATCACACTTCAGGAAATCTGCACACAATAACCTGTTCCTTGATTTCGATACTCTGTGCGATTACTTTCTCTTCCACTCTGCATGGTTATTGTTGCAATGAACTTCTCACATGTACTCTTGTTGTCATTCCTTCCTGAAAGAGGGTTGAGTCCACGGGAAATTGACTGAAAACAATGGTGTTGTGTTCTGTTTTCGACTTGGCGTGTAACCTATATTATTATTCGCTTCCTTGATGTTTCAGCCGGTATGGCTTTGTTGGCTCGATTGTGCTCTTGTTGGTGGTGGCATGGATGACACTTCTGCTCTTCAACTCTGCCGTGATTGTTGTACCTGTGGCACTGGGTCGAGCCCTTTTCAATGCCATTCCTCTTCTCCCGACAACACATGGTATCAAGTGCAATGGTATATCTCTAGATTGAATACCTTTGTTGTGCTTCTGCTGCTTCTCCAGAATTGACACATTAATCATTCTAATTCTATCAATGTCGCCTCTGTAGATCTATATGCTTTCGTAATTGGAAGCTATGCCATCTGGACCGCTCTGGCTGGAGTTAGATATTGTTTGGAGCATGTTAGAACAAAGAGGGCAGCAGTTTTGTTTAACCAAGTTCGGAAGTGGTGCGGCATTATCCTCAAGAGCTCCGCGCTACTATCGATATGGGTAAATTTCATTTTACAAGTACACTCATAACTTGTATCATAAGATTTTATGAACTGTTGCCTTTATGTTTAGTTCCGACAAGGTTTGTTCTTCTGAAAATTTTAAATCACAAGATTTTTAAAATCTAAATCTGTGTTTCTACGTGCATGCCTGTTAAAATTCCATGAAAGATCTCTCTTATTAACAATCATTTCTGTTTTCAGATATTTATCATTCCAGTGATGATCGGGCTGCTTTTCGAGCTCCTCGTTATTGTCCCCATGCGTGTCCCTGTCGACGAAAGTCCAGTCTTCCTCTTGTATCAAGACTGGGCATTAGGACTCATCTTCCTCAAGATCTGGACTCGACTGGTACCCCACCCTCACTACACTCCGCATTTTGACCATTCTCTCTGTAAACTTACAGCAATTTACCCGACTCTTTCTCGATTCCCATTTTCCCGTGTTGTGTGCGAACAGGTCATGCTGGATCACATGATGCCGCTCGTCGACGAGAGCTGGCGAATCAAATTCGAGAGGGTGAGAGAAGACGGCTTCTCGCGCCTGCAAGGCCTGTGGGTCCTCCGCGAGATCGTCTTCCCTATAGTGATGAAGCTGCTCACTGCGCTGTGCGTGCCTTACGTCCTCGCCAGAGGGGTGTTCCCAGTGTTGGGCTACCCTCTGGTCGTGAACTCAGCGGTCTACAGATTCTCCTGGCTGGGCTGCCTGTGCCTGAGCGTGCTGTGCTTCTGTGCCAAGAGGTTCCATGTCTGGTTCACCAACCTCCACAACTCGATTAGGGACGACCGGTATCTCATCGGTCGGAGGCTCCACAACTTCGGGGAGGATGCTGTGGGAGCGTCGGAGGACGAGAACGACGACTGTGCAGGTTCTTCTAATCAGGAAGGGCAGCAGAGGCCTGATGTCTTGTTAGGAGGAGGTGGTAATGAGAGGGAAGAAGGTGGTGAAGTAGGGTTGAGATTAAGGTATGTTAATCGACAAGCCGTGTAAACTGTAAGGTTAAGCGATCGCCGCTTGCTTCCAAGTCTATAATCATTCAGGTGTCCTAGAGTTTTAGTGTACCTAAAGTGGTTCAGACGATTTGTAGAAGGTGGTGTTTAGTAGTGTTTCTGTCTCTGATTATGGGTTATGGTTATACCCAAGTGACCAAATTTGTAAGTTTAAGGAGGAGTCCCTTGTTTTTTTTCTTCTTTTGCACATTATATATAAATAAATATAGATCATTTGGTATTAAAATTGTATGGTTCAATTGTAGTTCAATCGTTCGTACTAATAAACTTGTATACCCGTTCTCTTCAATAGTTAATTTTCTGGTATGATCTTTGGTACTTTATGGTTGTGCAAACACTGACTAGTTTTTCACCGGCAGTTTTTCATGATTCTATACCAAACAAACCATCCGATATTAGGGATGTGCAATGGTATGTTTTGGTTCGCGGATGGGATTAAACTCGTGAGAAGTGCCGTTCAAGACATCTTAGGAATTAGAATCAAAGACCATTATATTTGCTCCGATTTGTTCCACTCTAAATATCAGTTTGGTTTTACTTTTATTCCGATATTTCTGAAATTCATTGAGCTAAACATTGATTTGACTCAATTCAGTCCGATACGAACCAAACCATCTTAGGAATTAGAATCAAAGACCATTACATTTGCTTCAATTTGTTCCACTCTAAATATCAGTTTGGTTTACTTTTGTTCCGTATTTTTGCAATTCAATGAGCTAAACATTAATTTGACTCAGTTCAGTCCGATACGAACCAAACCGTGACAGACCATATCCGACAGCCACCTTTATTTAGTCCTAAGTGCCGTGGGAGGTAGGTGTGTTATTTTAGTCATTAGATGCCGCATTCTTAAACTAAGAGCACGAAAAGATGGATACAAAGTTACAAACAAACACGTTCCAGTAATTTGTCTTCCTTGAACCTATGTTCACGTGAGCAGCAGATATGAGAAAACCAAAGCAAAAGACAAAACCAAAAATTTCGTCGCAAATGACTCCATGAAAATATGAAATGGTCTTTCAATGACTCTCTCTCTCCCTCTCTCACTCACTCCACGACCAAGTCTCTTTCTTTAATCATGGTGAAAAAGGAATAGTTACTGCGATTAACGGTGAAGACGTTGAGGGTAATGTCAAAAAAGGTTTGCCACCCGGCCACAGCAAAATCCATGGAAATCCAGAAGAAAGTGATGGGCATTGATGGCATTTTGGAGCCAATTAAGCCAAAAGCAAAGCCAGCCCCGTTTATTTCTTTCTTTTCCACCTCTCCTTGCTGTCCTTTTTACCCTTCGAGGATGGACCAGTAGCAGTGGCCATCACTCCCTATCTCATCATTCTCGCTCTCATAATTACAGGGGAGGCCATGGCGAAATGGTGACTTTTTGTTTCCTTTTGCGGTCTAATAGTTGTCGGTGGAGCTTTCATAACCCAAGCAGAGTAGCAGCAGCATCCTATGCAACAAAAGCAAACAGACCAAAATCAACCCCCCTTTCTTCATCACATTACAATCTTATCATCCACAAACATTACCAAACCTTTCTGGTACCTAAGCACTGTAAATGGCTGCATAAGTTCTGCTGCTGCTGCTGCTTCAGTAACATAAGCACAGAATTTCAACAGGTCGGCAACACTCTCTCACTTCAATGAATGTCCTCTAAAAGGCCAGCTTTCTCTCTTTATTTTCCCTTCTGGGTTTTTTGCTGTCATCTTTGGTGAAACATTAACGGCTTGCATGTGTAATTTTGGGGCTGTTTTAAAGTGAGCTTCCATATACAGCTTCTGGTTTATTTGTTGAACAACTGGATTCTGCTGTTTGCAGAAACTCTGATATTGTTATGGACAACAATCCGTGGCCGAGGAAGAGAAGTTTCCCACAGAGAACAATCAATGTCACGGCTAACAACTTTGGCAGCCCTGTGCCCATAGTTCATCATGAAGAGGTAAAAGTTACAGTCTTTGTGGAAAAAAAAAAAATCCAAAAGGGTTTGGAGCTATAAGCTCATTCAAGAAGATGGTAAATTTGTCTCATTTGTTGCTATTTGGTGGTTCTTCCTGTTTTAGGCAAGAAATATCCCAGCCAAGAGTGGCGCAGAACCATCAAGAATCGTTAGGAATTTAAATGAGAAGCTAGCTTCTGTGCTTCTTGATGATCATCTCACTAAAACTGAACATGATATCCCTTCTGCAGGTATTATTATTCATAATCCATCCATTTGTTTCCATTTCTTTGCTTTTCACCCCTTGATCCTTGTTTAAGACATTCATTCTGCTGCCTGTTCTAATGCTTGTTCTAGAGCTGGAGAAAGCAGAAGAAGATGTATTCATGCAGAGACAAGTGGCCCATCATGAACCTGCATTGAAGCAGTTCACCAGACCGTTGAGCTCTATCCCCGAAGAACTAGAGGTGAAGATGTACAGTGAATCCATCAGGGATAAATCATCAACTGGATTTAAGGAGCTAGAAAATGAGTTGAGGGATTTAGCTATTGACAACACAAATTTGAGCAGGACCTTAATGGTGAAGGAGAAACTAATTGATGATCTGTACAAGCAAGCATCTCAGACATCGGCAGAGTTTCATGCACTCATGTCTCGATTGGATTCAACCGAGAAAGAGAATGCATTCCTCAAATATGAATTCCACATGCTGGAGAAAGAGATCGATGTTCGCAACGAGGAACTCGCGTACAGCCGACAGCATGCTGATGCATCCAGGAGGCAGCATCTGGAGAGTGTCAAAACAATTGCCAAGTTGGAAGCAGAATGCCAGAGGCGTCAGAAAAGGGATCCATTTCCTGCTACTGCCACTTTAAAGCCTAGTCATGAGATTCCTGAAAAGAATATAAATTTCCTGCTGGATAAACTAGTTGCTACTGAGGAAGAGAACAGGAGTCTTAAGGACACACTGATGAGGAAGAATGCTGAACTTCAATCTTCGCGCATCATGTTTTCTAGAACAGCTTCAAGGTTGTCACAGGTTGAAGCTCAATTAGCTGCAGAACTTCCTGGCGGTGGTGTGAAGTCGATGGAGCTTGTTAAGTACATTTACCCTATACCTGGTTCTGAGTTTGGGAGTGATGATGGAGTTAGCTCGTCTTCTGGTTCATGGGCCACTGCTCTACTCTCGGAACTCGAAAGCTTCAGAGATGGAAAGGTGATCAAGAGTCTTCGAAATGACCACAAACCGATTGAGAGCTTGGAGATGTGTTTGATGGATGACTTTGTCGAAATGGAGAAGTTTGCCGTAGTCTCTACAACTGGTGATGATGATGATCAAGAGTTTGACTGGCTTCAGGTTGTTCTGAAAGCACTGAACAAGCAACATCGAGTTTCGAAACGTTCTATGCCTGAGCTTCTCGAGGATATCAATATTGCATTGGGCTACAACAATCATCTAAGCACTCATTGTGGTCAACCGAGTCTGAGTAAGTCAATGTGCAAGATTGTGGACCTTGTGGAGAGATTTAAAATTCCAGTAGCTTTAACATCCAAACCTGAAGATCAAGACTCGAAGGAACTATCGAGTTCCTTAGTGGTGGCAGAACCTTCAGATGTCATGCAAAAATTTCTTCATGCATGCAACAGTCTGATGGATGGAAAGACTAGTGTTGAGAAGTTTACCGAGGAATTATCATCTGCTTTGGAGTTTATTCTAAGCAATCACAACATGTTTGGAGAGAATGAGAGGTTGAAAGAGACAGAAGCTAGGCTGAAGGTAGCGAGTGAGAAGACTGAGTCTTTGACGATTCAACTACAGGAATCAGAGCAGAATATTCGGAACATAAAGGCAGAAATGGAGACTTTGAGAGAGTACAAGTACATGGTTGAAGACCAGATGGAGAATCAGATATCGATCAATGAGGAACTCGATACTCAGCTCTCGGTTGCCAAAGCCCAGCTGAATGAGGTCATGCAAAAGTACTCGTGCTTAGAAGTCGAGCTGGAGGATAAGCATGACTGTTGTGAAGAGCTAGAATCAACTTGCCTTGATCTTCAACTCCAACTAGAAGGGTAAGAAGTAAAATTTTTCCTGCTTCATCTTTGACATTCTGAAAACATAACTCTGATACCACTGCAACATTTTCCTTCTTCTTACAGTGTAACGTGTATCGAGACTACTATCGAGACTACGAACAATGGCATGAATGGAGAAGGAAAGCAATCATCCCAAAATGTAAGTTTACTATTGTCACCCTACCTCTTCGTAGTCTTTATCTCCATATGCTGTAATGGTGATCGGCAAAGTGTATTGCAGGAATTGGAGATATCAGCAGCCTCAGTGAAGCTGGCCGAATGCCAAGAAACCATTCTCAGCCTTGGAAAGCAACTGAAGGCACTGGCTTCACCAAGTGAAGCAGCCTTGTTTGACAAGGTATTCAATGCTGGAAATGCCGCCAACATCGTCGCCACCACCACCACCAACAACAACAACAGGAACTTGTTCCGTCGGTTCTCATTGCGTGACCAAATGCTAGCTGAAGATAAATCTAAAGCGATCATTCTCTACTCGCCAAAGGAAGAAGATGCACTGATAGAATCTCCGAACCAACATAATGATTATGGTGGTGGCAGAACTCCAGAAGGTGATGGTGGTAAAACTGCAGATACAAGTACAGCAATGGCGATTGTGCCAGGTAAAAAAAGTGCAGGGTTTGAATTTCTGAGGAGGCTGCTGATGAGAAGGAAGAAAGGAGTGAGCAAGAAGTCCCAGCCCATGGTGAAAGCATGAGGTAACAAAATGGCTAGAGTTTGGTTGTCCTTCAGTCAAAAAAACTTGCTTGGATTTGGTTTTATGTTGCTTAGTGCCATTCATTAGGGAGAGAAAGGAAAAGAGAGGGAGTTCATTTGCATTTCATCTTTGATCACTAACCAAATATCCACATGTACATATGAGTCTGAGGATGTTGTTGTTTCTACCTTCTGTGATAAAGGTACTGTGCTGTTCTTTGCTTCTCCTTAAATCGCATCTGATCTGGTAGTTTTTTCGATTTGAGTGATCAGATCGAATCGAGAAATCGAGTCTTGAATTTGAAAATCAAAATCGTATTGTGTAATGTATCAATCTGTTTGAACTAGTTTTTGTTGATACGAGCAAGTCAGGAAGCAGCAGCAGCAGCAGCCTTTTCAGCTGCAGTCTTCATCTCCATCAAAGAATCTTCGAAGCACTTAGCCAGAAATTCCGGGTCCGGAATAACATCTTTGGCCACCAAAATCTGCATGTCAGCTCTCCCTGCATAGCTCACCATGTGCATTGTCAAAGCCTGTGAAAAAGAGCAGAAATGAATCAACCAAGTTACTTGTTAAATTTATCAAACAAGTTAATAACTAACATCTAATCTAATATGATCTTACATGGGGAATGCTTGAAGTATTGACTCTTAGGAAGGTGACAGGATTCCCAGCAATGGTGATTTCCTCCTTGGGTCCGAGAACATTGGAGATCGTAAACGAGGTGTTGCAGATTATATCGTAGTTACACTTGCATGCAAACTGTGCATAGATTGAAGAACAAGGTTTACTCATTCATGTCAAGCAATCAAACATTGTGTTGTGTTCTGTATATAAGAAGTAACAACGTCGAATGCGTCGGGGGGGCCGAACCTTAGGACCTAATGTGGACATGACAATGTTGCAGAGCTTGTAAGAGAAGTGAGCTTCCAAAGACTTCTTCTTCCTGTCAATCATCTTCTTGGCTCTCTTCACGAAATCCAGCGGATTCGAGTTCGACCCTTCTTCGCTGTGGTGGCTGTGGTAAAATACTGGTAACACCAGTATCCCAAATCTGTTACCCCATTTTGCTGCTGAATTGCTCTTCATCATGTCTGATAATTCCTGCTCAGTTTTTTCAGATCACCATGTTAAGTGATTAATAATGAGGCTAAGAAGCAGTGATGGACTCGGAAATTTGACTAAGAGTTTGGTTTACCTGTAATCCAGATTGTGGTCTAAGGTTAACCATGGCCATCCCTGTTATTTGTTGGCCTTCCTTCAGAGCTGCACTTTTGTGTTGATCAAAGCTGTTATTAACTGATCTGTAATAAATCTTGAATGGTGATATGGATGAGTGAAATTAGTTTCTTATATATTACCATTTGGAGTTCGATGGTCCAAGTATCTTGATAGCCCGGATGCTATCACGCCGAATAGAACGTCGTTTATAGTCTGCAACGTAGCGCAAAACTTTGAGGTGAATCGATAATACATAGTTTGGAAGAAAATTAACAATTTTGATAGTAGCATGGAATGTTCACCGAAATAGAACACATGGCTCGACTAGCTACTCGGATGGTAGGTTATGTTACATTTTGCAGGATGAAATATGACAGACATGGTTCTAAAAAAAACTATTATGCTTGATACGAGAGTCGTGTCACATTAAATGTGATGAGGATATCTGGCACAAAGATCAGATAACATTAAATGCAAATCTACCTACCTACAACATCTTTATTAAAACTCCATTTCATACTCATATATGATCTGTTAATACGAGCTAAGACGTCTTAGGTGTCTTTCTATTACATTTATCTCCTTCGTTGCTGCAGGCAAGGACACAGTACAGTGGACCATTTACCATTTGATTTCCTTTTTTGGGCCCGCTCATTCAAATGGTTTTGGCCCATTTGAACCATTTCTATTTGAGTCTATTCAATGATTTCGTTTGCACTTACACATGGGCTAAATTATATGTTGTTTTGGAAAAAAATCTCAAGCTACACATGTTTTTAAAAAAAAAATTCAAAATATACATGTTATGAAAATAATTCACAATCTACGCATGTTTGGGCCTTCACCGCGTCAGAGCAAGGCGGTAATTGCATCACCGCATGAGAGGAAGGCGGTGATTGCATCACCGCATGAGAGAAGCACGGTGTGATTGCATCACCGCTGTAAAGGAAGGCGGTGATTGCATCACCGCTCTAGAGAAAGGCAGTGAAGGCCTGACCTGCGTCAAAACTTTGAAAAAACATAACTTTGTGCTCGGTTATCCGATCATAGCGAAAATGCGGAATCAAAATTTTTTTTTCGCTACAGTCGGATAACCGAACACAAAGTTACGTTTGTTTAAAGTTTCGACGCAGGTCAGGCCTTCCTTCACCGCGGCCGTGTAATACAGTGAAGCATTCACCGCCTTCGTCGACAGCGGTGATGCAATCACCGTCTTTCTCTCATGCGGTGATGCAATCACTGCCCTCCTCTGCCGCGGTGAATACCCAAACATGCATAGATTGGTAATTATTTTCATAACGTGTGTATTTTGAGAATTTTTTTTTAAAAACATGTGTAACTTGCGATTTTTTCCTTTTTTTATGGAAGGCTAAATGATATGTTTGATCACATGATTAAATAGTTGCCGGTCACATTTCTTATTAAAAAAATAACGTGCCTAATAATCATTTACTTTAAATTTTGTCTCATCATTAATAATTTGTGATTCATCGTCGTAAAACCAACAAATGATTTATGACATGGTATCCGAATTAATCTAATCGTGAAATCACGTGTTCAAATCATCATCGTATGAAAGAAGATAATGACTGAACCCCAACAATAAATGTAGCCAAAATCCAGCTGTATTTTTGTTGATAATTAATTGCAAGTTGGATTAGAATAAATTTCTTTAGATTACTACGAAGTCAGCATCCAAAAACTTCACCCACGAGAAAAGTCAAACAAGAATTTGGGACATCGCAAAAACGCCGACGGAGAAAATTCAATCTTTAATTCTTGTCACGGAAAACGAGGAAACAGTATTCAAAAAATTCATTTCGCTTACTTACCGCATTCGCCACCGCTGACTTCACCGTCTTCATGTCCTCGATCGAGAACTTCGCCGTCGCCAACTTCCTCGGCCACAGCTCCGTCCCGGCGCCCCCGCTGATCCCGGTCCTCCGATCGCCGACGCAGAGCACCCTCAGCGTGAACTCCAAGCAGTACACCAGACTGTAAACCACCATCATCACCAACTCCGCCGCCGTCGCCACCCACGACCGCCGCCGGCGGCGGCGACCACTTTCCGCAGCCGGGAGGGTGGGGATCGCATCCGGATTATCCGACTTCCGGCAGTCGGCGAGCAGCATCGACATCAGCGAGATGCCGTCGCCGAGCGCGTGGTGGATCCGGAGCACGGCGCACCGCTCCTCCGTCAGCAGGTGGATTTCCCACAGCGGCTTGTCGGATCTCAGCGGCTCGCCCGCCGATAAACCGGCGATGTAGTCGTTTACCTTCCTCTCCGCACACCCGCCTTCGTCGGAATCTCCCGCCGCCGCCCGCCGCCGTCGCCTCTCCGCCGCGTCGACGGCGAAGACGTGGCGGTCGATTTCGACCTCCGTTCTCCGCCACCGCTCGCGGCCGTGCTCGTCCCGGACGAGCACGCTGGAGAACCGCGGGTGCTTGAGTAGCAGCGAGTTTCTGATGATTTCCTTGATGGCGTCGACGTCGAGGGGGTTTTGTACCCCGATAGCGCAGTGGATTACGGTGTCGAGCTCCGGCTGGAGGAACATCCGGCCGGCGGGAGTCAGGGGCTCGTCGGCATCCGTCGCCGGCGGCGAGGGGATCGATACCGGAGGGAGAGGTTTTCTGGCGGTTTTGCGATTCATTTTCTCTGTTCTTTTTTGTTGGATCGAGCTCTCTTTCTCTGAAATTGAATGATTATATGTATATATATGGCTGTAGAAATCGCTTTTCCCCAGAGAAATTATAAAAATTTCTTCTGGGGAACTTTTTTTTTTTTTACAGTTCTCTCCTGGGAAACTTGAGGGGAAGAAATGAACAAGAAAGGGAAAAAAGGGAAAGGGACTTATTCTATGATTCATTGAATGTTTGGTCATTAAACTGTTTATTTCCTTTAACTTTGTTTTTTTTGTGACCGTCAATAATGATGTTTGACTATTAGGTGGTCGACGTGTCAATTAATTAAAAATTAAAATTCCAATTGGAAACGTGGACAAAATTGATACTTGCATAATAAAAGAAGTCATATTATCAAACCAAAACAAATCGTCTACTACCAACTGGACTTGGCCAATGGAAAACTGGAAAAGCATTTGAAGAAGGGGGGAAAAAAAACCCCTTTCTCTCCATCGTGGAGAGTGGGCGAGAAACCGTCGCCGTAGTGCGCATCGCCGTACCCGGCCATCTCTGCATCGTGCTCCGCCGGCAACGGGGAGGGGAACGATGGGGGCTATAAATCCCTCTATGTGGGCAAAGCGTTTCCAATCGCTGATTCGAGCATCCGTAATCAATTGCTTGCGAAGCCGGGGAAGCTACCCGCTATCTTTATCAATTCCAGTCGAAATGGCAGGCGTGATTGCAGTTATCTTTGGTGATGCCGACGTCGTTGCTGGCGTCGAACGGAATGAGTTGTCTTTGCTGGGTAGGATTGTTGGCCTGGCCCCTCCGATTCGACATCTGCAATCGACGATGGGGAGAGTGTGGCAATGCCGCGGTGCTATTTAGGTACTCCCGGCGGCAGCAGGGCTCCTTCAATTTGTGTTTCCGACAGAGGATGACATGGACAGGGTCCGCAAGCTATCGCCATGGTTCCTCCCCAAATTTCTGGTTAATCTCGCCCCCTGGGTGGAGGTTACGGAGACGGTTGCAGATCAACTCTGGCGGATTCCCCTAGATCTGCAATTCTGGGGCATCCCCCCCCACCCCCCCAGTGCTGTACACGGAAAATGGCATCTCTTCTTGGCTCGGCTCTGGGGAAGAGTGACTCGGCCGCGGTGCATCGGATCCCTGGCTCTGGTGAACTCTTCCTTCGCGCGAGGGTCTGGGTTGACGGCCGCCTCCCGCTGCCGGTCTCGGTGCCTGCATCCCACGACAAGGGAGGCATAGGTTCGTTCACAGCGACAGTCACCTACAAGCGTCTGTCCCAGTTCTGCTATCTGTGTGGGATCTTGGGCCACGTTGGGCAGCAATGCCCTCGACGTGAGGAGCTAGCAAGCACGGTGACGCCTTATGGCCAACACCTGGTTGCGACCAAGTCGGGGCCGAAGGTGAATGAACTCTCCCTGTTATCCCGGAAGCAATTCACCTGGGTTAGACAGGGTGCTGCTGGGGCTGGTGTACCTTTGAATGCTACTCGGCAGGGTCATCTGCTGATCGAAGCGGACGGTGGTCGGCCGAAGGCCAATGCTACTGGAGTGTCTGGCCTGGTCCCGAGTGCTGGGGATTCGTTCAGTGGAGAGGGCTTGAAGACATCGCCTGCAACCCCACTGATCAGGAACAGGGAGCTGCTGACTGAGCCTGAAATTTCGGCTATGACAAAGAAGGCTCGTACCGATCCATTGGACTCTTCGATCAACAATGTAGACTGTGATGTGGTGGTGGCAACCAGCCCGGACTGGTCCCACCCGGCGCCATGAGTATCATTGCCTGGAACTGTCGGGGGCTTGGCTCACCCTTGACGGTGCCCGCGTTGTTTGGAGCTGTGTGTAGGTTTTCTCCGGCAGTTATTTTCCTTAGTGAAACCAAGCATGACAATGACTATGTACATAAGAAGCTCGTGCGTTTGGGGTTCCAGGCAATCCATTGTGTCCCCCCTGTTGGCTTAGCAGGTGGATTAGTAGTAGCTAGTGTTCCTAGTGTCCTGTGTAGAGTTCTAGGTCAGGCTGAGTTCTTCTTGTTTGTTGAACTGCAGCATATGGTTTGGGGTATGGTAGCAGTATTATTTGTTCATCTCAGTAGTGATGTAAATATCCGTAATGACCAGTTTAATGAACTTCTTCTTTTGCTTTCGACTTGTGCCCTTCCCAAAGTAGTCCTAGGTGATTTTAATTGCCTCCTCCATGCAGATGAGAAGATGGGAGGCAGACCTCCTTCATTTCAGGTTATGGAATCATTTCGTGCCTTTACTGATAATGAAGGATTGTTTGACTTGGGATTCAAAGGACCACCATACACATGGTCTAATCGATAAGGCCTTTCCACCCACATATTAGAGCGCCTGGATAGAGCTTTAGTCACCGACAATCTTTTGTCTCTTTGGCCTCTAATGCAGCTTACTCATCTTTCAGATCTTGGGTCCGATCACAAGATCATCTTGCTGCAGCTAATTCCGGGAGCAGGGAAAGGGAAGCCGAGGTTTCATTTTGATCGCAGATGGTGTCACAATAATGATGCACATGCCATTGTCTTGGGTGAGTGGCAGGTTTCAGTACAGGGAACGCCTCAATTTCAGTTGTTCTCGCTTTGCAAGGCAGTGAGGCATCGGCTAGTGGAATGGGCACGTATGGGCACTACAAACTCGGCGAGGCAAATCAGGGAGCTGCGATCCGCCATAGAATCAGAACGTGATGCATTTCCAGTGAATTGGGAAGTGATCCAGGTACTTGAAACTCAACTGGCAGCCGCGTACTTACAGGAAGAGGCTTATTGGAAGCAAAAATCAAGAACCAATTGGCTGCAAGTTGGTGATGCTAACACGAACCACTTTCACCGTGCAACTACACAACGGCGGAGGCAGAATTTCATTGAAGCCCTTCAAGATGAAGCTGGTACCCGACATTATGATGAGGCTGCTAAAGGTAATATCTCTGTTGAGTTCTTTGAGAAGTTGTTCTCGTCTAATGGGATCCCCCCCTATTTTCTTGGTGAATGCTTTGGGAATCCCCCGGAAGATTACTCATGCTCAGAATTCCTACCTGGCTGCTCCTATTACACGTGAGGATATTAGAGTTGGAGCTTTCAGCATAGGTGCTGGACAAGCTCCGGGGTCGGACGGGCTAACCGGAGCTTTTTTCAGTCATATTGGGATATTATCGGAGACTCCGTATGCAGGGCAGCTCTGTCATTCTTCCGGTCTGGCCGTTTGCTACAGAATTTCAATCATACCATTATCACTCTAATCCCGAAGGTGCCCAATGCTGAGCTGATGAAGCAAATGCGGCCGATTAGTCTATGTCAGGTGTTCTACAAGATACTATCCAAGATCCTCACAGCTAGGCTGAGTACTATCCTTCCCTCGGTGATCTCGGCTGCACAAAATGGCTTTATCAAGGGGAGAGATATATCCGATAATGTCCTCATTGCCCAGGAAGTCATGCAATTTCTAAAAACGAAGGCTACTGGTCGGGATAAGTGGATGGCGCTCAAGCTGGATATGGAAAAGGCATACGACCGGGTTGAATGGGGTTTTCTATTTGCAGTTATGGAGGCTTTGGGTTTCGGACCTCAATGGATGAAATGGATTAAATCGTGTGTTACTACAGTTTCTTTCACGGTGCTGCTCAATGGGAAAGAACATGGTTACTTCCGACCTCATCGGGGTATTCGGCAAGGCGATCCTCTTTCTCCTCTGCTGTTTGCTATTTATACATAAGCTTTCTCTACTCTGCTTCTTAATGCTCTTGATTTGCAGCAGTTACATGGCTTGAAGGTTCATCGCCTTGCACCTACCATCTCTCATCTATGCTTCGCGGATGACACCTATCTATTCCTGCGTGCAACCTCAGCGGAATGTGATAATTTGCTTCAGTTATTGCGCCCCTTTGAGGAGGCTAGTGGCCAGCGCATAAATCTTCAAACGTCTTCAGTCTGTTTCAGTGCCAATGTAAGTGATCATGAGAAGAATATTCTGGCCAACATCCTTGGCATCTCATCCATTGGCCCCCTTGACAAGTACTTGGGACTTCCGGCTCAAATTAAGCGATCAAAAGTTCAAACCTTCCAGTTTGTTGAAGAGAACCTTGCTGTCCGCATTCAAAGTTGGCGTTCCAAATCGCTTTCCCTTGCTGCGAAGGAAGTCTTGCTCAAGGCCGTTGGGTCAGCCTTGCCGGTTTATACTATGTTCTCCTTTCGTCTGTCGTCCACTTCTTGTCGCAGGTTAAATAGTCAGCTTGCTCGATTCTGCTGGGTTGGCCAAGACAAGGAGAGGGGCTTGCACTGGATCTCATGGCCGGCAATTTGTGTCAGTAAATTCCATGGCGGCCTTGGCTTTCGGGATTTTGATCTTTTTAATGTTGCAATGCTCGGTAAACAAGCTTGGAAGGTTCTTCAGTGCCCAGAGTCTCTTCTTGCGAGAGTGTATAAAGCGCGATATTACCCTCACAGTGACTTCTTGTCTTCGCCAGCTGGGTCACGTCCGTCCTGGGCTTGGCAAGGTGTTCTGGAAGGGCGTGAGTTGTTGAAACGTGGGCTGCAGTGGCAAGTAGGCTGTGGATCGGCAATCCGCACCCTAGAATATATCTGGATACCTTCGACTCCTCCCTCGGCTCCGTCCCTGCTTCCCGGCATCTCGCTCCCTAGTCCGTTTGTAGCTGGCCTCATTCATCCGATCACTAGAACTTGGAATATAGACTTAATCCGGACGTCCTTTACTCCTGAGAGTGTGTCATGGATCCTCTCCATTCCAATTCCAGCGGCGCCTCAACCGGACAAGCTTATTTGGCATTACGATTCTTCTGGTCAATATACTGTTAAAACAGGTTATCAGCTGCAAGCATCCAGCAGGCAACTTCAGTACGATCAGCTTCCTCCTCACCTCAACACGCAATTCTGGAAAATGCTTTGGAGCCTGCCGATCCCCCCGAAACTCAAGTTTTTCCTTTGGCGGGTGGTCAGAGGATTCCTCCCAATGCAGTCAATTCTTAAAGGGAAGCACCTCTGTGATTCTGATTCTTGTCTAGTCTGTTCAAATGGTGCGGAAACCATATCTCATTGTTTCTTTGAGTGCAGGATTAGTCGAGCCATTTGGACTCTTGCTGGGAAAGAACAAATTAGCTGTCCATGTCTTCTGTGACAAATGATGTTGCTTGGCATGATCTTTTCTTTTCTATGCAGCTCTCCAAATCACAAATTGCAGAAGTGGTTTTCCTCACTTGGCGCATTTGGAAAGGTCGGTGTTGGTCAGTCTATGACAAAATCCAATACCTTCCAGGTCCTCTCTTTAGACAGTACAACAGGCAGGTCGAGGAATGGAGGGAGGCGGCTGCGCTGCCGAGGGAGAATGCTCCGAGGCCAAGGCAGGTCAGGCAACCAGTAGATGATCCTTCTTGCCCCCCGGTGGACTTCTTGTCCGATTCGATGGTGCGACGAGACGAGGTGTGGGAGGAAGCATTGGATTCGTCGGATTTGATAGCGACCACTCCTTGGTTTGTGCATACGGTAAGTTTTACGAGGGCATTTGGGATCCATTCCTGTTGGAATTATTAGCTTTGAGGGATGCAATGCTGTGGAGTATTAATCGGGGTTTTTCTGCTGTCTGTTTCTGTGGTGATTCCCAATTGGTCATCCGCCGTGCATTGGAGAATGATGTCAACCATGACCGGGGAGGAGCGGTGCTAGAAGAAGTGCGGAAGTTGAAGTCTTCCTTTGCTTTTATTACGTTTGTATTTGCTCCTCGTAGAACTAACAGGGCTGCCCATCGCGTGGCACAAACGGCCCTTGCATCGGTAGCAACCCTTTTGGTTGACTACCGTTCTTTCATTTCAGCTGCATTATAATACCCTATCTATTACGATCTATCTATGAAAAAAAAAAAAAGAAGTCATATTATCTTTCAGGTGATTATCATAAACAGTCACACAATTTATCATTTAGTACAAAACGGTCACAAAATTTTAATTTTGCATGTTTCGACAAAACAACTTTGGACGAATAACAAAATGATCATTTCGTCCGTTTCTATTAAAAAACCTGTTAATTCAATCTAGTCAGCACGCCACGTCATATTGTACATATGTTTAAGCAGTAGAATCCGACAACTAAGGGTGTACATGGGTCGGGTAGGGATGGCAACAAAACCCGAACCCATGGGTACCCACCCGACCCAACCTAGTCAACACGGGTAAAATCCGTGTTGATGGGTTTTGGGCCGGTTTTGGGTTTAAACCCGTTCACTATTCACCGAGTTGGGTTTGGGTTTAGGTAAACCCGACCCATGGGTACCCGCCCACACCCATATAATTATTTTTTCGGTATATTTAATATTCTAAACAACTAATCTTATTTATGTTTGTGGAGACATGTCTAATTTTTTCTTTCTAATTGTGTAGAATGAAGTTGATGTTATCTAGTGGAGAGTGAAGAAACTTAATTGAAAGGAAGAAGCTTCCAATTAATTATGTTATTTATGGATAATTTGTGATTTGCTTCAATTTTCTTGAGTTTTCTAGATTGGCGTTGAACAATTTGTATAGTTAATTTGTGATTTGCTTGAATTTTATAGAATGGTGTTTTAAATATGGATAATTTGTATTGAGATATTGATATTTGACTTTAATTTTGATAGGAACTTGTTATTGTAAATTATTTACGACAAAAACCCGTGGGTATCCATGAACCCACGGATACCCAGCGGGTTGGGTCGGGTTTGAGTTTTTCAAACCCAGTGGGTTTTACCCCGGGTTTTTTTCACGGATAAACCCATGGGTTTGGGTTTGGAAAAACCCGACCCAACCAGACCCATTGCCATCCCTAGGGTCGGGTGGTTCGGGTTTAACCATTTTAATCACCCGACCCATGCACTACGGTTTGAAAAATATTAAACCCAAACCCACCCAAAAAAATTAAAACCCTACGTTTGTTTCTAATTGGGTTGTGTCGGGTTGACCATATTTTTAAGTAAAAACCCAACACAAATATGTAATTATTCTACACCATAAAAATATTTTTATAACTAATTAAAATTTCAAACGAATAAACCGAGGTGAAAGGCATCAAAATTCACAAATTTTCTTTAAATTTTAATAAAATGTGATTTACTTCAACATATGTATAGTTTTTTCACGATATTTTGTTTAAATAGGTTAAAAACGAACGCATCCATAATATGTTATTCTATTAAAATTATACACAACAAAAAGGATTACGTGAATCATAGCTATATTAAATCTATGTCTAAAGTTTAGATTAGGAAGACCTTGAGAGAAAAACATGGCAAAATATCTTAATTTTCTCATAAGTAGGGCTATATACGACTTAATTTTTTTTTTTTTTGTGTATACGAACTTATACCAATAGTTGGAACACGGATTGGGTCGGGTTCTATGGATTGTGTAATCCAAAATCCAAACCCAACCCAAAAGAGGCGGGTTGTACAAAAGAAAACCCTCACTCAAACCAAAATCTTAGTTTTAGCGATAAATACGGGTGGGTTGGGTCGGGTTGGACGGGTGGGTCGGTTTGCGGGTGGTTTTGTTCACCCCTACCGACAACATCAGTAGGAAAGCGGCTGTTGTCAGCTGTTGGCGAGTGGACAGAGAAGCTTGGCGGCGACTGGTAGAGTAAGAGACTGTTCGTAGGTTTTGGTTAGAAATTGAGGTTGGAGGATAAGAGGGCCAATTAGGTGCATTTTAGGGCGACAAAATTTGAATTTTAGAGCGACGAATAGCGATTCAGATTATTTTTATTTAAGGATTAATAGCATTTTATACCCCTATCGTCTACCTCATTCACCGCCGAAGACCCCACCGGCGCACCCTCAGTGGCAGCACCCGACTCTTCCTCACCGGCGACAAGAGTAGATATAACTTAATAATACAAGCTACTTGCTCTCTCATTCTCCGAAGAAGCCTTCTACCCACCGCCGGCTCAAGCTCCGTTCCAATTTCAATTTCAACAATCCCGACCACCACGACTCAATCCCCGTTGACCCCGTCGTGACCAAGATTGAGCGCCGCCTCGACGATGGCCGGTGGGAGTATCACTATATCACCCATTCCCATTCCTGACGCCGCCAACGATACCCACCCCGCGATGGAAGCTCCTGGCCACGAGTTCCAGCCCGAGTGGGAGGATTTCATGGAAGCCGAGGACTACTTGAACGATGAGGAGAAATTCATAGTCACCAGCAGGTAAGGGTTTAATACGAACAATGCCAGCCAAAATTGGAATTTGAATTGAATCGATTCCCATGGGGAACAATGAAATGGGTGTTCCGTGGTAGGTTGCAACAGCTTTTCCCCAAGATTCGAGTTCTGCCGCTGGGGCTCTTCGGCCGGTGATGAGGAAGAGATAGGGTTTATTTTAGTTTTGATTTGGTTGTAATAAAAAAATATAAAATTAGATTGGGGGCATTTGCGTCATTTAGCACCTCATTTAACGGTCCTTTAACAGAAAATTAGATGGAAGGTTACATTCGTTGCATTTTCATATTAGGAGGGTATGTTTGTGCAAAATATTGGTAGAAGAGTACATTTGTTAATTTGCAAAAATAGAGAGGTATAAAATGCTATTAACCCTTTATTTAACTTGCCTCTTATGAATTTGTTGCCAAACTTGTGACATTTTCATAGATCTATTAATTCTCATTCTTATATTACACGTTATCCTCTGTATATTGCTCATAATCATTTTATTTTTTCACTAACGGACGAAACACGTTGAATTGAAATGTCATTTAACTTCACTTGAAGATCCAAGAATGTACCATTACAACCGCTTATGTTCCTTCTCTACTTCCCAATTGGTGGACTTGCTCATCCAAATGGAGCACAGGAGATGAAAAGAGGTAAGGAAATCAGTCAAATATGTGAGATAAACGCCATGGATCATTGATGAATGGATGATGGGTAAAGATAATTGAATTCGGGATTGAGAAGAACATACTTAGAGATTTGGAAAGGATTAGAACAAAATTAGGGATTGGAAGAGAGATTCGAATAATCTAACGATACGTTGATAATTTATTTATTGATTGGTTATCCTGATGAAGGGATTACACGACAATATATAGACTCTGACTTGAAATTCTAATCGACTTAACTCTAACCAATTACTAAACTGCCCTTGATCTAAGAGGCGTGCCTCCATCAATCATACGTTCATTAATTAGAGCTCTGTTTTCTTTCCACATTGGGAAACATTGTCTTTGCCAATCTTCTCAATGACAGAGTGGGCCGGCTACCCCCTTCCTATATACATCAAATCGGCCAGGATTAGGTATAGCTCTCTACAACGTGCTCTCTACTGCATGGGCCCGAACCCCAAGACAAAGAAATGGGCTGAACGTAAATGATACGAATGGGCCGACTACACTAGCTATGTACAGAAACGAAACCACACACTCTGTCTAACAGCCTCCCCAAATTAATGTCGGGAAGTTAGCATCAATTTGCTTCCCAGATACCAGTGGCGGCTAGTAGAAAAGGCCTTCGTGAAAAGATCAGCCACCTGGTCTTCTGTCTGTACATAGTGTAGTAGAATAGTACCGTCCTGGACAAGATCACGAACATAGTGCACATGTATTTCAATGTGCTTTGTTCGGTCATGAAGAACAGGATTAACTGCACTTATAGCACTGGTGTTGTCGACGTGGAGATCCATTGGAAGAGCACATGGGACGCCTAAATCAGAGAGAATACGGCGAAGCCAGACCATCTCGGAACAAACATCGGACATGGACAGGTATTCAGCCTCGGTAGATGATTTGGAGACTTTATCTTGATTTTTGTATCGCCAGGAAATGAACGCCTCCCTGAATTGAACACACCAACCTGTGGTAGAGCGTCGAGTGTCGATACAGCCTGCAAAATCAGAATCTGAAAAAGCACGTAAGGTGGCTGAGCCAGTGGCAGGAAATAGAATACCAACGTCTTGAGTCCCCTTTAAGTAACGCAAAATGCTATAAACAACAGCTTGATGATCAACTCGAGGATCCTGCATAAACTGGCTCACAACTTGAACTCCATATGATATGTCAGGACGAAACACGTTGATTATATGATCATAATTCGGGCCAAAATAAGGTATTAACCCAAGTAATAAAGCACTTTCCATTTCGGTCATTATATCCCGTCCTTTTGGTACTTGTTCTTGCCATTAAAATTGAGGCAACAACATTACTAAGAGCAACTTTACTATGCTATATAGCATTGGTGCTTTAATGTACAACTCAAAGTTGTACCATAACATTAAATGTATAAGCTTAGGTTGTACCATAAAGCAATTTGTACCATTATGTTATGGTACAACTTTACAACTTGAAGTTGTACCATCACATAAAGGTACAAGTTCAAGTTGTACCATAAAAGAATTTGTCCAAAAAGTATAGGTACAATCTGAAGTTGTACCATAACGTAAATGTACAATTTAAGTTGTACCATAAAGGCAAAAACTTATAGGACCAATACTATATAGCATTGTAAAATTTCTCTAGTAATTAGATGATATTAGTGAAAGTTCCTTATAAGTTACATGACTTACATCTGATGTAGATAATACCGTCCGATCATAATTAATAGGGTTATAGGTATAATATGTCCCTCTACTATGTCGTTTTATCAAACATGCCCATGTACTTTGGAAAAATTAACAAACATGCCCTTCTTTTAAAATTTTCATTGAAAAAATTGTCAATCATTGTTGAACCGAGATTTAGACGATCCGATATCGGCAAATGGGAGGGAAAATGTCAGTTTTGTCCCCTGTTTTATTTCTCTGAGTCTCGTCAAAGTGAAATTATTAGGATTATTTGGCTATATAAAAGAACCAAAAAAATTCAAAAGTAAAATTATTCGGGATATTTTAGACATTTGTGCCGCCCAAACAAAAGTTTGGCCGTGGTTAACGGTTTTTGGATAAAAATTTTAACATAAGTGCATGTTTGATAATTTTTTCAAAGTACAAGGGCATGTTTGATGTAAAAAATAGTAGAAGGGCATGTTTGATAAAACGACATAATAGAGGAGCATATTATACCTATAACCCTAATTAATAAGAGTCCATGTCATTATGGACCATTTAATTTTCACCTTATTTTTATTTTCGCCCACATTCATTGAATGAACTCTTTCAAGTACCACCCCTTTTTCATAAACGTTTTGGATTGATTTAAACAAGGATTTTGTCTCAATTATAGTTTATAAAACCTATATATTGGATTAATATTACCTAAAATTATGGTCCTTGATAATATTATATCAAACACTAAGTACCGACTCTAAATTGAGACAACTAAATTGTTTGATTTATTTATAATATAGATGAAACTAAGTCATTGATCACCCTGTATATACAAAATATTTCGTCAAGTTAACTTCTATTACATTATACTAATTAAACTTGTTAATTTATAAAAGTAAAATAAAATTCTTTTTAAAACACTTATACCGATTATTATGAATATGATCCTAATTAAAAGTTCTCCAAGAACCTTTTATCAAGAAAATATTTACGATCTCATCAAATTTTATACTTTCCAAATTCGTAAGCGACATTGTATTTAATTTACTATAAGCATTACCATTGTAGGATAGACTGATATTATATGTCGTTTTTTTTTAATATAGCTAAGCGATTATCATATTGAAGAGCATGAATGCATGGTTTTTTTTTTAGAATATATATTTTCAACTTTAAAAAAATATAAACTATTAAATTCAATTAAATATATATATAATCAGTAACCAATCTTATTACTGATCAGTTTGTAGGCAGACAAATAATAGGGTACCCCATTCGATAGCTAGAAATACCCTCTTTTTGTCTATGCTTGCTTTGACCAGTTTTGATTTTTGCGCTTGGCTTCGATCGGAATTCTAAACGTTATATGTCACACCCGTACCCATAATTTTAGGGAATTCCTAAATTACCCCTATCAGTTATTAAACCTAAACGAATATAATTGTTGACCCTAACCTAAATTCAAAGGGGAGCCGCACAAAACCTAGTAGGAGGGAGCCGCAAATTAAAACCCCATTCTTTTCCTCCGCACAAGACCCAGCCACCATCCCGTGAGCTCCCGCCGACCAGAACACATCACCACCGTCGAACCTCCTCATCCCTTCGGCCAAGACACCACCACCGGGAGAAGCGACCGGCTAATGGAAGAAGCGGCTAGCTAACCAGAACGAAGGATCGCACGATCTCTCCCGCCGCGAGCCACTGCCAAATCCCACAGCTCTGATCCGTTCTTGGAGCTCTAATAGCAACGACAAGGTTGCAGAGGACGCAAACGACCATCTCAGGAAGTCGCGTATTAGAGGTAATGGATTTGTCCTCGTCCATTTTATTGTAGTCTCGGTGATAATTGGAGACGGTGGTACTTGCAGTAGGTCATTATTTGAAGGGAAGAGCTACGAATGGTTATATATATATATGGATGAGTGCAATGGAAATATATTATGATGGATTAGTAACTAAGTTTAGTTAAGTGGATGATATGCATGGTGGTTTAATTATATTAAGGGGATGAATTAATGAAATCGAAAATGGATTATTGATGTAAAGCTAGTATACGTGTATATAATCAGGTGAGTTGAACGTGTTCTATCCCGAGGGGAAAGGTAAAGGAAGAAGGAAAACGGTGCATGGACACGTACAAGATATAAATTGATAATAGACTTGAAATTAAGGTGCGTGGTTAAAGGAGTAGAGTAGTTTTCGTTATCATGCATTTCAATTCTTGCTTTATGTTTCTGTTATTGTTTATATTTGGTCATTCCTTATATGCTTTCTTATTAAGTTAATTTATTTACGTTCAGTCTTTACTTTAAGTATGCATAGCATCATGAAGTATAAGTAAACTACGTTATGAGTCAAGAAAATACACGTTCAATTATAAGTTAATTAAGTGCAAGTTAATAAGCTTGTATCTTCCCATTGTGCGGGAGATCATCTATGTAAGCTCGACTTCTCAAGTCAAGTAAGCAAGTACAAGATTAACTATGTCTCTCCATCGTGTGAGAGGTTGTTTCAAGCAAGCACGTACAAGATATCAAGTTAACAAGTAAGAATAAGACCCTCTCTTAACTAGTCGCACACGGTCACCTTACTCATTGTAGATGAGGAGCACCTTGTAGATGAGGGGTCATGATATGTATGTCACGATCGGTGTCGGACGCGGTCACCACTAATCCCTGTAGATGGGGAGGTATGCTATGTTACTCCTTGTAGATGAGGAGGTTATGTTCATGATACGTTGGTGCCGGACGGATGTGCTAGTTAGGTCGAGGGCGGGATACTATTTCAAGTTAAGAAAGTAGAAAGTATTATACGCAAGAATATGTTAACAATAATACACTTCTACTAATGTACCCAATAACGTACCATAAGCATTGCATGTGCATCTCGATTTATGTATGATAACGAAATTAGGACTAGGACTGACCCCATCGCCCGCACTCAGGAGCTGCAAGGAAACTGAAGTAATCGATCACTCGTCAGGAGGAAGCTGCTGCTCAAAATGTCATCTTCACAAGGGTTAGTGATAACAAAAGTTTTCAAGTAAACCCTTTGCACTCACGTACTTTTATTAGTAGGCTTGAGACTGATGCTCATTTATGATTTGTTAAGAGGAATTTCCTATAGTGACTTGAAATTATTTATGTTGTTCTTTTCATTTCGAGTTATTTTGATTACTCAAGGGTATTCTGGTAAAAGTAGTGCTCGGCCGAGTTAGGGTGTTACATTTTGGTATCAGAGCCGGTCTCCCTCTGTCTTCACTTTGTAAGTGAGATACTGGGAATTCGGTCTCCATGTTTCCTACGAGTATTAAAGGTTTTAAGAAGTTTTCAAGCAATTTTTCAAGAAAACCGAAAAATCGTTTTAGAGCATCCAGTCTCATCTACTAACAAGTGCAATGTTTCCAAGGTTTTGACACAATGTCATTGTACTTATGTAGGAGTATGAATAGCGAGAGCTCTCATCAGGGTGATGGTCGGCGGCCGTCCACAAACTATACCCTGCTTAGGAAAATGGGGGTGGTTGACTTCGAGGGCTCCTCTGACCCCGACATGGTCGATGCATGGCTGTTGAAGCTCACTCAAACTTTGGATGAGCTTCGTATTGATAATGATGAGGATAGGATCGCCATGGCTGTCCATGTGCTTCGGGCCTAGGGAACTGCTAGGGATTGGTGGCATCTCAAGCCGGAGAGTGAAATGGTACCTCTTGAGATCACCTGGAACCAGTTTGTGAAGATGTTCCTCGATGAGTACATCCCCCAAGCAGTCCGGGACGATAAGAGGGAGGATTTCATGAAATTGGAGCAGCAGTGGGGGCAGAGTGTCACATAATACACAGAGCTATTCAAGAGGGAGGATTTCAATATTTATTATTATTCATTGCACACAAGCACTACATGATTAATCTCAAAGCATACTTTGCAACATTGAAAACCTTAAGTAATTGTCTAATTGTGTGTATAATATAAAGTTGTTATTGATCGATGATGTTCATATGTTCTGATAGTGTTAGTGGAACGAAGCTATTAGATGAAAATTGTTTTGTAATAAAAATTATAATATAAAAATAAATAATACTCAATAAGGGCACTAAGGTAAATTCCTAATACAACCACAAACATAACAATGCCAAATCCATCATGAAATCCAACAAGCAAATAATGGTTTGTACCAAAAACCAAATGGGGCAATTCCATCATATTGTTAGAAGTATAGGTACTATTTTGTATTTTGTACATATTAATGACGTGAGTAGGAGCTAGGGTTCTCTGTTGGCTAGTATATATACTTGTGTAGATGGCTGACCTCTGTAACTATTCTCGGAATAAGATTCAATCTCTGCCTTGTGCCGTGGACTAGTCTTGACGATCATCGTCAAGGAAACCACGTAAATCTCGTGTCTCTCGATCTCTCATATTTGTGTTTGTGTTTATTATCATGGTATCAGAGCCTCAGGATTCTTGATCGTGCCTGGGTATCGTCGTGTGTTCGTGATTGTGTCTGGCTGCTTCTGTGTGTTCGTGCGCGAAGCTTGGTATTTGGGTGGCTTGTGATTCTCGGTATTAGACTGGCTTTCTTGGTTTTGGGTTGTTTCTTGTGCGCTGCCATAGCCTGGTGTTTGCGTGGGCTGTGATTCTTGGTATTGGCCTGCCTTTGGCTCTTAGTTCTTCTCCTGTGTGCTGCGCCTTGTATTTTCTGGTGAAGATGGACAGCTCAAAGTCTGATGTGGTGACCGTACGATTTAATGGTAAGAATTTTGTGCTCTGGAAGTTTCAATTCCGGCTTCACATGCAAGATCGTCAGTCAATTTATGTCAGCTCCCCGCACACCTCACCGGCTAGATGTTCAACGTATCTTGCGGTATTTACGTGGGACACAGGAAGTTGGCCTGCTGTTTCCTGCATACGGATATGCTACTCTCGAAGCATACTCGGATGCGGACTACGCAGGCTGTCAGGATACTCGAAGATCTACCTCTGGTTGGTGTGTGAAAATTGGTCGTTCCTTCATATCATGGAGATGTAAAAAGCAGGATCGGGTTTCGAAGTCTTCTATAGAGGCTGAGTATCGATCCATGAGTGAAGTGGCTTCAGAGATTGAGTGGTTGAGGAGACTGTTGGCCGAGTTGGGTGTTCAGTGCCCTTCTCCGATTCGCCTACATGTTGGCAATACGAGTGCCATTCGTATTGCAACCAATCCGGTGTTACATGACAGAACCAAACATATTGAAGTGCATATCCATTATGTTCGTCAACTGGTCACTGAAGGGATAGTCGAGCTTACCTACATCAGTTCTGAAGATCAACCGGCTGACCTATTGACTAAAGCAGTGTCTACTACACGTCATTGGTTTCTAGCACACAAATTGATGTTACGTTAGCATCATCAATTTGAGGGAGAGTGTTAGAAGTATAGGTACTATTTTGTATTTTGTACATATTAATGACGTGAGTAGGAGCTAGGGTTCTCTGTTGGCTAGTATATACACTTGTGTAGATGGCCGACCTCTGTAACTATTCTCGGAATAAAATTCAATCTCTGCCTTGTACTGTGGACTAGTCTTGACTATCATCGTCAAGGAAACCACGTAAATCTCGTGTCTCTCGATCTCTCGTATTTGTGTTTGTGTTTATTATCACATATATCCATGGTTTTGTAAAACCCAGGTTTTAACCAAATAAGTATAGGTGATGGAGATTCAGTGGTTGCTTTGTTAGCCATAAGGTTGTGATGTTGGGACATAGTTGATGAGTGCACGAGAGAGCAAGGAGTTGATGTTGCTTGACGATCCAAATCAATTAACATGAATGAGGGCTGATGGAGGCCTCCCTCTTTTTTGTTGGAGTTTTCTGATCTGCCTTATTTGATTGGAACGAGTAAGGGATCTCCATTTCACATCAATGACTATTTTCGAATACATATATACGACCACTTTATTATTATTATTTTTTTCTTTTACATAAGCTTGTCACAGGGTATATTAGGAGAACACTTCCCATGGAGTAAGCAAATATATTTCTCGCTATTTAGATGTAGGGTTGTTAATGAGTCGAGCCGAACTTTGTAATAGCTCAGACTCGACTCGTTAATAAATTTCCAGGTTCGAGCTCGGCTCGAGTTCGTCACGAGCTTTAATATGAAAGCTCAAACTCGGCGCGTTTATGAAAATGAAAGCACGAGCTCGCTCATCAAATAAGTTTAATGAGTCCAAAATCGAGTTCAACACAAAATGTTCATTATAGCTCAAGATTGAGCTAGAACTGAGCACAAAATTACATTCAAACCTGCATCAAAGTCTAGCAAAAACAAAACACAATATTTATCCCAATTTCAATACATAAAATCTATGAATTCCAATCCTTTCTAATGCCAAACCGTCAAAGACGAATCGAGTCTCGAACTGAGTTTTTCTCAGGTCGAATGTCGAGCCATTCTTGAACGTCTTGGTTTGTTAACACCCCTACTTATGCAAGTCGCCTGATTTTATATACTGTTTTTGGTTTATACATATAATCTCACATCAATTATACGCTAATTTTCAAAATTCCGGATTTTAAATCATATAAGTCTCTAGGCATTTCGATTTGGAATTTTGGATCCACTGTGTCTGTCTGGCCTCGGCATAAGAAACCCAAGATTTGGACAATGATACAATCGCAACCCAAATCCGTCATATCCCTTACCCGAGATCTGCGCTAGATTGGGCTTTTCCTTCGGTCCTGTCATAATGGGCCTTTGGCCTGCTTGAAGAATCTTTTGTACCAATGGTTCTCTCAGTAGTCAGTCAGTAGTAAGTAGTAACTCGCCAACTAAAATAACAGCGATTAGGCAGGTTTACTAACATTTCTAATCAATTCATTGTAAAATTAGTAAAGATTCTACCAATTTAGACACCTCTCACTTCCTCTTTATCGAGCTCATCTCGTACTTGTATAATAAAATCTTTCAATACTCCACCAACCGATTGTGTAGAGAAAGTTCACATTCTTTTTTTCCATACTTTGAACAACTAGTAGCTTATAAATTCTCATTTTAATATACAACAAACATATTACATAACATAGTAACCAATGACGGCGGTTCAAATATATTTTTTATTTTCCCCCTTTTAGAAGTCAATGCTCAATACGAAGTGTGGATCATTCCAATGAATCGCAACTTGACAACCCACCCACCAACCATAACATGGACATGATCTGAGCTTCTCAGGCACAACATGAGAAAATGACACCACATTACACAAAAGAGAACCCACAATTTTTTGTTTGGATATATGAATGTGTAGTATAATGGTAAGGAGGCCATAAAAAAAGGGTTGGTGGAAGAGGGTAGTGGGGAGAGTGGTAGGTGAAGGAAGCCCACCAAACATGACAAATTGTCTTTAACCACTAATCCAACTAATTAATATTTGTCAAGGGACAGCCTTATTACTCCCATTCCTCCTCCTATTAATTTATTTTGTCTTTTAATAGTATATATAAAATAATAATGAAGCCAAGCAAAAAAAAAAGGATGTATTATATGATGAATGAATTGGTAGTTTACAACGTCGTTTAGTTCAAATGATTATTGATTAATTAAATAATTAACAATAATAAAATAAATAGCTCATAAGATTAGAGAATCATTGCTTCAATAGCTCACAAATTTCTCGAGTTATTGAAAAGATTGAGTTTCCGGATGCGATTTGATTTTTTTCCTTTTGAATTTGGTCATCTAGCACCTCCTGGTTACAACTAGATCACACCCCGCATTCTCGATATCGTGAACAATGTAGTAAAAAAATTGCGTTTCAAAACTTAAAACGCCAAGTTTTTACGACTCTATGTAGAATCACCCTATTCCTTTACCAACGTAATCAAAATTTACACTGTAAAGTTTAAAAACTTGCGCTTCTACACTTTTAGATCACCAAAACACTCCTTCGTGAATCGCGTTTTTTACTACATTGCTCGTGAAACCTCTAAACAAGACTCTTTGTCATTTCCCAACACCCAGACGAGCCTAAACAAAAAATTAAGCAAACCCCCCCCCCCCCCCCCCCCCCCCCCCCCCCCCTCTTAAACCATAATTATAATGCACATGATGATGGTTCCTCACAATCTCTCTCGATATTTTTTTTGTTATTAATAAGGCGATATCTTTTTTGAACCATAATTACAAAAATAATAATAATATTAGCACCGTTTGTGGCCGATTTTTAGATAACGACCGAATTGATGTCGACACCACAATAATATGCGTGTGTGTGAATGTGTGATGATCTTCTCCCCAAGTTTTCAACGCCCACTTTCTTTAAATACAGGTTGGACAAATGCGGTGTCGTACGCGTCCCTGATTCACGCATCTAGTTATTCACTAATCACTACTTCCATGATTAAGGCATATAATTTTGAATTAATTCATTGATAGTCAAGAATAATATATAATATATTTTCGAGTTATTCGAATAATACAGAGCAGAGCAGGAAGGAAGGAAACGCAAAAGGAAACACGAAAGGGCGAAATGAAGCAAATAATTCCACGGCCACTCGTTGGATTAATGGAATGGGGAAATTACAGGAGACCGATCGAACGCCCGGCGGAGATGCTTGATTAGCTGATCCGGCGGCAGAGAGTGATTCCGTCGCCGACGGGGAGCATGCAGATCTCGATCCTCGGGTCGGCGGCGAGTGCCTTGTTCAGCTCCATCACGAAGTCCCTGTAGTACCTGACGTACTTCCTCATCGGCGCGTCCGCCGGCTCGGCCACCGATCCGTTCCACAGCGTGTTGTCGTAGCCGATCACCCCGCCGACCTTCACCAGGTCGATCAGCCTCTTGTGGTAGTTGATGTAGTTGTCCTTGTCCGCGTCCACGAAGATGAAGTCGTAGCTCCCATGGCATGCTTTCTGCAGGTCGGCCACACAAGAAAATCACCGATCAGTTTGTCAATCGGTCTTAATAATTTGAAAACAGAGTCGCTAAACAATGATTAAGAAAATCAATCGGTCTCAATAATTTGAGTTATTCGAAAAGATTTTAATTTAGAGATTTCGACAGATTTGTAAACAGAGTCATCCTCGAAGTTATCGCCAGACGGCGATGGTTAACAAGAACTTATCGGTTTCAATAAATCGAGTTATTTTGAAAAAAATTTAATCTAAAGATTTCGATATAGAGATGAAAGTAGAGTCACCCTCGTTCTTAGAAGTTATCGCCCGAAAAACGATCGTTAACAAAAAAACCAATCCATCTCAATAACTTGAATTATTCAAAAAAGATTTGATTATGAATCGTATACCACAGATACGGTTTCCGTGTTGGAAGAGAAGTTTCTAATTAGGGGAAAAAGGACGGAATGGATAACTTACGTCTTCAAGCATCTGGTCAAGAACAGGGAGGGCAGGGCCTTCTCTGAACTCGATCTTGTGAGCAACGCCGGCTTTCTCGATGACCGGCAGCCCGAGCTCGTAGTTCTCCCTGTTGATGTCCATCGCCAAGATCTGTATATATAGCAGCAATCAATTTTGTCAATACATCGCTACAATTTCAATTCGATTCACTGAAAAAAAAAACGAAACTATAGCTAGGGATATCGAAGAAAGATCGAGCGACCTTGCCGTCTTCCGGAAGAGCGAGGGCGGTGGCGAGGAGGGAGTATCCGGTGTAGACGCCGATCTCCATGGTGTTCTTGGCGTTGATCAGCTTCAGCAGCATGGCGAGGAACTGGCCCTCGTCGGCGGAGGTCGTCATCAGATTCCACGGATGCTTGGCGGTGATGTCCCTCAGCTCCTTCATGGCTTCCGGCTCCCTAGGGTAAACGCTCGTCTCCAGAATGTACTGCGCGGAAAACAGGGGAGAGAAATCAGTGGGATTGTTCAGCAGTGATCTGAATTTTGAACTCGGGAGAAATTATTAATTCGAACCTGGTAAAGGGCGTCGCTCTGGAGGAGACTCTTGTGGCCGACTTCGGAGTGGCGGCTGACGGTGGTGGTGGTGGTGGTCTGCTTCTCTTCCGCCATTGATTCGAGCTTTTGCTTGGATGGAGGTTTTGGAGTTGAATTGGAAGTTTGGAATTTTGCTGAAATGAGATGAGAAGCTGTTTGGGAAATGTTGGGAAAGTGAGGTTGCTTATATAGTGGAGAGGGGACTTTTTTTTGAATCGGTATGCGGTCTGGTTAGGTCGGTGGGTTGGACCGGCCGGTCGGGAGTTGGTGAGGTGTTTCGGGGGCCGTGCTGGATATTTGGGCTTTCGGGCTGGGTGGGAAGCGGGGCCCACGGGGTTAGGAATCTTTGGTAAATGGTTGGTGGATTTTGGCTTTCCGTGTTATTTCGTAGCAGGCAGACCAGACTTGGTTCCTAACTCGTTATTCTCCTCTTTTTTTTTTTTTTTAGAACCACTACTTTGACCTCAACTACTATATGGAGTGTGGAGTCCAAAAGAAAAGAAAAAAATGACGGTTGACCATTGATCCAAAACGCACAAAGTATTTTTGAATTTCATAAGATCAAGAGTCGGATCATATTACATTCAGTTCGACGTGATCTGGTCCAGACGTCGATTTGATATGGTTTCCGTCCGTTACAGATCAATCCGTTGCACACCCTCACACCCACCAAAAGATAAAAACAATCATTTGCCTAGAAATAAGCAACTAGTCGTTTCCAGTAAGGAGTCTCTCTCCTCCTTTCGCTTCTTACTCCCGGAGATATCACTTTCTCTCTACTATTTTTTACGCTCTGTGCTTTTCCATACCACATTACTAATGTTGATCGTCGAGACGTCGACGGGCGTAAACGACGAGAAACCGCCCCGACATCCCTTCACAAAAATGTTGGTCACGGCATTGTGTGCTAATATACGTTATATTGGGATCACATTTTGGTAGTAACGTTTGGTGGGTGGTGGGGGCTGTTGGCCAACAGTAGTACTCTGTTTTCGCCGGAGTGCTGGTTGGGCGGTGGCGAGGTTGAATGGCCAATTGGAATTGGGTTAGGTCAAACCGAGCTACCAAATTCTGCAACATGGGACCGGAGAGTTGGTGGCCGTCACCACCGATGAAACCGGTATATCTGTGTCGATTCATCATATCTCTGGTTTGGAAGGGCTACTGTTTTAGGCTGTGATAGTGATGGTACGGTGAGAGTTCCGAAACTCCACGCGCGCTTATGTGTCATAAATCAAGTGATGCCGCGTGGAGATTCGGATTAGATAATGTACTTCATTAGCTGTTCTAATCCGAACAACTATAGAAAGATACACAATATTTTCACAATCCTGCCAATGGGGATCAGATACAAGAATAGTTAGTTGGCATCAGTGGCGGATACATGGTGCTTTAGGGGTGTCCCGGGACACCCCTAAATTTTGGGAACACGATTATCCAACTCTCGGTAGTAGTTTCGTATGGATAAACAAATTATAATTGGTAATCTCGGACACCCCTAAAATTTTAATAAACGATTATCTTACCCTCGATAGTAGTTTGCGTATGATTAAAAAAATATAAGTGGTATTCTGTGTTATTTACATCTAGGATAAGGACACTCCTATTATTAAACATCTTCTCCATTAGGTTATAACTCATTTGTTGTTCTATTTTAAACACTATGTAATGGTAAAAACACGATTTCTTATCCCTAGGGGTACCCCTAATTTGAATTGATTTTATGGTTACACCGTAAGTGCTGAAATAGTCTTTTCAACTTTGAATTACATCATGAATAATGTTAGAAATTGAATATACGATCTAGTAGGATATACCGATTTGTTGAGCAGTGTAGACACCAAATCTATCTTATATTTTTTTCGAAATATGAAAAATACATCGTGGCTTTTTGTCAACTTTGTACTAATTGGATATTTAATTATTTAAGTATTATTTTATTTAATTATTTAATTATTAATTTAATTTTTTAGAAGAGGACACCCCTACAAAAAAATTATGGATTCGCCACTGGTTGGCATGTCAGCCGATACAACCAGATTTGATCGGTACCGGTTATGTACTGGCTGGAGAGTGTCCTCGGTATGGCCGAAATGACCCATTTCCAACATTTATTTGTTGGATTCAAGTATGAATGTTTAGATGTTTATATGTCATTTGTTGGATTCAATTATAAACTTTTGAATGTTGGAGTTTTAAATATTACATTTAAATATGAGCCTTTTTCATATTGTTTGGAATATTATATTTTATTTAAATACGGATATAGATTTTAGAGAGATTGCATTCAAATCTGTTATATATAATATCTAAATTCATTTAGCGCTTTCCTACATGTTTTGCGAGAAATCAATATAAACGACATAAATCGATTATATCACCCCGTCATTATCATAACACTTACCAAACCGACAATTAATCTCCTATACACGTTACGACTTTTTCCATTCTATTTTTTTTTTAGAGTCACTAGCCAAACTCTATCAATGACTAACTTGTGACTCAAGGCCAAACACAAATATTCAGCAACAAGTTGGTCCAGGTCCAACAAATGAAAAGGGGCATATCTAACTCAAATAACGGACTCATTCCAGATTATGGGCTTGGTGGGCGGGCAACATATATTATCTTTTATTCATTCGCAAATATTGGGCTCAAAGCCCATTCGTTCGCTCTAGCCCAATGCTCAAGGCAAATACGATGTCGTATTTTCAGTTGTTTGATCAACCTTGCCAAGTTCGTCATTTGTATCTCCTTCGCCACTAGATTCAGGCATTTGCTTTCCACACTGCCTTAGACACTACAACAGACACAAGTTCAAGAACACTGGTTGTACTCTTTAAGAACTAAAACCACAGAGAGAAATGAAGTGACCCAAGAATCAACACAGCCATCCGCAATCCCTGCAAAAATGGTGCTCTCTTCCCTAAACCTGCAGAGCTTGTTGTTTCATTTGCTGCAGCTCCAGGTGCTGGAGCTACACCAGCCTCTGGCAGCTCACATTCCCCAAACGCCATACCTTGCTGCCAAAGTTACCCGAAAAAACAACAACGAATTGTGAGTCCACAAATCAAAACCATTCCATAGACGAAACAGAAATTCTGATTAGCAACAGATGTGTACCCTGCAAGAATCGATGTTCCCACACCCGCAAACAAGCTTCCCATTCGTGACATCCGTCGCTTGTGGAGCTCCCCCTCCATCGCTTCTCTGGAAACAAATTCATGTTAGAGACACAACTGTTGAGGCTACTTTTCCTTGCTTAATAAGCAATGTATGGAACAAGAGCATGTTTATGTATATACCGACCTTGTAGAAATCGACTGTGATGAAGTTAGGCCATCGGTTGCCTGCTGCCAGATGGCATGTGTCTGTCATGCTCATCAATGGGGCAGAGTTCTGTTTACAAGCCTGCGAGAGATCGGGGTTATCAGGGAAGTAGTTCATTAGCACCAGTGATCTTGTTGTTGTATTCATGGCTGATGATTCTGCCCGGTTTGGGCACGAGCCAGCCACCATCCCACCGTTCCCATCTGAACATCATTTTCATTCACTTATCACACTCCAAACATTAGGATGGAAAGCCGATTATGTTACAGCAAGACAGTTTGAGCTAGTCAACTGAAACTCACATTGGTTTTCGACCACATATCTCCACTCGTAAGCAATCCCTTCCGAGGCTTCCTTGGCTGACTTGGAAGTGAAGACTACCAACCGCTGATTGTTCTTGACCATATCGTCAACCGTCGGCCAGTCCCCGCCATTTTTGGGCATCTTTGTCACTGGAAACCAGTACTTCCTCAGGCCAGCAGCATTGAAAACTTTGGTTAGTCCGTTTGAGGAAGTAACATAGTCCTCTATGAAGATGGTAATGATCTCAGTTGGGTTCGATTCGAGGAAAGCTTGAATCTCCTTGAGCACATTCACAGCTGGTTGCTGCCCACAATCAAGGACAAAGCACGGTTAATGTCATAACTATTTTTGCAGACATTTGAAGTTATGAACTTGGAAATTTCGAAGATCAAAGCATCTTACAAAAGCTGTCACATTGAAGCATCTTCCTCCGAAAGAATGGCATAACCAGACATCATTCATGAAGTCGTACATGTCCAGCATCAAACCTCTCACCCCATTCTGTAGGAATATTAAAACAAAAGTTTAGACCAAATGAAGTCCAATATGAAAAGACAGCAATCCTTCAGCAATCGCCTCATAAAGCACAGAGCTTTTTATTTATTTCTCGCCCATGACACTTGTGTGTGTATTTGACATTGCCATTTAATATTCAACCGACAAAATCTTGAATGAAAAACGTTCACTCTGTAATTTCAAGCATTTGGTAGCTGCCTACCAAAAAACTATTCATTACAGCCTGCAACCTTAGACAGACCCATGTTTTCCCAGGAAGACCTTGTCAATGTGATCACATGTGGAGAACACGTTAATAAAGTAAGCTGGAGAAATAAATGAAGAAGGCGATCGTATCCACACACACACTTGGATCATTTGGTATGTAAATGAAGAATCTTTGAATAACTTTGCTGCCACAGCTTGTGTTTCTTTTATACAGAAGGTTAGGTCCTGTAACAATTTGCAGGCAATATTTTGCTTTCCAATTCTTCACTGCAAAGGTTAGCTACCCATACTTCAATTAGTTCATCATTAAAAAAGGCATCATCTGCAACAAGAAAGACAATAATAATAATATACTAATTTAAGGATAACAGTGCAACTCAGAAGTTGCAAACCACAGTCACAAGTCATTTCATTAATTATGAAATCAATTTCCACGGAAACCCATGATTAGTTTATCAATCGAAGTATGAACCCCATGCTGATGGCTGTCCCACGCATAAAAAGTAAGCAGCTAGTTGCCAAATTAGGGTAACCTTCAAGCTTCAACCATACTCCAAATAATTTGTTTAATGAACAAAACCACCACCTACAGTGACACTTTTTTATTTATCTTCAAGCATCCAAAAAGCTTCTGACTTTGCTTGACAGCAAGAAACAACTCCAACAACAACACAAGACAAACAGTACACGACACATCTGCACTTCATCATCAGAAACCACCAACATACATTTCCCCCTAAATTTCTGAGAAAACAAACAGGTAGGCTTACATTGAGCTGGCTAGTAATGGAGTCCTGCTGGTTAGTGGGAGCTAGAATGATGGACCCAGTTGCGGATTTCTCCCCCATCATGGCAAACGAATTGTGGGTGGTAAGCCATGTGTACCGATTGAATGGCAATCCCTTCACCTGGACAAAAGAACAAACACCTAGGTTGCATACTTGGGAAGCAATTGGAAATTGGGTGCTCGATTATGAAATGAACTGGATTTTTTTTTTCTTGCACAATGATATACCTTAGAAGTTGGGATTATGGGTTGGATTCTGGTGCAACGAGGGCGAACATTGCCGTTAGCCACACAGGTTTCACAGTGGAGCCCCGAGTCGCAGAATCTGTCTGCTGCACAAGTTTGGCCTTCCTGAGGCAGAAGAAAAAAGAAAAAAAGGAACAAAAAGTTTGCATCTTTGAGAGCTGAAAGACAAAACCCAGGAAGGGTTTTTGTACTGGGCTTGGATCGTTTCGTTTAACGTACCTTAAGAGCAGTGGAGAAGGAGAGGAGAAGAGTTGCAGCAAGCAGAGAAGCAATGGAAATGGTATTCTGTGAAAAGAAAAGGCGCAAAACAGAGTGGAAGCTTCAGTAGTTGAGGCTTCAGCGTGTGAATGAGAATGGAATGGGGGAGAAAAGACAGCAGAATGAAAATGAAGGTTGCAGAAGAGTTGGTTTGCCTGCAATTGCATCCTTGGGTGTCTTCGTATATTTGCTTGTGTTCAGTTCTACCAAGTTATTACAAGGCAAAGAGACAGAATGCAGGGTGATGGGAAGTGGAGAAATGGGCAAATTTGGCAAGCAGAGAGATAGTGTGGCATTTGGGAGGAAGAAGAGGATGAGTTAACAACTTTATATACGTGTCCGTAGTGGAGGGAATTGGTCTCGTCCAACATTGTAAACCTGGTTTGGCCCGTTGGCCCGATTAAGAAAGTGGGTTCAGGTCAATGGTCTGATCGCTTTAGTCTCGATTTAGTCATGATTAAATGTCACTATTTTGTTCATACATTTATAAATTGGGTTAATTATATGGTTGGTCACTGAGATTACAAAAAACGTTCAAGTTTGGTCACTCGAAATATTTAAATCCATTAGTAGTACTTCAGTTTACTGAAACCGTTCACGTTTGGTCACTCTCCGTCCAACTCCGTTAACTTTTGCTTAAGTGGCGGTCAACTATAAAAATTGACCGTTAAATGTGTGACGTGGCAATTTAAAAATAATAAAATTAACAAAATTAATTTTTTAAAATTGTCATCTCATTTTCACCCCATTATCACTTTTATTTAAAATAAAGAACCCCTAATTTTTTCAAATTTCTTCCACCTCATTATCACAATTTTTTTAAATTGCCGAATCCAAATCCTCATCGGCGCAATCGACATATGGATAAAAACACATAACATTACACCAAAATAACAAATCATACTTGGATCCAACATATAATGAAAATCCAAACGCACTAGGGTAAAATACCTCGGGTACCACTAAAGTATGAGAATTGAGAGAGCTATACCACTTAACTAAGAATAGGGCATCGCGTACCACTGAACTCTATTATATATGCTCCCGGTAGCACTTAAATTTTGCTGCTAAGTACATTCCGTTAAAGTTGACTGAATATTATTGGAACATTCCATTTTCTAAATTTTATAATTGGTCCTTCTACTTTTCTTTGGACTTATGAAAAACATCTTTTTTATCATTAGTTAAAATCATTTTTGAAAACTTGATACCAAACCAAATTTTGAATAGAAAATTTATAATCAATTATCATGTGTTCTAATTATTGAATTATTCACTGAAGCAAATATATTTTATAAATTTTGTTTAGTTTGAATCCTCTTTTGAATACTATGATACCAAACCAATTTTTTAATATGAAATTTAGAATCAATTATCATTACGTGTTCTAATAATTGGATAATTCCTTGAAGCAAATATATAATATGAATTCTATCTCGATATAAATAATCTGAGGATGTTATATTAGTTCTCTTACACCATGCTGACGTTGTCTAATTTTACATGTTAAATCTCCTTTTAATTCTCTAATATTATATTATAGATGTTCCATGTTAGTTAAATTTACTAATTCTATCTCTCTTCCTATAGTCATATTTTCTTTTCTACATTTGTTAGTGAATGTTGTAGTTTTTATAGTTTATTTTTTACTTGGTTACATTCTGCCTCTTTTCGTTCTAATTTTTTCAATTACTGGACTATGTTAATTCTTACTGATTGTGTTCCATTTATCATTCTTTGTTTTTATGTAATGATGACCGATTAGGTTCTATTTTAACTGTTTTTAATGACACTTCTATTGAATCAAGGGTTTAAATAGATCTTTAATATTGATTTTAAAATTTTATTATTATCTTTTAGTATGTTTATTATTCTTCTTGATATTCGCTTATTATTTTTACTAATTTATCTATGTTATTGAAAAAAATATAAGCCATTCTAGTGGTACTATGTTTAGAAGGTTTTCTAATTTTTATATTAGATAAAACTTGTTAAAATGTAGTTTTGGATGTTTAAAATGTTTTGGGTACCAAAAAGTAATTAAAAGTTTTGGGTTTGATGGAAAACTAGACGGATGCACATTTTGGCGACTTTAATGTCTACTTCAATTCTTAAACTTAAGTGGTACCCGAGATATTTTACCCAACACTCTCATATAATATCAATATTCAAATGTATAAACAAGAATTCCAAAAGTGATTCAACGAAAAAAAAAAAAAGAATTCCAAAAGTAGAATTAGGCAAAATGAAAACTAGAAAAGATACGCAATTTGCAAAGCAAAGAGAAAAATGACCTCCAGCATAAGAACCTTACCACTGGTCGACCCGTTGGTTGTCTGCCACTCGTTTTCCTCACCGGATCCATGTCAATTCTGGTCAACCTGCGGATTGACAACCTTGGTTTCCGCTGAGTTAGTTCTTATTTTCTTCAATCTCAAATTAAAAGCAAAAAGATATTTCATTACTTTATTCAGATTTAATTTTAATCATAAAACAGTTACTGCGTACATGTATACAGTAATTGGGACTCAATTGTTTCATATTGCTAAAACATCTATCGGTTTGAGGTTTAGTATCTAGTGTTCGCGATCCGACCTAGGATCAAATTTCTAAAACATTGGGCTTTCATCCAAGATCTTCTAAACCACCGGTCAACTCATCCAAATCATTGATAAAAAAAAGGTTATGCGGACTCTCAAATTACTAATTAGCTGTCGAGCAAGAGAGGAAGAGGTTAGATCAAGTGACGAGTTTGATTTGAATTTAAGTATGGAATAAAATGAGTCGTTCATGTTAGCTAGTTAGGTTTATATTTCATTTCCATTGCTAATTTGAAAGAATTAACATGCCGGCATTTACAATCATGACGAATAGAGTGATGCGAGTTGTTCCAAAATTTTGTTAAGAAAGACAAACTTCAGGCGAAAAAGTTTTGAACCGTCAAAGTTTAGTGACCACTTAAGCAATGTTCCAAAGAAATCATCCAAGGACAATACTTAAAAACTAAAAAGAGAAACACCATTGAAAAACAGAGCCTGTGGTGGGAGTGAAAGCTGGAAGAAATCAGAAATCAAATGAGAGCCACCACAGCATCACTGTTGGTGACTGATTGAATCAATTGGACCCACATTTTGCTTCCATGGACGCCCCGCTTGCCCCCAAGTAAAAGCCAGAGTGTAGCACTCTAGCTGCAGACCCACATTACAGAGAGAGAGAAAGAGAGTTGCGACGAACGACGACCAAGGTGCACAGCCAGAAAGAAAGAGACGACGCAAAGACGGAAACTTTCCCATTCCCCATACACCTCTCTCTCTCTCTCTCTCTCTCAAAAGTCGCATTCCCCTCTTCTCTCCCTCCTCACGAACTCACCAGCCTCTTCTGCTTCCTGGGTACTCACTCTGCTGCATAGAACCCACATTCCGCTCCTAATCAATCGACCCCACTAAAAATTCTTTGCTTTGGTTGGCAGTTTCATTCTGCTTTGTTCCCCCTTTTCACCACCTTGCACCGTCTGTCTCTCACTCCTCTCGGGGTTCCTTTGGTCGGCTGCTCTCCTTCTTGACAAGTTTGACCATGGCGGCGGGCGCGCGGCGGGAAGTCCTGCTGTGGGTTTTGCTCACATTTCTGGCAATGCTGCTGCTTCTTCCTCTTCCTCCCGTCACTGCTGGTTCGTTTCCGCTGCTCTTACTTTGTATTGAAAGTGCCATCTTTTGTGTTTGTGAAATTGCCTGAACCAACTTTGTGCTCTCGAGTTGGTGCCAAATGGGTCCTTTTCTGGGCACTGCATGCCAAATAAGTTGCCTTTGTTGCGGTTTTTTCTTGGTTGCGAATGTTTTATCTGCAATGGATGAAGTGAGCAATTAGAGGGGAACATTTCCTTCGTGTTTGACAAGCATGGATAGTTCATATGCTGCACAAACGTTTAACAAAAATGCTCTAATATCACAGGGTTGATTCAAGAGCTCCTCTGGCCTATGATTTTTAGATTAAGTTCTAGAAAAGTTTATTTGTATGATTTGGGTATTTTAGTTGGCCTTTGTTGGACTTAGTTGGAAGCAAGATAATTGCTAATCCCTGTCAATGGGGACCTTTTTTTTTAACCTGAAGCACATTGTTGATTAGCTATTTGCTTGCTACTTCTGCAGATTGCCCCTTGGATTTAAGCGGTTCAAACTTCACATTGGCAGCCTCATTGTGTTCCAAGAAAGAAGATCGAGGGAAGTGTTGCCGCTACATTAATGCTTTCATTGCAGTATCAGCCTCCCGCTATGCAAATGCAACGGGCAACTTAGGGGTCCCCTCCAATCTATCAGATACATGTGTTGGGTCCATCACTCAGACCATGCAACTGTACGGACTTCCACAAAATGCAACTCTTTTCTGCGGATTTGGTACTAAAATCCCGGTTCACTACGAGTGTATGGAGCGAACTACAGTCGGCGAGATGCTGCAGTCTCCAGAATTTGAGAACGTCGTGCAGAACTGTGAGGTGCCAGTTTCAGGGGAAGCCGATTGCAGGAAATGCTTGAATGCGGACATTGTATACCTTCATCATCTGGTTGGAACGGATGACAATGTCACATTGAGTATCTGCAGGGATGCAGCTTTTGTTGCACTCACAAGCCGAGTTGATGTTGCAACTACTGTTAATTTTGCACGTTGTTTCTTTCAAGTTGACGGTCTTGTATCTCCTCTAGGTATATGCATGTCTTTAATTACTTATGTTGTCAAGCTCTTGCAGTTGATGTTCATAAATGGCCTTAAGAATTCATTAACCATTTTCATGATTTTTGTATGGATTTCTGTTAGTGTCATCGCCTTCTGGAAACATCACTGAAACTTCTCCTAGTCCTTCATCTGCTGCAAGCCCCGACCAAGCTTTGTTAGGATTACCACAAGATGGCAACCATCATCACCCCTATCACTTGACATTGATTCCTGGAATCGGGATCGGAGTTACACTGTTTGCTTTCATTGTGTTGATGGTTTTGGTAGTTCTTATTCGGAAAAAGAGCAAGGAGTTAGATGATCCAGACAATCTAGACAAGGCATCTTCTAAAGCTTTTTCTGGTTGGACAACACGAAAATTTCAACAAGGTTTAACTTCTTTAGGAGCTTGCTGAATCAAGTTTGTTTCTGGGCATTCTTTTATGGTTAGCATTTCTTATATTCTTTGTTTCTGTTCTTACTTGTGTTTTTGGGGCTTTGTACATGTAGGATCTGCAGCGATGTTTCGAAAATTCAGCTACAAGGAAATAAAGAAGGCAACAGACAACTTTACTACAGTAATAGGAGAAGGAGGATTTGGAGTTGTTTACAAAGCTCAATTTAGTGATGGGTCAGTGGTGGCAGTGAAGAGGATGAACAAAGTTTCAGAACAGGGAGAAGATGAGTTCTGCAAAGAGATTGAACTTCTTGCTAGATTGCATCACCGTCATCTAGTCGCTCTCAGAGGATTTTGTGCAGAAAAGCATGAGAGGTAGTCATTTATTTCTCCATTTATGTCTGCTAGTGTATATGGTTACTGAATCATATCATGCAAGAAGATTCATAAAAAAAAAATATATATATATCTAGAGATGATGATAGAGATCATACTGAGAAACAGAAGAATTCTGCAAGAAGGCCAGCTTTTGTTTGTGGAGTCACTATAATCCATCAACTATTATAGCTGAAATATCACATTAGTAAATTCTTTGTGCATTTTCATCATGATCATAATTTGATATTAAATTTCAGGTTCCTTGTGTATGAATACATGGCAAATGGAAGCCTGAAGGATAATCTGCACTGTATGTACTGTTTTTCTTGCTATTTCTGTCCTATTCGGATAGGTTTCTGTCATGCAGCTGAATCGAAAATCTTGATAAGAAAAATCTGTATCTTATAGTGGATTTTCTTAGTTGATGATGGGAAGTTGACGGTTGATTCTGAATCCTTTTATTCCCGAATCTGTGCAGCTCCTGGAAAAGCTCCTCCAAGTTGGCAGACCAGAATCCAAATTGCTATTGATGTGGCTAATGCTCTGGTATTTAGTTAAAAACATCCTCACCCTTGGTACCCATTTGCCGATTCAAAAAATTTAGAACGCGTCAGGCTCTTTTGTTACTGTTCTTGGTCTAAATTCATTGTCAATGCAGGAGTATCTCCACTTTTACTGTGATCCACCTCTTTGCCACAGGGACATCAAGTCCAGCAACATCTTGTTGGATGAAAATTTTGTAGCCAAGGTTCCATATCACTGAAACTTAGGCTTCTGTGATTTTAGAACAGACAAGAAATATCTCCTCCTGTGTTGCATATCTAATACTTTCCTGATACTTCCTTTGTCTTCCAGGTTGCAGATTTTGGACTTGCACATGCTTCAAAAGATGGTTCAATATGCTTCGAACCTGTCAATACAACTGATATCAGGGGAACTCCAGGTCAGTAATTTTTCCCCAAATGCCATATAGAATCATATTTCAATCTTTATTAAGAGATCTAATAAAATGCAGCAAATTTCCAGGATACATGGATCCTGAATATGTGGTAACTCAAGAGCTCACCGAGAAAAGTGATGTGTATAGCTACGGAGTGGTCCTTCTGGAGATGGTCACGGGAAGACGAGCAATACAAGACAACAAGAATCTGGTGGAATGGTCTCAAATATTCATGGCCTCAGAATCCAGACTACCCGAATTAGTTGATCCACGTATTAAGGGCTCGTTTGACTTTGACCAACTTCAAACGATTGTCAGCACTGTGAGATGGTGCACCCAGAAGGAAGCCACAGCTAGGCCTTCAATCAAGCAAGTGCTCCGGCTTCTGTATGAAAGCTCTGACCCCATGCATAGTGGGTTTGTTGAGGCACTGGAAGAAGAAGAATTCGAAGGTAGGGGAAGAACAAATAGTAAAGGGAAAACAAGTAGAAGTGGTGATGTGATTTTCCACAGTGGAGATGCTAGATGTCTGGCGTCTTCATCAAGTACATCAAGATCACATTGTAGCAGAACTTTTCTACTTGAAACCGGCTCTCCACAATCTCCTCCCAACATGTACTCCCTCTGACGATACTTTGTCTACTATAACTCCCTTTGACACTTATGTTAAGTCTAGCTTTTTACATAATAGTAACCTTGTTAAATGAATGAATCTCCGCTGAGACATGTCCTCCCTTTGGCGCTACTGATCGTGGTGAAGTCCAAGGAGATGCCATCTTCACGTATTTATCGTTCTAACTTGAACAAGACAATCTTCCCAATCCCAGATTTGCAGCAACTGCTGGTTTGACAAATGACAGGATCCTGGTATGATAACAAGACAGAATGGATTAGCTAAGTTCTCTGTCCTTTATGTCTTGCTGTCAGCAATGGTTTATTCTTCTTTGGAATCCTCCTCCGATAAGGATTAGCTTTAGCTACCAACCGAACATACTGCGAAGGATTTCTTCAGTTTGTAACAGCATTTCCAAGGCTCAGGTTCCTGTTTTGATACGGGCATGCCACTTTTTCTTATTTGCAACTGTAACTCCCAGCTTACAATATTTCTGATTGCAGAAACACAAGTGCAATTCTCAAAGTGAAAACAAAAAACAGAGCGAATGATTAAAATAAAGCTGCAGCCTGCAGGGGAAGGGGAGACAAATGCGGGCATTGTTGCGCTTGTGCCATCATCATCACTATGCAGCTTTTGTTTTGGAAGCAGCTTCTTCGTCTAGAACTGAAAGGCGAGCTCGGACATGGGCAAGATGCTTCTCGCTAGGCTGCAGGCATTCCATAACGAGGTCATTAGCTTCCAGCTTCGCCAGCCATTGGAACAGAACAGGAAACTTCTCCTGTGTCATCAACTCTGCTTCTTTCACTTCTTGCACCACCCCATAGACATGCATGATGAAGAACGCAGCTATGTCTACGAACCCGATGCTGTCCCCTCCGAAGTAGTCCTTCCCCGCCAGCTCACCCTCCAGCATCTTGAGCTGCTGAGAGAACAGTTCAATGCCGTCCTCTTGCGGTTTGTCCTTCCCCAAGTACGCAATGGACGCCGTCTTGAAGACCTGAAAGCATTACACCGTCACATTTGCAGAACTATACGAGTAGAAAACATTCACAACGAATGGTTACCTTTTCGTCGACAAAATTGGCCCAGAAACGAGCATTGGCTCTGCCATGAGGATGTTTGGGCAGAAGTGGGTTGTGTTTCCAGGTCTCGTCGATGTATTCCATGATGACGAAGGATTCTGCAATGGCATTCCCGTTGTGGAAAAGGACAGGGACCTTCTTGTGAACTGGGTTGGACTGAAGGAGCAGCTCGCTCTTGTTCCATATGTCCTCGTCGATCAGTTGGTACTGCAGGCCTTTGAGCTTCAGGGCTAGTTCAACTCTCTGGCAGAAGGGGCTTGCCCAGAGTCTGAGCAGCTTGATTTCGTCCGCCATTTTTGAGGTTCTGCACTGGTTTTCCATTCTTGGTGGACTCCATATCTGTATATGTAGATAGATGCTGAAAGTCAATGATGAGTGGATTCCTAACACCTCGAGAACACATGTCATGGCTGACATCATTTCTATGGATATTATATATCTCGGTCGTTAGTTTATACTCTTCGATATTCATTCCTCGGTTGAACTTAGATTCCTACATCTGCTGCTGGAGGGATCCGATCCTGGCAACAAGACAAAACGGATGGGTTCAATTCTCCCCATTTTCTGTCTTCCCCGCCATGGTTAGTTTGTTCTTTTCTTTGGAATCCTCCTCCAATAAGGATTAGCTCCGACTGAGGATACTTCGAAGGAATCCAGGCAACATCATTTCCAAGTGCTTGTTTTCAACTCGCTTATCATTGCGAGATTCATGTTTTGGTCTTTGCAGCTTAGTTTCTGGTTCGATCTAATTGATCAATACTACCGGGATTGTTGCTGCTGTAGATCATATTCAGTTGATTTCATCGAGGGAATGGGTTTTGGATGATTCACATAGGTCTATCGATGTATAAAGTTGACGACTTTGAGCAGCTCTTCACTCAAATAGCACTTCAAAGAAAAAATGGCTCCAATGGGTTCTTCTGTCATTACTGTCTTCCTTCTCGCTGGCTGCCACGTCACTGTCCACGTTAGAAGATGACCGTCGGACCTACATCATCCACATGGACAATACAAACACGACCACCGTGGTTTTTTCGGAGGGTGGTCACAAATGCAGCTGCTGGTGGGAGCGTTTATCTTGCCGATCTTGTGACACCGAGAGGAATGACGGTAGTGGTGGAACCGGCGAAGATCAGCTTCAGCACGGTTGCGTTTAACTTGATCGTGGAGGTCGATTTGAGTGGAGTTGGCAGAGTGGATGATGTTGGGATTAAGAGCGATTACATTGGGAATCATGGCTACTTGAGTTGGGTTGAGCTGAATGGTACACATGTCGTCAGGAGTCCGATCGTCTTATTCATTGCTTCTCCAAGAACTTGAAGTCTTGGATAGGGGATGAAGGCAAAATAAGACCACGTAAATGGTTGCTACTGTCAATAAGAAATCGATGTTGTCATCCAAACTACATGGTTCGATTGGAATTTAGTAATTTATCTCCTTTCCTCTGTACAGACAGGTACTGTCAATAAGTAGTATATTGCCAACTTGGTGCACAATCTAATAAGCTAGAATGAAGCAATTAACTTGTAAAATGGTTCAACAGAAAGATGGCTGCATGCATCTGGAACTAGTCATTTACATGAACTTGGCTACAGAATCTCTAAGGCATGGGAAGGAAAACAAAGACAGATGAGACCTGATAGTTGAAGACAGACAAACTGATCTCTCAAGTAGTCAAAAAAATATTAGCTGAGACATCATCAAAAGGGCTTCAACATCATCATCATCATCATCATCATCATCACCAGCAAGAGTATTTGCTCTTACCACAAACTAACAGCAACAAACAACAGAAAGAAATTGCAGATGAAGGGACCAAAAACACCCATCATCATGAAATTTGCTCCGGGGAACATTCCGACTCGTAAATGCTGAAGGAGAGCTCAGTAGACTTACAACACACTCCTTGGATACTAACAGTTGCTTTATCTTACAGTATACCCAGTACAGTTTTGCCACTGAAGCTGCAAACCATCATCAGCCAAGGCAATGAAAGATTTCATCAGCTGAAATATATCAGCAGACCAGAAATCTCTCATTCGTTCAAGAAACCTGTGGAAAAGACATTGATGGTTTCGATTAGCAATTGATTGTGTCAAGGCAATCTTCAGAGGAGTGACAAATAACAAAGCAGTAGAGTGTAAGAGAATCAGTAAAGTAGAATGTGCATCCTTCTCAAATTTGTGACAACATTCGCTTTGATGAATGATTCTTGCAGTATGTTCTTAACCCTATAAAATCATTGGAGATTACGCAATTAGGGCAAAAGAAACCAACTAAACTGGATAATCAATTGCCAACTAATAGCACCTAATTCCTATCAAGTTGGCTACATGATTAACACCCTACAGTAGTTCCGTATGAAGGTATCACCACCCACTGACTATATGATCTTCCCATCAATTGCAGAATAGTAAGGGACTAAGCGAAAAATTACATGCAATTAAGTTCAGTGAAGACACATGCATGAACGAACAAAGCGGTAATATTACCCCATCACATATGCAAAATGGAAGAAAAAAAACATACACTTGAGTCTGGTCCATGTACATGCAGCAAAGTTTGCAAAAGGCCCGAGCAAGTCTTCTAGCCACTAATAGCATCCACAAACTTTCTCTTACTCGTAGGATCTTCATGCAAGACAACCACATCCCTAACTTTATCAAAAAGCTCCTCCAGCTGAGTGACACCAAAACATTGGAGGTCCAGCCGTTTCTTGTACCGTTGCTGGTATATAGCCTCAAAACTTCCCAAGAAAATACGACAAGAATAACTCACCAAAATCTCCTGTAACTCGAACTTGAATTGCTCCAAATAACCATCATCACCTTCTTCACATTGAGATACATGTGCTGTACTAGTCTGGATCACTGGACTTCTCCTCTCCTCAAGTTCTTCAACTCCCACTCCATCATCATCTGAGAACTCATCAGAGGACACAAACCCATTACCTGCCACTTCCAAACCCTCTTGAGCTCCCTTTCCTTTCCTATCCTTTTTGGAAAGACTTGAGGGATTGACAACAATCAAAGGAGGAGCACTTGGACCTGCTTTCCAATTCTGAAGATATACAAATTTCTTTTTCCCTTTCCCATCTATTGAAATCACATCATTCATTCTGCTGAAAAGATTGACAAGCTTGGATGCACCATACTCTGATACATAAAGCGGCCGTCCATACATCTTTTGGTACTCAGATGGAATACGTTGAAGAGGTAAATATCCACTAAAGAGTTCAAGCAACTTTACTAACTGTGTCTTCAAACCATGTACATCCCCAGGTTGAACCCACATTACAGAACTGTATTGATCATCATAAGGAGCAGGGAAAGCCGACGGTACTTCACTCATACCATTTGGAAGACTCTGTGTCCTCATTCCTGTAGGATAATTAGGCAGGTTCCCACTGCTGTATTCAGCTAAAGAGTGTGAAACTAAGGATAAATCTCTCGAGTTGTAGTAACTTTGAGAAACCCCTCGATAGACAATTGCCTCCTCCTCATTTTGGTACTCAGGACTCTCATTGATATGGCATCCCATGAGACGAAGGTCAACTGGCAGTCCATGAGGGGACATTAAGGACTTCGAACGGGCCATGAATCCCTCTCCACGGCACACGCTAGGCCAGTCCCAAACGAATTTACCAGCATTGCACAGTGCGGACGAGACACCAACTCCAGAAGGGATAACAAGGATAATGGTATATCCACGTTGACCTAGAATATGCAGAGCTGGAGCGAAGTCAACGTCCCCTGAGATAAGCATGATGGAGGAAGGTGGTGGATTGTCGAGTGCAAAAAGAAACATGTCGACGAGAATAGCCTTGTCAGCTGCATCTTTCCTACCATTCGGAACATCTATAAGTTTAACGCCAGTTCTCTGACATCCCTCCCTTAGTCGCCTAGGGAAGGCATTGAAATCTCCATAGGCCGAGAACGTCATAACTGCTCCTTTAATCACAGGGTGCACCTGCAATGCCATCCTGATATTCCCACCTACATCTTCAGGACGGACGTCGCTTGGAACCGGGCAGTTCTCGATGTCCCAAAGGATAGCCACCGGACCATCTGATGCCGTTCGGTTTTGGTGGATCATGCTGGGTTGAACCATGTGTTGGTTCGAATTAGACACTTGCATTCCCCCAAGCTCGGAGGAAACAGCAGGAATCATCGAAGATGATGAACTTATATCAGCCATCAGTTTAATTCTATGTATCCCAAAGAAAAGCCCCCTGCAGTGGATAGCTAGTAAGAACCTGCTGAGACTAACTCAAAAATCTAAAATTTCAGAGACAGTCCTGCATATTGACTACCACACACACATCCTAACCAAGAATTACTACTAACCAGTGCTATTCAACAGCAATCAAACCAAATCAGTAAACATCTCATGCCCTTAAGCTCACAGCAATCTCCATTTCGCGAAAACCCCAAAACCAACAAAACAGCACCAGTGTTCAATTTCTAGAACCACCACCCAACTACTCAAAACAGTTTACAAACAGATAAAACTGGGCAGAGCATTCTCAATTAACCATCCACCAACTGAGAACTTAATAAATCAAGATCATTTGAATGAGGAGCGAGGGAAGTTGAATTGTATCCGGCCATACCTTTTGTGTTTTCAACAGAAACAGATACTCGCAGATCCTGAAGACCACCGATTCAGGGGAATCGCAGAACAAAGGAAGGGACGCAGAAAAGCGAGAGCGACTTTGGAATCAAGAAGGAGAAGAAGAAAGTTCGATTATTTTTTATACCGGGTGCGATGGAAGTTTTCCAGATGACCGGAAGACTGAAACTTTCAGCTACGGCGAAGTGAAAGAAAGAAACAGGAGAAGAAATCAGAAGGAGTAGCTATGGCGGTGAAGATGGGTTGCTATTATCTTATTTAGCCGTTCTGATGTTCTTCATCGTCATCAAGAAAGAGAAGGGCAATGCGATAGCTGCTGCTGCTGCCTGCCAGCCAGCGAACGCATTTAGTTGGAAAAGGGTGGGCTTTTGCTTCAGCCCAAAGAAAGAAACGCGTTTCTTCCTGGACCTCAAGGCTCAAACCGACCTATTATCTCTTTGGTTCTCCTCTCTTTCTTCTTGCTTCTTTTTTTGCTTGGAATGCTTCCTCAAAACAGACTCTTCAATCCCGAAAGTAACTTCTTTCCCAAGTAAACAGAGAGATGAGATCTTCGACGATAGAGTTTGAGGGGAACTCAAATCTAAACCAATGGTTATCTATTAAAGCGTTATAGATACAGATGAAAAGAGGATGCACAATGTATTTACATGTCATAAGCTTACAACCACATCAAAGGTGCAGCTAAACCCGTTTGCACCTATTTGCAGAAGCCAGCAATGAGCATATATGTTTCATCAGCTCTATATATGTATGTTCTAGTAGACAACTCAAAGCCAAAACAAAATTCCACTACACACCTGATAGCAAGAACCAGAGAAAAACAAACAAACAACAAGAGGAAATCGTCGATCCGAGTTTCTATTATGCTCTACGGAGAAGAGAAAAGAAAGAGGCATTCATGGCTTCAGAACCCTCTCGATTGCAGCAGCATAGAATTCCTTGGGCATGGTACCAACCACAGTCTCTTGCTTTTCTCCATTCTTGAAAAGCAGAACCACAGGCACAGCCTTGATGTCATAGTCCTCAGCAATGTCCGAATTGAGCACGAAGCACTGGATTCGTCCTTCGTACTCCCCAGCAAGCTCATCGATCACACGGTGGACCATTTTACAGGGGCCACACCAACTTGCATGGAACTCAACTAAGACCGGGGTATCGCTTTTCAGAATTGACTTCTCCCAGGAGTCCTTGGTAACAACTGCTGCTGCTGAACATACCGAAAAACATAGTGGTTAAAGAAGCCTGTCTGATTACTAGACTAGATGTTCACTGAAATCTGTGTATGACAACTTTGATTAAATCAACCACAAAGCAAGCAACAGAAAACAACGCTAAAGATAATCAAATCCACAAGATTCTTCTCAGGAAACTCTCATCTAAGGAAGACACCATCTGCTTGAGATTTTGGCTCATCTAATACTATTCTGGCCATACAGATAGATCCCTTAAGGTACAAGCATATTCCAAATGTTCCTACCAGGCCAGTAACTAAGCATTCAAACTAATCATTGTCATTGAAAACATCTAGTAACCATCCATTGCTTCAGTGGATTGCTCAACTTCCTTGGAAGAGGAGCTTTCTTTTGTATAAGGCTGGCATAGTTCAAATAAAGCATGAAAAGAAGCATTTATAAGTATCAACAAGCACCAGATTCGGCAAAGGGACAGCGTGAGAGCTCCTCGAATGCACAATCTAAACATTCAATACTCTCAACTTCATACATGAAATGAAAATCAAGCATTCTGAGATTACCATTCAATACTCTCAACTTCATACATGAAATGAAAATCAAGCATTCTCCAATCTCAGACGGAATGCAGGAGGACTCTGAACTTAGAACTATCATCGTATTTGGAGAGGCGAATTATGAATTAAGGTTACAGGAAGATACAAGAGATGTGTTTCCGAACTGCTCTAATCAGAGCCAAAAGAAAAGCAGGTACAGATAACAAAAACCAATGCTAACATTCTCGTTCCCTTTCCTTCATTGAAATGAAAGCTCAGCCATTGAATTGCTTTCTGCCAGTCTCTGAATCAAGTGCCTAACGATAATGTGCGAAAGCTCTATTGGCCTCTGCCATTCTATGGGTCTCCTCTCTCTTCCTTACAGCATCACCGCTTCCTTTGGCAGCATCAATCAACTCATTACTTAGTTTGAACACCATGTCCCGACCTTGCCTCTTTCGAGCTGCCACCAACAACCAACGAATCGCAAGCGCTTTGCCCTGAGTGGTATCCACCTCAACAGGAACCTGTTGAGTGGCACCCCCAACTCGCCTAGATTTCACAGCGACATCAGGAGTAACTCCTTGCACTGCTTCCCTCAACACCGCCAACGGATTCTGCCCCGTCTTTTCCTGAACCCTTCTCAAGGCTCGGTACATAATGAAATAAGCCAGTGACTTCTTCCCATTTTTCAGGACTCGGTTAACGAACATGCTAACTAATCGGTTACGGTAAACTGGGTCGGGTTTTGCCGTTTTCTCTTTCTTGCCACCTTAACAATTGACAAATTTTCCGTCAGAGAAGCAAGCGCACAATTCAATCAAACTCTTAAACCACTCCAACGGGAAGACTCCTACCAATGAAATCAGAAATGCTCGAGAAACAGAAACAGATTTTGGTGTGAACCCTAAGCAGGAATTGGAAGGACAGCAATGGCACGTAATCCAAATTGAAATGCATCAGATGTGACGGAATGGGAAACGTTTCAAGGGTTGTCTAGCTAAGATGAGGAAGTTTCTACCTTTGGATCCGCGCATGCAAACGACCTTGAGGGGAGAAGACGACGGGGAGCTGGTTAAACGGAGACCTAATCCTCTGACGTCGGCGGAGAGGTTGAAAGGGAAGGAGATGGCGGAGCTGGAACTGAGCTCCGCCGGACGGAGTGTGGCAGAAGCCGAGAGAGGAGGAGGGCGGAAGCACGCGGAAGTAGAAGCCGCCATTTTCAGAGCGCCGGGGAGAGTTCTTTCGGGGTGAGGAAATGGAGAAGACGCGAGTCAGGAAGTCGGAGAAGAAGATCAGATAAGGAGAGAGAATAAGAGAGCTGCCAAATTAAAAACAAAAACATAAAATAAATTCTTTTTTTTATTATTTTTACTGTTTAAAGTGGTAATATTATTTTTACTGTTTAAAGTGGTAAAAAAATTAAAAAAGAACACACCCGGTGGGACTCGAACCCACAATCGTTTGATTAGAAGTCAAACGCCTTATCCATTAGGCCACGGGTGCTTTTTATTCAATTACTGATGTCTATAGTTAATATTCAAAACTGGGTTTGACGATTCGTAGTAAATTACACCAAAGCCAGACTTTCAAACTTGTACAAAAGTGGGAAATGTACACAAAGAAATCTAACCACAATGATCATTTATCAAGGCTTTTCAAGGTAATGGCTAGTTCCAATTCCCTAGTGATTGTAGGTTTAACCAGAGAATCTGTAAAGTGTTCACTCTACATTCTACTACTACATCCTGAACACACCAAACTTGGTATCTTCAGAGGGGCGGTTCGTGGAAGCTGATATACAGAGCCCTATAACTTTCCTCGTATCGGCTGGATCGATGATGCCGTCGTCCCAAAGCCTTGCTGTGGAATAGTACGAGCTGCCTTCTCGTTCGTATGCCTCCGCCACTTTCCCCTTGAAGCTTTCCTCCTCTTCTGGTGTCCACTGCCTCGTCAAAATTTACTCATCATGAGGTGTGACTGACGCAAATGCTTAATATGCAACCGTATGGAGGGAAGAAACAGTGTTGCCGTTTTTTTACCTGGATTCCCTGTTTTTTCTTGTTCGCCTTTTCGATTTGAGACAACACCCCAGCAGCCTAGTAGAAAAGAGCAATATAATGTGAGAAGAATAAGAGCTTATCGATCAAGTCGTCAGCTTCCGAAGAAATGACAAAGACTAAGTAAGCACCTGAACACCACCCATGACTGAGATTCTTGCATTTGGCCACATGAAGAGGAAGTCTGGACTATACGCACGACCGCACATTGCATAGTTCCCAGCACCGAAGCTCCCACCAACCATGATGGTTACCTTTGGCACCTATGTTGAGAAAACACTTGTCCGAATCAGTGGAGAGTGTTTTTGGAATGATGTCATGTTTCTTTCAGGTTTGTTCATGAACTATGAGACCGTGGTCTGATAAACTTCGTCTTCAGTTGCCGAAACCATACACCATGAACATGCTACTTAGAGGTGGCAAACAACAGCAAACAAGAGGAAGAAGTGCTAGCAACCTTTGCACAAGAAACAGCCATAACCATCTTCGCCCCAGATTTTGCTATACCATTTGCCTCGGACCTTGAGCCAACCTACAAAAGGATCATATGCCATTACACTAACATTTTTTTTTTATCTCCATGCTCGAAAAGAAGGCACAAGTTGATAGAAATTAACTTACCATGAATCCAGTGATGTTCTGCAGGAAAACTAGAGGAATGTTACGCTGACAACAGAGTTCAATGAAATGGGCCCCCTTTAGAGCAGAATCATTAAACAATATTCCATTATTTCCAATGATTCCCACAGGTTGTCCAAATATTTTAGCAAAGCCTGTCACCAGGGTCTGCAGAGATGCAACTGAGATTCGTTTACTCACGAGATCGAAGTATCAAACAAAGTGAGGTATCGAAGGGTCCTGAGAGGTGCTCACTGTTCCATATAATTTCTTGAACTCGTCGAACTCACTTCCATCGACAATTCGAGCAATAACTGATCGAATATCAAAGGCCTGCTTGTGGTCAGCTGGGGCAATAATTCTCAGTTCCTTTATGTCATATAAGGGCTCTTTGTACTCTGGACTTAACTTATGTCCTTCACTTTTCACTCCACCTTTTCCAGCCATATGCAAGTTCTTGATAATGTTCCTTCCAAGAGCAAGTGCATGCAATTCATCTACAATTTCAGAAATAAATTCATAGACACATCATCGGATCTGGATTGCGATTATTCTGGTGAATTAGAAAGCATGGGCAAGCCCAAATTTCTTCTTACCTTGAGCAAAATAGTCTGAAACTCCTGATGTTTTGCAATGTAAAGAAGCACCACCCAAGTCTTCAGCAGATACTTCCTCTCCTGTAGCAGCCTAACATGGAATTCTCCTTCAATTCAACTTACCAAAAGGTAATATATAAAATGGATCACCATTATGCATGCAGCGACTTCAATCCAGAAAACAAGAACTTGCGACTGACCTTGACAAGCGGTGGTCCAGCCAAAAATATGGTTGCATTTCCCTTGACCATCACACTTTCATCAGCCATGGCAGGAATGTAGGCACCACCAGCAGTACAGGAACCCAATACCAGTGCAATCTGCGGTATGCCTTCAGCAGACATTACAGCTTGATTGAAGAAAATTCTACCGAAGTTATCCTTGTCGGGGAACACCTCAGCCTGCTTTGGAAGAAAAGCACCACCACTGTCGACGAGATAGATGCAAGGCAGTCTGCATCGAGCAGCAATCTCTTGCGCCCTGAGATGTTTCTTCACTGTAATGGGATAGTAAGTTCCCCCCTTGACGGTAGGATCATTCGCTACAAACATACAAAGTCGCCCATGAACAGGACCTATTCCTGTAACTACTCCACCAGAAGGCAGGGATTCATCGTATAATTCATGGCCTGCAAGCTTAGGGCGCAAGAGAAATGAGACATTTCAGTTCACAACATTACCAATATTATCTGAATTTAGCCGTAGCCTATACGATCCAAATCATTTACAACTAAATTAAGGTTTTAAGAACTCCCAGTACCTGAGAAAGCTCAAGAAATGAAGAACCTGGATCAAGCAGCCGGTCAATTCTTTCTCTTGGCAGCAGCTTATTCCTGCTTCTGTTCCTCTTGACCGCCGCTTCTCCTCCTCCAGCCAGAACCTCCAAAATGACAAAGGCAAATAAAAAAACCCCAGCCCATATTAGAATTCTGAATTTCTCACACTACCCACATCACAAAATTTCCCATTTCTTACCTGGTTTATGTTGGATTGGAGCTGGGAAATGAGAGACTCCATGGCCATAGAGTTGTGCGAGAACGCCTCGGAAGTCCTGTCCACTCCATCGGGAAGAACCCCGAAGCTGAAAGCTCTTGTGCAGCGCAGAAGATGAGGCGAGCTCGACTTGGATGCCAAAGTAGCCGAAGCAATTCTTCTCGCCAAACTCCTCAACATTTCTCCCCCTTCTCAAGGTGTCTTGCCGTTTCTAATTCACTCTGTACTTCGTTTTCTTCCGCCTTCCCGATCATATAAACGCCTTTTCTCCGTTTCTTCTTTTTGTTCATCAATCTTCAGTGATCGGATTCACTGTGTTATATATTGCCTATGAATTTACTAATTAGCTGAAAGTAAATACTAAATACATTTTTATTTTATTTTATAAGTTCTGGATAAGAGGGACGAGTCCAAAAATTGTCGCGCGCCTTTCCACTTGCTAGAGCCTAGAGACTGGGAAGCAAAGCAATTCGAAAATCCATCAATGGCGTCGTTGTTCTGTACGCTGTCTCCTGCAAAGCTTCCTTCTCTCAAGCTCTACTATGCAATGGCTGTCACTCCGCCTTTTTCTTCTTCTCTGATTGTCGCCTCCGTGATTGAATCTCCTCCCCGGCGAAAATCAGTGGCTCCGAGAAACCTCTCTTCCGAACCCATCTCCCAAACGACTTCCCCTCCAATACCCACGACTCCAACGACCAGTAATGCCTTCTCCGGCCGCCAATCTCCGTCGTCGCTCCCAAAAAGATGTCTCCTTTTTTTACTTCCAGCTCAATGACGGAACAGTGTTCTACCCAAAAAAAGAAATTGATGGATCAGTGTTGGGTCTGATTGAGGGGGAACTGAGGTAGTAATTTTTTTTTCTTTTTCGCAGGTCCTTGTTCCCATTGGATTTGGCACTGAGGAAATGGAAGCTGTGATACTAATCGATGTTTTGCGGCGAGCTGGTGCAGAGGTCACTGTGGCCTCAGTGGAACCACAGCTCGAGATTGAGGCTGCAGCTGGTACTAAGCTAGTTGCTGACACCTCCATTTCTGCTTGTTCTGCTGAACTCTTTGATCTCGTGGCTTTGCCGGTTAGTCCGTCGTTTTACTTCCAATGATGAACCTAGTTGTTTGCTTTCAAATTTTTGTTCAGCTTGGTGAATCAGGAACCACAGGCATAGTTTGAATTAGTATTACTCTAGAACTATAGTTGCAGCAGATGGGTTGTTCTAATCTAGTATGTGGTTAGGGAGGAATGCCGGGCTCGGCTAGGTTGAGAGATTGTGAGGTTCTCCGCGGAATTACGAGCAAGCAGGCTGATGAGGAGAGGTTATATGGTGCCATATGTGCAGCCCCAGCTGTCACACTTCTTCCATGGGGCCTCCTCAGAAGTCAGAAGGAAGCAGGTTTGCTTACTACATATGGATGCAGGATGAACTGTGCTTGTGTGCTTCAATTGCTAATTGTTCGATAGCGTGCAATGCAAGATCACATGCCACCCTGCATTCATGGACAAGCTCCCCACCTTCTGGGCTGTTAAATCAGATCTTCAAGTTTCAGGACAAGTTACTCAGGCCGCGGGCCTGGAACATCTTTTCAGTTTGCTTTAGCCTTTGTGGATCAGCTGTTTGGGGAGACGGTTGCCAAGGAAGTTGCAGAGATATTGGTAATGACTAAGGATTGTGCATCTGGTAATTTATTTCCCCAAGTTTATGAAGAAACAGGCTGGCAAGTTGAATGAAATTTTGTGTTGCTGTTGTGATAGTTGATGGATACAAGTGATGATGACTGCAGAAAGGAAGAGTTGAACCCAACAGAGTGGTCTTTTGAACATAATGCTCGTGTAATTTCTTGCTCCCCCATTTTGCTTCTCTGAAAAAAAAAATAACAAATATCTTCTAACCTCTGACTGTCATTACAATCATCACTGGACAGGTGCTACTTCCAGTTGCGAATGGCTCGGAAGAAATTGAAGTATTTACCATTGTCGAAATTTTGAGGCGAGCCAATGTGGAAGTTGTGGTTGCTTCAGTTGAAAAATCTGTGCAAATTTTGGGATCACAAGGCACAAGAATTGTTGCAGACAAGTTCATAGGCGATGCTGCTAGATTTGACTATGATCTTATAGTTCTCCCGGTAAGCATGTTGCAATGATTTTATCCGGTACTAGGGACCAAGGACTAGACTGGATACAAATCTTCAGAAGTTTCCTTTCTACAAACTTTCAGGGTGGAAGGGCTGGATCAGATCGCCTTCAGAAATCTAAGGTTCTAAAAAAGCTTCTGCAGGAGCAAGGTGAAGGAGGAAGAATATACGGAGCAGTTTGCTCCTCCCTATCCGTTCTCCGTGAACTCTGTCGGCTACAGGATAAGAGAGCCACTGCACATCCTAGAGTTGGTAACAAGCTAATGAACGATATGGTGAATGATGCAAACATTGTCATTGATGGAAGGCTGATTACCTGCTATGGTCTTTCTACTGTAATGGATTTCGCATTAGCTATAGTAACCAAGTTTTTTGGTCATGGTAGAGCTAGAAGTGTTGCTGAAGGGCTTGTGTTGGAGTACCCTAGAACTTGGAGAGAGAGAGAGAGAGAGAGAGAGAGAGAGAGAGAGAGAGAGATTATGCTAGGCACGTTAAAGTTCAAACCATAATCTCATAATCTCTTGTTACCATATGTGAATAATCCTCCTGATGAAAGGAAACAAACATCTACTCTACAAGTCCAGAACAAAGAATATACAGACAACAGTGGCCGTAGCTTTGCATTGTTTTCTAGTTAATAATATGAATTCACTGTTCCTAAACTCCACGAGGACAGCATAAGCGCCAATGTATATAATTTACAGGGCAAAACTCACATCATTTGCTATCTACAAACGACGATAGCTATCTACCCTATATAGTTTCAGTAAGTATTCATATAAGCATATGCCCAAAGGTCGAAACTTCTCTCAAAGGTAGTACTTCTTCGAAAATGTGCTGATCCTACCAAGGCCCTGTCAGTGTTCTCCTCAAGCACAGCCTTTTCCCTCCCCATGGATGATTCATTTTCTCCAAGAACTGCAATCACAGAAAAAGGGTAAATCGCCAATGACATTCAAGCACCCGTTCTGTTAAACAAACGTATCTAAGAAGCTGCCCATCTATACTAATCTCAAGGAAAGGGGGAAGAAGAGCTTCTTACCTGATTCTTCTGCATCTGCATTATTTCAGCCTGCAAAAAACCAGCAGTGTTTTGATCAAGATAAGATGTCACAAAGGCTGAATCCACCAACATCTGACTGTTGCAATTTAAGAATGAACAGTACCTGTTTTATTTCCAGCTCTTCATTCAACTCCTTGAGTTTCGCCACCTCAGCTTCCAGTTCCAGCGTATATGCCTATTGAAATACAATGCAACATCAGGCATATGTACATAGTACGCTAAAGGCTTGAGCATTCTACCAAACTTCTAAAAATCTACAGGGTCACTACTCACTAGTCACTATAACTAAGCACACATTGGAAACATATACACTGTCACAATTTAAGCACACACAAAGCTGAAAGATGGCGCTCACCTGCTTACGAGCTCGAGATCGTGCAGCAGACTCCCTATTCTTAATCATCCTTCTCTGCCTTCTCTCAACAACCTTCTCCAAAGCCGAATTAGGTTTTCTGCCCCGAGTAAACACATACGGAACTGGCGATACAGATGAAGTATCGGCATCACTCCTCGAAAGCACATCAGGTGACATCTGGCTAGCAGGAGAAGCTGTTGCAACTGTAACACCTCCCGTTCCTAAACCACCCACACGACCTAAATTGCTATTGCTTATACCCGTCGACAAATCTCCCAAGCCAACAACACCAGAGCTCCTCACCCCTTGACTCGGCAGCTGCGCACCACCATTCACCATGTGCATAGGAGATGCAAATGCCACTGTAGCTGGCTTGGGAAAGAGCGGGGCTGGCTGCTGGTGCTGACTCCTAGGTTGATGATGCAACTGCTGAGCTGGCTGCTGGTGCTGACTCCTAGATTGATGATGCAACTGCTGAGGTGGCTGCTGCTGATGATGCTGGGTGGGTCTGATTCCTCCAACATTCATCCCCAAGCTCGAGGCTTGATTTGGTTGTTGTTGGAATCCAAGTGCCAAACTGCTGCTGTTGTTATTATTCAGTTGACCTAGTTCACCAAAGAATCCCACATTGTTATTCTGCCTTCCCATTTGCTTGTTGTTATCCTCTCTAACTACACCTGCTCTCGACAGGAACTCCTCCAGTGTCATCTCTCCTAGTGTTCGTTGCCTCTGAGGTGGATCAGGTGGAGCCACGTCCTTGGCAGCTATTGTATTCTCTTTAATGAAATCTTTCCAAACTTCATCCACAGTTTTCTGGCTTAGTGTCCTAGGCAAAGTCAAGGAACCTTGTCTCTGAAGATTCCCACCTGAAGCACCAGCTTGCATGCCAGGTTCTTCAGCCGAGCATATGTTCTTGAGCAACTCGTCCATGTTCATTGAGCCGAAATCTTTCCCTAAGCTTCCACCCCAGGTGTTCTGAAGCTCATCGAAGGTGAGAGAATATACTGAAGACTGACGGACCAACGGAGAGCTGACAACCGGCGGTGGCTTGGCTCCTGTACCGTCACCAAATGAGGTGTTACCGAAGTTACTGAAGTTGAAATGCGATCCCATTTCCCGAAAAGGCCTTCAAGTTTGTCCAATGAAGTGCGTAGAATGGAATCACCCCGTCCTTTTTAGCTAGTGTCCCTTCAAATTGCAATAACTACAATCAAACATATGGCAAATCAAGGCGTCAACAATCCATACAATATTTTAGTAAACCAAACTGAAACTATGAAATTGAACCTTTGAAAAGTCCCTAAACTGAAAAGCTTGACAGATGTGAACTACTGATTGAACTCACAATCCACAACAAGATGAATCAAAATCCAAGCTTTTCTAGAAATCCTTCACATCTCACAAGATAGTAAGATACACAAGCAATCCTCAACTTGCAAGTATCACCGTAGAGAGAAGAAAAAAAGATAAAAGAAAGACAAATCAGAAAGCAAGGAGGGAGGGAGGGAAAATATCTAGTCCTACCACTACCCAGGAACCCTGTTTCAGCAGTAGATCAAAGGCCATTGTTTGTCTTGTTGTTTGGACCTCGTCCAAGCATACGGTCGAAAACAGAGAGCACAAATTAGATCAGAGAGACTCAAGTAACGACCTTTTTCTATGCTAAACCTTCCTTATGTCTCAGATCCGATAGAAAGAGGGAAGAAGAGCAGAATCAAGATGAACTTATCCAACACCAACCCATTTCCCGGTAGCACAGAAAACTCCCAAAATCTCAAACACCCGCTCAAAATAACCGGCCAACATCTGAGAATTCATGCCAGAATCCGTCTCCAGACCCATTTACCCCAACTGGATTCCAATATTCACCAATCCAAAACAGAAAAAAGTCGGAAACTTTTTCACAACCCTAAAAGGGGAAACGAAAAGTTTCGACTCGGATCAAACCCTAAGCTCCAAATCTCCCCCCAGAAATCGGGAAAATCAACCCCAATCGAGAAGCAGCAGGCAAGACCACCATCCCAGACCAAAAACAAAAAAAAAACCCAGAATCGTAATTATTCCTATTAAAAATCTAATAAAAGAAGATGTAAATCACTCAATAATCCATTTCCTAAAATAAAATCTTAAATACAGAGAGGACGAAGGAGGTAAACTGGAGCGAAAAGGAGGGAAAAACCAAAGGGAAAAGGTAGAAAAAAAACACTGCTTACCTTATTAATAAATACGGGGGAAATTAATTGGGATATTTTGGTGGCGTGGAAATCGGAATTGAGACGGGAGAGAAAGGTTAGAGAGAGAGAGAGAGGTGTCGTTTCTGGTTCAGCAGAGCTCTGATCTCCGGCGGGAGGAAGGAGAAGGCGACAAGTGGAAGTTGGCAATCGGAGTCGTCGTCCTTTTAAAGCTCCTCCGTCCCTCCCAATTTGGTAATCTCCATTTTCCTAATTTTATTTTCGTTTTTTTGCAGATTATCTCCTTTGGGTATTATTAATTATTTTATTTGGTTCAATCGAGAAATTTGAGACCACGCGGATCGCGCAACGTGGGCCAATCGGATTAGAGTGTTGGGAACTGTGATTTGATGGTGCAGCCAATGAGAGGAGGTCAAGTGGGAGTGATCTCAGCCGTTGGTTTTCCTCCCCCTTTTTCTCGTTTTCAATATTTGATCCAATAATATGAAAAGTGAAAACAGTTATCTTTTTGGGATTTTTTTTCCAGCAATGTTGTATCGTATGGACGACAAGTGTATCTAACCACCCAGCGTTCACGAGCTAGTACGGCATGGTATGATATGGTTAGAGCATGGTATGAGCAATGGATACGAAATGCATGGTTCGTCAGACACATAGTAGGAAAACTTTATATGTCGTGTTGGTAGTGGTGAACAAAATAAATCGAATAGTGTACAACGTTTTTACATCATATGGTATCATAATCTTTCTTTCACCCTTTTTTTTATAATGGCAATGAGGAATTGAACTCTTGACTTTATATAGTCGTGCTATTTCTCTTATTTCAAATAGATCGTACGTAAAACCCTAATGTTCGAACTATATAGGGCTTAGTAATGCATAAATACTAGCCGAAAAAACTACAAAGCCATATTTCAGCCATTGATATAACTAGTAGTCGAACTCATGGCAATATATGGTAGTCAAAAAAATAACTCTCTTTAAGGCAAGCAGGTTGAGATAAGAAACGATGGAGTTACATCACGTCAAAATATCACGAACCAAGAAGAAGAAGAAAAAGGGAACATAACATGATACGCTTCTTTTTGAATCTAGGGTTCCATGCGAGTGAGGCAATGTCTTATTGATTGTATCGAAAATATTGGATACCGAATTCAAAAACGTTAGTTGTTATGTTCTTTCTGTGCCAATCACAACTCAAATGAATAGTGTAACTAATCACCTATTAATTAATTATTGAAATTGTTTTCTCTATTGCCTCAAAAATAATATTAGAGAAAAAATTATATTAAAAAAATAATAGAGAAAAAGATTTGCCTACGATTCTACCAACTGACCAAAACATCTTTCTTTTAACGTTATGCTGCTTTGCTTTGACCAAAACCGACATGCCAACGACTCTCCAATTATTTCGGCCGTTTAGACTTTCATCATGCCTCTGGTTCATGGGCCAGGGTTTTTGTGCCAGTGTGGCCAGATTTGGGCTTCCGTGGACTGACTTGGTGTGTGGGCTTTCTCTATTCCGAGATGACGGACGTGGGCTTTTGAGTCTGTCCAATTCCGCTCTTTCCTTTCATCTGCTTCGAGACCTTTAATTAACAGTTCCTAAAAACAAAAACTATGATCACCCTCGGAAAATATCATCGTACGGTTCGACCGCTTGGTTTGGTGTAGTAAATTAGTGTACTAGTCTTTTTTCATCTCCATGATAATACATGAGATGAGATGTACTTATAAATTATCATCATTTGGTTTTGTACTCAAATATGAGAGTTAAAATGTTCAGATTTAAGAGGCAAGGTTGTCAATCCGCGGGTCGACCCACTTTGGTCCTGACCTGGTGAGAAAAACAGGTCACACGCACCTGTCAGGTTGACCGCTACAAGGTACCGGGTTGGAGGTCAATTGTGTCATTTTTTTTTCTTTGGTTTGCGAAATGCGCCTATTTTCCGATTTTTTTTTCCGTCTAAAATCTTTGGAATTCTAAGTTAAACATTTGAATATTGATGTTATAATCTGATATCTTAAGAACTCAAAGAACCCAAGTCAAAACTTTTCCGCTTTTGGGAAACGACGAACGGTCATGTCTCATCAAATCTCCCTAATAAGAAATTTTTGGTTGGGTATCTGATTAATTAGCATTGCGTGTACTTGTGATATGAACACAGTCTCCAAACTTCCAAATTTGATCTCGACGCGGGGGTTTTGAAATTTTGATTATCCATCATTGGCGACACATTGTGAATGTTCACATTTTTTTCTCTTGATGATTTGATTGATTACCATATGCCTCTACAATTTTTATTTTCCGTGCTGAGTTATTTCCCGCTGTAATGTATGAAAACTCTAGAAACGTTGAACGTACTATTGTTTAAAAGCCTGACCAATTGAACCAATTAAACTGTAATGAAGTTAAAATCAAAATCGGATCTAGAGCGCGATTCAAATGAGTTTTTAATTAGTATTGTAAGTGGCGTTGATTGGTTGAATATGTCTTCAAAGAGTTACATATAAAAAAAAAAGAATTAAATGAATCTGAGATATCGTCAACCGAAATCAGACCGGATCATTATGTCCATCGATTTTCCACACTTCAAATCGATGACTAGATCTCGCCGAAAATACTACCGAGTAAATCTCGGATAGGAGACTATAACGATGACTTCACAAAGCTAAAAAAATCATTCAACACTTGATTAATCGATACGATCGGAAGCCAAATCATGCGAACTCTCCGTCTCCGCTAGCAATAAAAGGTTGAAATTATTATTATTATTATTTTTTTTTGGTAGAAAGGTTTAATAATTACTTATTTACTTACCTAACACCTTTTTTTGAAAAGTCATTAATTAATGACCAAAAAATAGTTTGACCACAGTGTGGAATTTGTTGGACTTGTTTGGGCCCAGGAGTGGAAGAAAAAAAAAACGAATATTCATTCCCCCCGTAACGCCGCCAGAATCTTCCGCTCTATATATACAACCAGCAAAAACCCCTCGCAGCCCTACACAAAAAAAACCCAGCGCCGCCCGCCTGGGTCTCAACAATCGCACGCGCCGCCTCCGCAGCGGAGTGTAAATGGCAGAATTCAAAATCACGCAGCCGGAACTTGCGGCGCCGTCGCAGCGGCAGCGGCAGCGGCCGCACCTGCGGAAGATCCTGTCCTGGTCGCCGGAGACGGGGAGGGAGGAGGTGTGGCGGCGGCGCAAGGGGAACCACCACAACCAGAAATCGGCGAGCCGCAGCCGCCTCGGCCGGAGCGTGACGGACGAGGACCTCGACGAGCTGAAGGCGTGCATCGAGCTCGGGTTCGGGTTCGAGCCGGACTCGCCGGATCTGGACCCCAGGCTCTCCGACGCGCTCCCGGCGCTGGGATTCTACTGCGCCGTCAACAGGCAGTACAACGAGATCATCCTGTCGCGGACTTCCTCCGACTCGTCCATCTCGTCGGACGGCAGCGCCTCCGTCGTCGATCCTGGTGAGTATTATCCTGCCCGCAGTTTTTTTTTTATTCGATTCGAATTTTAGGGTTTTGTTTTTGGAGAATCCTTACTCACTCGCGTGGACGTCAAATAAATAAAGTCGCGCAGTCAAACTAACTCAATGTTATTCGTGTGGCACATGGCGGACGATATAGTTGTGCTACTCGGGAATTGAACTTGGGACCTTGAGTTGCAGACACGTTCGAATTATTTTTTAAAATTGAATTGAGATTCGGTGAATTTAGATTAAGTTTTTTTTTTTTGGATCGGATCAGGTGAGGATGCAGAGACGGTGAAGACGAGATTGAGGCAATGGGCTCGGGTCGTTGCGTGTTCAGTGAAGCAATTAGCGGGGAGCCAACAAATTAACAAAACTGATTGAGAAATTTGTTGTATAATTTTCTCTCTTCATCGTTTCCTTTTCTCGTAGTTTTTCTGTTTGGATTGCAACCGATGATTGATTGATCGTGTAGCTAAATAACCCAAAAAAATAGTTGGGATGGTTAATCAGGAGGCATTAGGGTTTAATTTCTGACCAATCTGATTGCTAATATACAGCGATTGGAGGTTTAAAATGTCTAATTATATGCTGGTTTGCCCTTAATTTCAGATTAATGTCAAAAGAGTTTCAATGTTTGATTGCGTACATGAGATCATCTTCATTCTCGAATCCCCTTCACGACAACGGTTTGAGTGAGTAGGTTTTGTTATGTACCATCGTTGAACCACGATTTTAAAAGCGTAACTATCGTCATAACAAAACTATCCGATCGAGGATGGAATACGATCTACCAAAACTAACCTGTAAATGTGGTCCAATGAAAACTCACGCGCACCATATACACGAACAATCATTTATGAAGTTCGTGATACCATCTAATTTTTTTTAGAATGCCAGTGTTAATTGAAGCTTTTTTATTGCATTGTTTGCAAAACCGAGAGAAAATAAGAAAGGTTTAAGAGATAATTAAATGCGTGAGAGATATGAATGAATACATCGTTGAAGTGAGTGAGTGCAGAACATAGTTATAACTTATAACACATATTTAGGTAGGTTCATGGTCAATGAAACTCAAACACAACCATGAAGGACAAACAACTAATCAATGGAACTTCTAAAAAAAAAAACTAATCAACAGAATGCTGCCCATATCAAATATCTTATAATCCAACTATAAAATGAGAAATTCACGAAAGATTAAGAGCGCAAGAATTTGTAGTTTAACATTGTACCCATCAACGATTTCCTTACACTTATCAGTGTGAAAGTCATCTATGAATTGATCGCTCCGATATCCACCAAATTGTTTTTCTCACTTTGACTAAATAACGATATGCTTCTTCCAAATCATGTGCCTAAGTGAAATAACCTAATTCCCATTCCAAAAGAATTTTTTTTCTTTTCAGTTGAAAAGGGAACACAAACTTGGAAGAAGAACAAAATTAACTAGCAAAACCAAAACCCTAGAACACGATCGAAAAAAATGGGCAAAAAAAAAAAAAGGTTTTACACCAATTAGATATCAAACTACAAGTGCCAAGAGCGACATGGACGTAGCTCCAAGGAAAAGCGAAGCATATGCTCCCACTTGCACCCTGAAATCCGACTCCAACATCTTCCCGCCCATGAAATCCGTCGCCAGCAAATCCACCAGAGCCATGTAAATCAGAATCCCGGCCGACGCCGAGGTGAACATTCCCTCGACGATCAGGGAAGCCGAGCTGTTCTCCTTGTAGTGATTTGAGATCCCCATCCCGATCCCGATTCCGATTGGTGCTGTGATTGAGAAGAATACCGCCATTAACACCCTTGATTTCATCTTCAGCTTCGCCTGGTTTAAGCAAGTTTAAGAGAATTTTGGAAGTTAGGATATGTTCGAGAAAAGGGATTGTTTCTTGTGGATTCAGTCATGTTTTTGTCTTAATTTTTAGTTTGTCTCTAAACTAGACTCATTATATTGGGTATTCAAAAGAAAATAAATACTCGATTATACTATGATTTTCACCTTTTCTTGGCATCGGGAAAAAAAAGTGACAACACAATCATTGGAGGTGTGAGTTGGGTTGAAATCGACTAGTGAGATAGTTAATATTTTTTTTTTGTGTGTGTACAACATCTGAATTTAATTAATTCATACGTGTCCAATTCAAGTAAGTTGACATAAAATTTGATATAATCCAAACTCAATCGAAAACCATTTAAACGGTATGTGATCATATTTCATTTACGTCCGACATAAATACTCACATGAGTCACGTCAATTAAGTCAAACGATCAAACGAGTCAACCCATTATCATTCCTCCTCGAACTCAGTACTTACTTGAGAAATGGAGCCTCCCAGCCCGACACCTTCGAACAGTTGATGGAAAGTCAACGCCGCCATGAGCGGCTTCACCGTCTTAACACTCTTACAAGTCCCCAACGACATCCCAATAATCGTCGAATGAACCACCACTCCCATCTCCAGTATCTGCATATCAATCGCAATTATTAGATTAAGTTGCTGATCACATGGTTAGTAAAATACCGTACAACTAAACTAGGTATAAAAAAAATATATGAATCAGGTTGACAATATAAAGTAAGAATAGGAAAGATTTAAACTACATTCATAGATAATATGCATGCATTAAACGAAGTATTTACTAAAACGATACTATACTATATAGTATTGGTGCTTTAATGTACAACTTAAAGTTGTACCATAACATTAAATGTATAAGTTTAGGTTGTACCATAAAGCAATTTGTACTTTTATGTTATGGTACAACTTTACTACTTGAAGTTGTACCATCACATAAAAGTACAAGTTCAAGTTGTACCATAAAAGAATTTGTACAAAAAGTATAGGTACAGTATGAAGTTGTACCATAACGTAAACGTACAATTTTAAGTTGTACCATTAAAGAAAAATTCTATAGCATCAATACTATATAGCATTGTAAAATTTCTCTTGCTGGTAAGCTCCAACAGTACATAAATGAAAATGAAGTGGAGAAATCTCACCTGCGACACAATCCGCCGCCGGATCATCTCATCATCATCACCTTTCCGATCACCACCCGCCGCTTCAATATTCTCGTCACCAGCATCGTCGCCTTTCTTCCGATGAAGCTGCTGCCTCTTATAAAACCCCATCGCCAGCGACTCCATCGACAGCGTCGCGATGGCAAACATCATCGCCACGAACCCGGCGAACGGAAACTTCCCCCAGGGGACCTCCGGCAGGCAGTCCGACCCCAGCTTCTCGAACGCGTCGGGGATGATGTGGACCAGCCCGGTCGCCAGAATCACCCCGCCGGCGAACGCCTTCACGATCAGCATCCCTCCGCCGCCGCTCCCGCCTCCCTCCGCCCCGCCGTGACCGCCGTCGTCGGGTGCCACCGCGGTCTCGGACGACGTCGTTTTGGAGCGCTTCAGGAACAGCGGCAGGCTGACCCCTATGGCTCCCGCCGCGAGGATGGAGGCCATCGAGCCGACTTTGTACTTGACCAGCGTCCCTCCTCCTCCTCCTCGTTTCGACGACGACTTGTCGTCGCCATCGCAGGCGGCGGCGGCGGGCTCCGTCGGGCAGAGGAGGAAGAGGAGGAACAGTAGTGGTAGTAGTGTTGCTGAGGTGTAGTATTGCGCCATGGTTTTTTTTTTTTTTTTGTTAATGAAAAATTAATTATGGAAATGTGGTTGCGATAATAGAGATGGAATTTCGATATATAGAGATGGAATATTTTAGTCGATATTTGTTTTTTTTACTATAGCGGCTGATTCGAGAGAATGGGAGGATATGTGGGAATGGCCGGCCTGACGATTAAGAGAGGGAATCGAAGTTGGATGGTTTCTTGGATGACATGACATAAATATGGTTAATAGTGTATATGATTGGATTGGTCGTATAATATGTTTATTGAGTTTTGTTATCGAGATCATGAATTAATATGCCTATTAACTTTTAATAGGTGAAACCGGTACCCAATTATCTATACTCGTACAATATTTCAGTTTAATAAAGTAAAAAAAAAAAAAGATGAACGACGGTTCTAATTCTTCGAATTATATCGAAGTACATTAATGAACGAAGGTGTATATTATACGTATGATGTATGCTACCATTTGACTATGTTATTATATCATTATTGGATTCTGTGGAATGTTTTGCAAGAAGAAAAAAACGATTGGAGTGTGTTTCTAAATTTAGCGATTTGACTGTAGTGGGTGCATGGGCCCTAGGCGGCAATATGCTTAACATTGAGAATTTTGCTGCCAACTCTTAAATTTTTTTATTTATTTGAAGAAGCCAACTCTTAATTTTTGATAATGTAACAATTAAGAAAAAACAAGACTTCGTATTCATAGTTACTATTTGCTTGGATGGAAACATTTGACATTTGAGTAATTTACTTAAATACAACCAACACATTTTTGGAATCTAAAGAACAAAACTATGACGAAGCAAACAATGAAGTTTTTCGCAAAATTTTGCAAAAGTCTGAATTAAAAATAGTAGATATGATTTTTGTTTCAATTATTAGGGGTGGGCATGGAACTTGGTTGGCTGGGAGTGAGTTGGGCCTTGGTTGGGGCTTGGGCTTAAGAGCATTAGAGTTGGGCTAGCTAGGAGTGGGTTGAGAGCTTGGGGTTCTGGTTGGTTTGGAAGTTTGGGTCGAAATTGGGAGCACGTTTTTTCGAGTACCCTTTTCCGTTCGGTTCACTCATCATATTTTATGAACCATCCATGTATGTCAGCTTTAGGGTAGCCTACTGGTCATTCTAGAGAGTTCGAAATGATGACATCTTCTGAAAGGGGGGAGGGGGTGGAGAGACTCCCAATTAGACAAGTCAAAGGATCATATAGTCCGGAGTAAAATCTCAACTGACACTGTTACCGTTACTCGACAACTAGATTTGGGTTCGTGGTGCCGAGTCGAGACATGGACATGGGGTGGAGACTGACACTACATGGTTCCGCTACATTCAATTCAGATGGTTCGTTCCTACCACCAACCTAAAAGGGAGCAGTTGGAGGAACGATGCGAGATTGACAAGGCTACACTTATTGGAAGTTTTCACCGCTAATCTGAGAAGCTGTTCCATCACTCACGCGAAACTCCAAGGGACCATTGAAGGTCTCCAATTGGCCTGACAATTTGGACATCAGTAGGTAGCCGCGCAAAAGCATTATAGAACAACTGTTATCGATTATGCAAGCGACGTAGGAGTTGTCACATTAATATGCGAGTTCTGTGCTCCAGTTTCGTGGTCTTTTCCAGAGAGCGAAGACTGTTACTCTCTCCCGTACATTTAGGAAGTGTATCATGTATTGAACTATGTATGACGTTATAAACTATGTATGACATTATAGGAAGGGTTAATACCTTATTATGGCCCGAACTATGACCATGTAATCAATTTTAGCCTGTGGTTTCAGAAATTAACATCCTGGCCTCAACTATGCAACATATATACTCAATTGGCACGACTCGTGAATTTCCGTCAAATGAAACGATCAATAGTGTTGACGTTAGTGAATCAACATGTTTTGCTCACGTGGATGCCATGTTGACATTAAAAATTAATAAAATATTAAATAAATTAATAAAACTCAAACTATCAACTACCATTAATAATAATAATAATGAAATAAAACTGCCACTAATAAAAAGAAATCCCCATCTCTCATCCGCCCCACTCATCTCTCAATTCCCTCCTCTGTTCTTCTTTCTTCCTCCACAACTCATTATCCCTCCAGGCCTCCACCTCTACAGATCCTCTTCGCCATTTTCCATTTCATCACCTCCCCCAAAATCATTTTGATTCCTTACTCCCCCCAGATTCTAACCGTCTCCCACAAATATCCTCTGCGTTGTTTGACATCGGACAGTATGTGAGAAACACGGCACGGCGGGAGGCCGACCTGGTTGAGGAAAGCTCGAAACTTTGGATGCTCGAGGCTAGAGAATGAAACGATCCCACACGATTCGTAGACCCAATCGGCTAAATGTTCAACGGCGGAGTCGATTTGGGTTTTGCTCAGAGCTGGACCAGGAGAAGTCTTGGGGCTCTTCAGCTTCTTCACGTTATCTTCGATTTGGATTTTGCTCAGAGCTGGACCAGGAGAAGCCGATTGGGGCAAGTGTCGCGCTTGAGATGCTCGGAGGCGGTGCGGGAAGGATTGCAGGTGGAGAAAAGAGCATTGCAGAGGGAACATCGGAGCTTGACGGCTTTCGGGAGCCTGGTTCTCCACCAAGAAGAAATCCCACGGCTCCGCAGTACAACATCGTGGAGGATGCCGCTCGTCGGGGAAGAAAAGAGAAGAAGAATGGTTAGGGTTAGCAATTTTTTTGGTTTTGCTCGAAGAAGGAAAGAGGCGAGGGGATAATGTGGTGGGTGGCCGAAAATAATTGTTTTGTTTTTTTTCTTCGTTTTTTTAATTAGGTAATAGAAATAATAAAAGAAAATTGAATTTTGAATTTTTTTTATTTCTTTGGTGCTGATATGGCGGTGACCAGGACAGTTTACTAACTTTCAACGGTGTTGATCGTCCAAACAAACGGTCAAACCACTTTTCCGGCCAAATGAGACTATATGCTGCAAAGTTTTGGCCATGATGTTAATTTTCCAGACCACGAACCAAAGTTGATTACATGATCATAGTTCGATCCAAAATAAAATATTAACCCTCATAGGAACTTCAGAGTCTCAGAATAATATCATGAGTTAGTAACTGCTAGCCTGCTAGGCTCCATTTGTGCTAAAATAAATATCCGAAAGCGGCTCTCAAGGCTGAAAATATCACTTTTCTTTCGAGAAGGCTAAGAAAAGGAGAACCAAAAGAAATAATAAAATAATAAAACGACCAAAAATATCACGCGGAACAGAAATATCTGGCACCATCCACAAGAGAAAAGCGAAAAATATCTGGCTGGCATAGGCCCAAGATATTTATTTCTCAAGTCGAAAAAATGACGTGGCACTCCTCCTCTCTCCTGACACGTCCCAAAAAGCGCTGCCATGTGGCCGCTCCTCTCCCTTCATCTCTTTCCCCTTTCCTTCTCCCAGCACAAGTAAATCTCTCTGCAACAAAAAAAAATTTTGACGGAAGATTTTCCCTCTCTTCCTCGCTGCCGATTGACAAAAAGGGAAACGATCTTGAACTAGAAGCTCCACCGATTTCCACAATCAAGTTGGATCTCTATCTGTTGCTTGGTTCAAATCTTGAAGGAGGGGGAGAGAAAAAGACCTAGCCGGAGAAGATTTGTCATGGAGACGGGGGTTCCCGATAGATCCTACACCGGTTCCGGCCGACGCACCGCCGGCGCGAAAGAGATTCCGGTAATTTCACTTTCGTCGAATCTGGTTGATTTAGTCCATCGAGTTTCCTCTTTTTTGTTGTTGTAGTTCTCTGCTTGCTTTTGTGTGAATTAGCGGAGAATTTCTCTGCGTGAAAATGGAAATTCCAGCCGTGTAGCCAGTTACTTGTGAACATGGTTTGGTTACTGAGAAATTGCAGGAAGCAAAACTTAAGAGCTGTGGATTGGTCTGATTTGGAACGATTTTGATTTTTTCTCTTGTTTGGAGTTCGGGGGTAGTGATTTAGTTCCTTGAAGTAGTAATGGTGGGTGGGGATGATTTTTGTGAATGGATTACATTTTCTGAATCTGGTTGGAGAACATTGAATGTTTACCCTAGACCAACGTTGAGAAGGTCACATTTCAGTAAACTGTATTTAACCTAATGAGAGATTATTCGATTCTCTGCGTGTCGACTTGCTGGAAACATGGAGCTATGGAGTTGTTGCCAGATTTGCGATGTGACGGACTTCTGCTATTTGAAGTTTATGCTAGAAATCTTTTGCATCCTTTGTATGGTGAGCAACTTAGTTATCTGACATTGTTTCAGCCGAAAAAGGGAACGAGATGGGTGCGTGAGACAATTACCTGGATGGGTCTTTAAGCTGAATCTAAAGTTTCTCCCGATTTTTTTTCTCCTGTTCATGTATTGATAATGGCTAGCCTTGGCATTGATCCATGGAAAACCTACAATACTTATTATATTCTTGTTCAATGACAGGGGCCATCTGGAGCATGGACAAATGAGAAGCACCACTTGTATCTTCATTCATTAGAAGCATCATTCCTCGAGCAGTTGCACCAATCCATCAGCTTGCGTGGCTGCTTGCGGAAGGTTGATTGCAGGCCATATTCATCCAGACAAGCCAAAGATTGTAATTCGTTGCAGCAGGTTAGGGTTCTAAAATATATGCCTTCTCTTATATTGAAGAAATGGAACAGTGGCAAGTTATTGAAGTTAGAAGGAAACAATTGTAAACTTCTGCTTCATTTCTTCTTTTACACCCTGTGCCAATGCATTGCTGGTTTTTTTTCAGGGTACTTTTCAAAGAGATAGCAAGCAGAAGATCAACTGTGAAGGAGACGAGGACTTGTTCGAGAGCACTTGTGATTCCCATTTTGTAGAAGGAAGTCCTCCGTCGATGCATCATGATATATCCGAGGACTCGGAGCATACAGCATCTAGTGATCTCCACTCTGCTTTTGGTAAAGAGGGGAAACGCAAGAGGAATGAGTTGCCTGTTTCCCCTGCATCAACACAAAGTTCGAGTGACACCAGTTTCTTAGGTATTCAATCACATATTTCATTCAAACTCTCACTACGTCACTACCATCATGCACTGTTCATTGTATTGTCTGTGTGTGTGTGTGTGTGTCAATCTTTATCCATACTCCTTCCATAAACAAACATTTTGCCTAGTTCCATACCTTACGTTTGTATGATTTATTATGGTTTGACAATGGTGTTAAACATTTGGCATTATGTTATGTTTTGTTTTGTGCAAACTTTCTGATTGATGTTCTCCTTTGTTGACAACCGATTGTACAGAGGTTTCAGATCAAAACTTCGCGGATGATGATGATGCTGTATATAAGTCGAGCCCGGCATCCAGATTGAAGAGGTCAAAGACGGATGGACCAAGCGATCATGTAAATTCGCTGGACTTGTCTGCTTACTCATTACATGTTTATGATATTGATTTGAGGCTCACCTGGCAATTTTGGTACACATGTGCAGTTTTCGGCATTTCGCAACACCGAAGACATCACCTGAGCCGAGCTTCCAACTCGAAGAACGATGCATATACATCATGGCTCACTTCCATCAGGGCTTCGAAAGCTGAAGAACTCTGTTCAAAGATTCCTTTATCGGCAATGTCCCGCGAGCTAAGCTCCCTACAATGTCTCTACTATTCTCAGGGTATGGTGATTTTTTGCCACTCACAGAACAACGAGCGCGCGGCAATTCGATAGGCTACTCAATTTGCACTTCTTTCCCTTTTGTTATTGCTTTTACTTTGATTGCCCTTCCCTTTCAGAGCAGTTTTGTAGGTTCTTTTGTTCAATATATACAGAGAGAAACATGGAAGAAACATGGAAGAAACATGCTATAAAAATCGACAACAAAACAATGACTATAATAAGTGCGTCAAAACGATAGTATGGTGCTACTCCTTGTTATAAGAATCGAACCGGATCAACGGCCGGACCAGTAGAACCGTCAAACCAGTTACGATAGTGGTTTCGGTTCATTGTTTGAACGGTTATTGATGGACGAAACGGTTTTTTCACGGTTCAACATAAAATCAGATGAACCGACACGGTTAAGCTGGTCCATTGGTTCACTATTTTAACAAAAAAAATAAAATATTTTAATATAAACTAAGACCATCAAATGATAATCATTAATTTTATATATGCTTCCTCAACCTTATTGTTGATTTTACATTGGCTACTATCAACTAGAACCGTAATTTTTAATTTGAATTAAAAAATGTGGTTTCTTTTGTGAGATGGTTGGAATGATTTATTAGATATTTTTCGTGATGATATGAATTAGAACTTGTTTATGGTCAATGATAATTTCATTCTTAAATTAGTGTAATATACAAGTCTTATATGTTATATATTATTAACGGTTCTATCAACGGTTTACCAACGGTTTTGTAAACGATTAACCTGTGAATCCTTAAACCACTAACTTCTCCGGTTCAGCCTCCGATCCGGTTCTGAAAACAGAGGTGATAATTCTTATCCTCTCTAATCAAAAGACAAAGTCCAACGTTGACTTCTGCACCCAACTGAAGCATAAGGTGAAGACTGAGGGACAGAGGAAATCAAACGAGAGACAGAGACTTGATCAGAAGGAATAGAAAAACCAGAGGGGGAAAACAAAAAAAAAAAAAACAACGGAAAAGTTGTCCGTTTCTTTTCCTCCTTTCCAACTGAAAGTTGCCGTCTCCTTCTTCCTTCCTTCACCAAACCCTCCAAAAAAGTATTCAGAAAATTCATACCAAATCAAACGCCTATCTAGACACTAATAAAAAAACCTGTCCCCTCCTTCCATGTTAAAACCTCCGGGAAACATTCATCTCGGAGCCCTTAAAGGCCCTTTTCATTTATTGTCCTCCCATGAATTCATCCCTCGACGGTTTCCGCTTCAGAGTCCTTGAAATCTTCGGTTATTAGTTTGCAGAGCTCGATTTGCTTTCTCCCGTCGCTTTCCTCCACTCTCCCAATTTTGGTCCCTGGGAGAACGAGAAAGAGATTATCAATCCAACTTGAGGGAGGAGGAAAGGAAGAGGCTTTATCTATTTTTATCGGGGGTATAGATTGATGGGTATTCTGTCAAATCTAAGGAGAAATCCAGAAGATGGATTGTTGCTATCATCGGGTTCCTCACCGCCGGCAGCTGGGCAGGCGGCGGCGGCGGGTAAGCGGAAATGGTCAAATTTCCTGCCGGTTTTCATTGCCCTTGTGGTTTTAGTCGAGATCGCCTTTCTGGGTCGTCTCGACATGGCGAAAAATGCTGCTGCCCGGGTCGATTCGTGGGCAGATAGCTTTCTTTATCAGTCGCCGCCTGGTTTGAGGGAGAAGGCTCCGGTGGTTAAAAGAAACGATATGGTTTTGGGGTCGGAAACTTGCGAGGAGTGGTTGGAGAGGGAGGATGCTGTGCCTTACTCGCGGGATTTCGATCAGGTTCCCATCTTGGTCGCCGGTTCTGAGAAGGTTTGTTTTGAATTTTGATTGATTCAATTCGGTTCTCTTGTTGATGCTCCTTTTTGCCCAATCTTGTTCTGTTCATTCGATCTTCTCTGTTGTGTCTGTCTAACCGTAAGAAGGAAGATTTACTGAATAGGAAACTTTAGCGTTTCAGTTTTGGATTAATGAATGATTCTGTTGTTACTTGTTGCATTGTTAGAGAATGAGAAATTTGCTTTGGCAGCTGTTAAATTTTGCTAGCTGGTCTTATTATCTATGTATCACTTCAGCATCTGAACTTGGACTACATCCATTTTATACACAGGAGAGGAGGAATTGTTCTGTGGGGTGTCAGTTCGGATATGACTCCAACAGAACTCCTGATGCATTATTTGGTACGCTAAATGAAAAGTCGGCAACTGTCAGTGTGCATCGGTCAATGGAATCGGCTCAGTATTATCCAGAGAACGATATTGCTAAGGCACGACGGTGGGTAAGCACAATCTGAGATCAATGCCTTTGTTGCTGTTTTGGAAAATGTTATGCGCCTTTCTGTTAAAGAATATTTGTGTTTTCGATCTAGTACTTGAGATTTCTGCTGTAAACGTATTACGTATAATTGCTGAATATCCTTTGAAAGGCATAGAGCTTAACAGACTCAGAATGCCCTCAGCTGTTTTTTGTAGTTCTGTTTTGCTTCAACTTCTAAGCCAGAAAAATGCGACCAAACTTCTGTTTCTAGTTTTGGTGTTTTGCTTCGTAACTGGACAATGACATTCTGGATACTTCTGTTCTTATAATTGATTTATATTGTGACATTCTTCCCTTTTCTTCTTCTAGTGATTTTGGTTCTTCTGCCTGTTTTCTGCTCTGCCTTTGCTGATCCTATTTATGCATGGTGTTGTACCGTAAGAATGAGCCTCTTTCTTATCGACAGACAAGTACAGATAGACTTTTCCTTTCACACTAATTGTTCAATTTTAGTGTTGAAGTGAGGAAATATTATCAAATAGTGTCTTTGATGTGGATGTGATACACCTTGGTTCCGAAGTCTGCATCCTGTTGTAATTCTACTTGTTTGTATATAATACATGACAGAAATCTGTTGCTAGGCACTTGGAGACTTTTATCCCCTTGCGAACTAGTAGTAGTAGTGATGATATTGTGAAACATTGATTGAGCTGAATCCTTTTTCTGCTACTGAAATCAAGTTTGATGATATAGTAATTTTTTTCGAGATTCAATGATGTATAATTTTATTTGTCGTTGAATTAAGAGGAAAACTTATTCTGGCTATCTTTTTATTGATACATTATAGAAATGGATACCGGATAGTCATGACTACAAGTCTATCCTCAGATGTGCCGGTGGGATATTTTTCCTGGGCGGAGTATGATATCATGGCACCTCCCGAGCCAAAGACCGAGAAAGCCCTTGCAGCTGCGTTCATTTCAAACTGTGGTGCCCGCAACTTCCGTTTGCAAGTTCTTGATGCCCTTGAAAAATTGAAAATCCCAATAGACTCTTACGGTGCTTGTCACCGGAACCGTGATGGTAGAGGTGAGCACAACAATTTGGTTTCTGACACATTGCATATCTTACGCTGTGAGCTGAATTATGTTCCTGTGTCGTGTAATATGTTGGTAATTTTGAGGTTATCCTTTGATGATGGGACTTGGTACAACTTTAAGTTTGAGAATCTAATGCCGTGTTATCTCTCACTCTTTATCCCAGTGTGTATGACAAACGCCTCAACAGAATGTTTCGAGGCTGAGATCTCCACGAAAATGATCTTTTGTAGGATGGTTGTTGTCTCGCTTAAATGAGACAAGTTAGTCAGCTTCTTTGGAGTTCAAATGTTAAAGTTAACTCTCTTTAGAGTTCAAATCATGATTTGGGTTACTGGCAGAAATGCATTTAGTGGGGGAAAAGCTCTCTTGACGACCGAGGGAACAGATTAAGCACATAGAATAGTGTTGATAGTCTGGGTTTTGTTGTTGAGAAGTGTTGTATGTCTGATAGTGAACATGCGTTCTTTAATTTATATGTTGTCGCTTCACGCTTGCATGGCATTTGGATTTATGTATGGTAATTAGTGTTTTAATCATTCCCCCCCTTTTTGTAGTGAACAAAGTGGAGGCTCTGAAGCGCTATAAATTTAGCTTAGCTTTTGAGAATTCTAACGAGGAGGATTATGTTACAGAGAAATACTTCCAGTCCCTCGTTGCTGGTATTACACTTCAAATCCTTTCTCTGCTTTCTTTTTTCGCACTCATTTACTTCTTTTCTGTGTTGCTTTTTCAATAGAGCTGTATGTTCCTTTCATGTTTGTGATTAGGACAAGAACAAAATGAAACTGAATATAGTCATTAGCAACAAGCATAACTATCTATATGCTTCCTGGAATTATGAGTGCTAGTCATTTGATCAATATTGCAATTCTGTAGGAACCATCCCGGTGGTTGTTGGTGCTCCAAACATCCAAGATTATGCCCCTGGGCCTGGTTCGGTATTACATATCAAGGCCCTTGAAGATGTTGAGACTGTTGCAAAGACCATGAATGAGCTATCTGAAAACCCTACTGCATACAATCTGTCGTTAAGGTGCTATTTGGTACCATCTGAACTCCATAAATTTGAGTTTCTGTTTTTGGCTTGTGAATGAGCGAGATGCACTATTTTCAGGTGGAAGTTTGAGGGCCCATCTGATTCTTTCAAGGCACTGGTCGATATGGCAGCAGTACATTCTTCATGCCGTCTTTGCATTCACTTAGCTACAATGATTCGTGATAAAGAAGAAAGTAGCCCAGGGTTCAAGAGACGCCCCTGCAGATGCACACGAGGGTCCGAGATTGTACATCATGTATATGTTAGAGAACGAGGAAGGTTCAAGATGGAGTCGATTTTCTTAAGGTAACTAACCTCTTCAACTGTGCAGTCAAACGTCCGCATACGGAAACTACAGCTTGATTAGTACCCATGAAGAAGCAAACATCACAAGAATCCTTCCTCATTCTGAAAGTTTGGAGAACATGATCCGAAATCTCAATCGAACCTACTGCAAATTGCTAATACAACTGTCACAACAATGCAGGTCTGGGAACTTAACAGTGGATGCCCTGGAGCACGAGGTGCTGAAGAAGTTCAAGTCCATGAAACACATACCAGTTTGGAGAGCCGAAAGACCAGAAAGCATACGAGGAGGAGAAGACGATTACAAAGTCTACAGGCTATACCCTGTAGGGTTGACGCAGAGGCAAGCGCTCTACTCTTTTAAGTTTACCGATATCGACTTACAGAATCACCTGGAAGCAAATCCATGTGCTAAGTTGGAGGCCGTCTTTGTCTAGTTAACAAATGGGACTTTCCTATGGTCTTGAGCTTGAATCCTCAGCTCGGCTCACCCTAAAACTGCAGGCAATATTTTCGGCCGAAAAGTTTAGCAGTGGATCTAACATTCTTGTGCACAGTACAAAGTGGAATCACTTGTAGTGTAGCTCGGGAAAACTGGATAGGAAACAGAATGATTCTGGGAGACCCCTTGTTTTACTTCACTGATTTCAGAATGCTATTGGTGCATTCTGTTTAGACGAGAGAATCTTGGTCTCATGTTGAGCAAGTTTTTTTCTCCCTCCTCGTCCTTGCGGTTCTTAAATCTCTGTTGGCTTTTTACCTTGCACCATCCCCTGTGGTTCTGTATGTCAGTATGTAAACATTTTTCTTTAGTCAAGATGATAGGATTAACATAAGATTGCCACAGATTGGTGTAGTGTTGGTTTATGCTGGGAGGAGTATAACATAAACTAGATTTGGACCTGCCCGTTGGACGGCTACATTTTATTGATAGAAATTATTGGAACCAAACATAAATTTTTATATGGTATATTAAAGGAAACCAAATAATTTAGTTGTTGAAAAGATAGAAATGAACATACATATATCATAGAGTTTTCTGTAGGAATGACAAAAATATCCTTAACCGTGGATATACGTCCGAATCCGACATAAATCCCAAACCCGAAGAATTTTTAGTAGGTACGGGTAAAACCCGAACTTTAATATTATGGGTGATGGGTGGGCATGGTTTTCTCATCATCCAACCCGAACTCGTCCGATTATACACATGCATATGTATTTTAATTTGTCTAGAAATAATCATTATTTTTCTTAACATATTTTATATTTAGCATATAAATATAATACTTTCATAAAATTGTGTTGTTTAATTGATTTTCTTCATTCTAGTGAACCGTTGTCGTACTTTTCCTCTTGTGTAATGTGTTGATTAGAATTATAAAGAGATTTTATTATCCGTGGATACCTGAAACCGAACGGGTATGTGCATGATTTTAATTGTCTACCTGTTTCTTATATGGCTATGGGTATGGGTAAAATCTGAACTATTTTGGGTAGGGTAACGAATATGCACTATTCGCCTCCGACCCGACCCGTTGTCATCCCATTTATGACATCTTAAATGATTCATAGACGTAAGGTTGAGATTAAAAACTAAAATAATACCAAGAAAATGAATCTATCTATCTATCTATCTATATCTATACTATATATTATGGCAATTCAAAAACAATATCTTTCCACATAAGCAATTGGATGATCCACAATTTGCCAAGTTGGACAAATTTTTTACAAACAAAAAAATTAGTTATTAATGTATTTATGGAGCTACCTCTCTCTTCTTTAATATTTCTATTTCTTTTATCCAATTATTCTTTTTTATTTATTCATTTATTCTTTTTTACTTTAATAATAAGTTAATGTTGATAAACTTAACCAAACACACATAAATAATAATTTTTTTGTCAAGTAAACAAAATATAAATAATAAAACAGAGAGTGAAATATATCACATTTTTTTAAATAAAAAATAACTGATCAAACCTTATAAAGTAAATTGTCTACTCATTTTTACTAAAATTGAAAGATAAGTTAGATTTTGATGAAAAAATTAAGCAAACATACACATAAACAATAATGTTTGAAAAGATAGAAAATAAACATTTGACATTCAATTACCTTTGAAAAATAAATATATTATTTTATATTTTGTTGCAATGAAACAACTCTTATTCGTAAAGTATATATTTATAAAATAAAAACAAGTATTATTTTGCAAAATGTCAGAGTATAATCTTGATCGAGTAGTTACATTTATTTATTTAAAAAAGACTTATTATTCATTCAGATAATGTTCTACATTAAACTTCTCAAATGAAGAGGAATCGCAATGTGCAATAATTTTATGATGTGTCCTAAGTTCACATTAATAATATTTTCTCTATATCATGTTGATTGAACAAGCTCTATTAAGGTCATAAGTCGCGTGCTAAAAAATTTCTTTCATATTGGAGTTATCATCGACGATTATAAATCAAATTTTTTAAAATGACTTGAGTATGATTATTGACGAACTTTGACTTCATACCCTAGGATGAGACACAAGATTCCTTGAAAAATAACATTGGTGAAGGTTAGAGAAATCTTTGTTAAGAATATACGATAAACATCACGCTTCATCAACTATTAACCTAGGCATTTGCCAAATAGAGGCTGACAATTTTTAGTAAGATAGTCCATTGGGATAAACATATTTATCCAGCAATCAAGTATCTTTATCCAATAATCTCAACTCACAAAATTGGTTGTCAATTCGTCCAAACTCAAGAAACACGAATTTATATATGTTGTATAAGATAATAAGTTAATGCAAATAATCAAATGAAATTCACCGATATTCTTCAAATGATAATTGATAACGCATTTTGAATGCACTTGAAATAGGTGTGTATTGTATACACTCTTTATGAATTATTAATATGTAAGTGATAAAAACTTTGAAAATTACACATTCAACGATCATGTTAAGACCAAAATCCTCGACAGTGTGTGAGTGTCTTAGATTGAGATTCTAAGCCAACATATAAACAATGACCACAGGTTGAGGTTTAGTCTAAACTTCAAGAATTAACAATTGATACATATTGTACAATATACTAAATTTAAGTGTATTGATAAAAAAACTAACTAACATCCAAAATGGAAATGAGTCGAGATTAGAGAATTTAATCATCCTGAGGGCTACGGTGTATGTCAAGTTTCAATATGGATGAATAAATTGATCCAATACTGAAGTATCTTTACTAAGAATTTCTCACTAAAAAGTCCTAATCTTTACAACATTGGTCAAGAGTTCGTCCAAACTCGAGGATCATGAATGTGTATTAGATTTCCAAAGAACCTAAAATCTCAATTCCTTTCGGGGGCTAAATACCTCTGATCACAACCATATGTTCTAAATAAGAATGAAAGAAGCCCAAAAATAGCAAAATAGTACATAACCTCCAATGGTTTGTCCGGCGTTTTGGGGGTAAAAGCAGGATCTCTATCACGGGTGTGGGGCATAGGCAAGTAGCACTCTTAATATGAGTATTAGGCGAGATAAGATAGGTCTGACAAAGTATCTGGATAATTTTGAGTCTACTACACACACACACACACGATAGAAGATAGGTATGACGAAGTATGTGCATAAATTATATGTTAGTGAATTAGGGACTAGAATTCACCAGGTTAGGGTATAGTATCACACCCAAAAAAATTCAGGTTAATTTGGGGTGTAAATAGTAAATCTCAATAGTCGTATGGTAGTGTGAACGCAAGAGTATAGCGTACTCCTGGCACACGCTAGGTTGAACTATATAGATGTGTGTGTGTGTGTGGGTCAGGTTGGCTTACGACCTTACGCTAAATATTAGTGTTTTGGTTGACAAATTTTGACATAAGTTCTAAACGGGACGTGACAGCGGTATAATTTATGATTAGAAACCGAAGCATCACAAGTGAGTGTGCTAAATATTGAACGTTTTCAATAAAGACATATTACAAACTCTGTTATCAATCAAAGAACACAAAATAATTAGAAAATTCAAAATGATTTAAACATATAAATAAGTTAATTAATATAAATTATAAAATAAATCTCTCCGGCCAACGAGCCGGGTAAAAAACTAGTGATAATTAAAAAACTTATCAAATTGAACTAAAGCTATGATCTTCACCATCAAATTGAGCTAAAACTAACATCCTAATCCATTAACAAATGTTTATCATTCCTTCACATATACTCTTGAGTCAAAATTTCTCAATCAAGGTAAGATCATACTGTTGATGGATTTTAGTTAATACCCCTTATGGAAGGTTACCCGTCTATCTAGATTGATGTTTCTTATCATTTTATTGAGCATTAGTCAAAAGATTTCCGACTAATCTATCTACACAATAAATAAAAGCCAAATGAGAAAACTTGAAGTCCCATTTCAAATTTTCTGCATCCAGAGTGAAAGTAGGAAGGATATTTTGGTCTTCATAATTATTATTTTTTATTCATTAAAAAGATACTTACTAGGATTCGAACCGTGACCACTTTAAAGAAAAACAAATATCATAACCAATCACACTAAGTACATTTGTTGTATCTTTTTAAACTAAAAACATATAATCGCAGAGAAGAAAAAACCATTTCCCCATTTCAAATTTCCTGCTCCAAGAGCGTTTGTAGGAAGGGTAGAATAGGGAGTGTCAATTTTTTTTTCTTTTTCCTCAGTGGAACGGGCCAACTTACCGTACACATGCAGATTTAAACGGGTCCAGGAGTGTCATTTTTTTTCTTTAAGTGATTTTATTTCTCTGTGGTGGTAAAATATATATGGAAAGGCAAAAAAAATACTCCTTTTTATTGCTAAAATGAAAAAAAATTAACAATAAACTAATGCATGGATTCTAATGGGCTAACCGCTAATCATAAAATAAAAGAGTTGAATGAGCCTGACCTACACGGGATTTGCCTATCAAGTAAAACAAATGAACATCATGGGTTTGTCATTAAAAAACAAACTATTTTCTCTAGCATAATATATATTATGCTATTATTTTATATCTTAGTGGCTAAAATATAATGTATTTTAAAGTTATTCAATGGTTCAACCTCGACCAACCCAATTAGTCCAATTTTTATCATTTCAAATATATATTATGTAATTATTTGATATCATAATGATTAAATTATAGTGTATATTATAGGGAATCGTTTGGTATTTGTTAGTAAAAAAACTAAACAAAAAGATCTATTTGGTTATTTTTAACATTAAAACGTTCCTAAACATTTTCAGTTTCCTTTCGAAATTCTATAGTTTTATTCCCGAATTAGTGATGTGAAAATGGCGAATTGCAGTCATCTCTTTTCTTTCATTATTTTTTCTTTTCAAATAGAAAGTTTAATAGTAAGGAATAATTAGAGTTTGGCATGGGTCGGTCAAACAGGCTAAATTTCAAG